CGGTGTCCGCCCTGACCCTGAGGAGGTCAGAGTGATCAATGAGTGGCTGACGCCGTCGAACGTCAAGGAACTGCGGCAGTTCCTTGGCTTGGCCACGTACTTGTGCAAGTACGTGAAGGACTACGCGGGCATGATACACCCGCTATCACAGCTCCTGAAGAAGGACGCCGAGTGGATTTGGACTGCTGAGTGTCAGCAGGCCTTCGATGCAGTCAAGCGGGGCTTGACTGAGGCGCTGATCTTGGCGGTGGCCGACCAAGATCGCTCGTTCCAAGTTGTGTGTGACGCATCCAACTTCGCAATCGGATGTGCGTTGATGCAGCACGATCACGAGGGTCGTGATCGTGTGGTCTACTACCAATCGTGTCAGCTGAAGCCAGCTGAGCGCAACTACCCGGTACATGACAAGGAGCTCCTTGCCATGAAGTACGCACTCGCGAAGTTCCAAGTGTATCTACTCGGAAGCAAACCGTTCGTGGTCTATACGGACCACGCGTCGCTGCGGACGGCTGTGAAGTCGCCGCATATCTCGCAACGGATGGCGAGATGGCTCTCATTCTTCGTAGAGTATAACTTCCGGGTTGAGTATAAACCCGGAAGACTCAATGTGGTGGCCGACGCGCTCTCGCGTCGACCTGACTACGCCACGACTGATGCCAACGTCAATGCCATTGACGCCATGCGATCGAGCACCCCAACGTCGTCACTGTTGGACGACGGGAAGGCCGCGTACGCGCACGACGCGGACGCGAAGCTCTTGTTGGCCTATGGCTCAGCACCTTCTGACAATGCTCGTCAGAAGCTGCCGAAGCATCTTCGTGCTCGTGCACACCGTTACCGGGTGCACGACGGGTTATTACTCTACAATGCAGGCGACGACAACGCGGACCGCGTTGTCGTGCCCACCTGCGACTCAGGATCATGTATGAATATCACGATGCACCGACTGCGGGGCATTCGGGCCGTGAGAAAACATACCTTCTTCTCACGCGGGACTTCTACTGGGCCCACCAGTATAAATGGGTGCGCAAGTACGTCCGTGCTTGCGAGGTTTGTCAACATGTGAAGCCTGCGCCTTTCGCGCGGGCTCCCTTGCAGTCACTGCCGACTCCGTCGGAGTGTTGGCAGTCCATGTCTTTGGACTTCGTGTTCGGTCTTCCCCCGGACAGCCAGGGGAACACGGGCGTTGTGGTCTTTGCTGACCGCTTCAGCAAGATGTACCATCTTGCTGCGGTACCCGCTGAAGTGACTGCGAAACAGACGGCTCGTCTGTTCGTTGACATGGTGCTCAAACACCATGGCATGCCAATCGACATTGTGTCGGATCGAGACCCGCGCTTCACTGCACACCTTTGGCAAGAAGTGTTTACACTTCTTGGGAGTCAACTTTCGATGTCGACTGCGGACCATCCGCAGACGGACGGGCAGACCGAGCGCGTGAACCGCGTGCTCGTAGACGTGCTTAAGAGCTACGCTCACTCGTTCCAACACTGGAGCGACTGCCTGCCGATGGCGGAGTTCGCCATCAACAACTCCGTGCATGCCTCGACCGGGCATACACCGTTCTACGTGAATGCCATCAGGCACCCACGCCTCCCGAGTCTACTCGGGATGGTGGCTCCTTCCTTAAGTGGGGGGGATCTACGACTGCAACGCAGCAGCCGCAGAATGCCGCTGACACTTGCACAGTGTCAGCCGCAACTACGCGCAAGAAGAACAAGAAGCACGGGTTTGTGCAGGGCACAGACGCCGATAAGAGCAAGCAGAAGAAGAACGGGTCTGTGCAGGCCACAGACACCGCGAAGACCAACGCAGAGGCCGGGTCTACTGGTAGAAACGAGCTGAACTCGTTCAGCTCGGACGCAATCAACTTCGTGCAACGCAGACAAGCCGTCATTCGGTTTGTCCAAGACGCTATTGCAGCTTCTGTCGACTGACAGAAGCTGAACGCAGACAATGTTGGTAGGGGCAACACTAATGAATTCAAGAAGGATTCATTGGTTTTGTTAGTAACTCAAAACCTGCCTAAACATGCAGTTTCCGACTTCGGGGCGAGCAAGCTCGCTCCGCGCTTCATCGGGCCGTTCACAGTGTTGGCACAACATGGCAACGCCTACATGCTAGATATTCCATCTAGCATGCGCCTCCATCCAACCTTTTACGTTAGGCGGCTGATGCCATACCGGCAGCACGAGCCACCTAGCTCGGCTGGCCCGAAGCGGAAGCCCCAGCGGAAGCGAACCTCTGCTCCAGCGCGTGAACACGTTGGGACAAGCGCACGACGCGACCTCCCACGTCGATAGAGATGTCCGACGCGCTCTGCGAGGCCTGATCAACTTGAGCTCTCAGGGTCGCCATCTCCTGCTTCAGAGCGGCGAACGCACGGATCTGAAGCTGCTCCACAGCAGCGACTCGCTCCTCGAGGGTCGGGCCAAGGTCAATCCCAGGTTGATCATACCCGGGGCGTGTTCCCACCACCGCCGCCTCCGATCCGCGACGCCCGCGGCTCAACACGCTGGATTGTTGAGCGTATTGTGGACCATAGTATCCCGAAAACGAACCGGCAACCGGTTCGTTTTCGTATTCGTTGGAGAGGATTTCCGCCCCACCAAGATACATGGGAGCCATGGGACGTCCTGCTGCAGGACGTTCCGGAAATGGTGAGGGCGTACGAAGCTCACCACGCGCTGCCGACGCGAAGGTAGTGCGAGCGCTGTGGTCACCTACAGCGCCCGAGGTCCCACGATCGTCGCGTTCCTCGCGTGCTAAGAACTTGGCACGGAGATCCTTGAGACTCTCAGGTACACGAATCGTCGTGTACCCGTTTAGGTCGCGGTCGCGGTCGCTCAAGCGCACCCGCACCCGGAAGACACAACGTGCACTGATGGCCTTCGGGCACAGCGCATGGAATACCAGCGTCCACAGAGGATCTGTGGAGCTGCTCCAGCCTCCCGCGCGTCGAGAATGTCTCGAAGCGCTCACGGGCATGCTTAACCCGCTCACGGTAAGCAGCCGGCTTCTTGTTGAAGTTCTCAACGAAAGCATTCCAACTTTGACAAAGTGCCTGCCACTCAGGCACTTTGCTGCGAGAAGAGGTCTTCTGGCTGGAGAAGTATCGGAGCTCCTGAAAGAGTCCGATATAGTAATCGCGCCTTTGACTCGTTAACGGATCAAAGTGCTGCTCCTCCGCCACAGCATCATCGTGGATCCCGCTGCATACGTACAGCGGGATTTCATTTGGAGGCACGGTGTTGCCCACACGGTCTGCGATCTATGACGCAGACAGCATCCACGGATCGCGCGCTGCCTGAGCAGCGCGCGGAGAACTTGAAGACCCACCTTACGCGGGGAGCTTAAAGCCCCAGCAGCGGTGAGCGGAGTGTCGCTTTCGCCGCGCGAACGCTTCGAGCTTGAAGCGTCCGAATCGTCTCCTTCACGAGGGCGTCTCGACCCGGCATGCGGGTCGAGACTATCACTGTCGATAGACTCCTTGCGCTTGTTGGAAGAGGCCTCGCCCTCTCCCATCTCCACGTCATCATCCCCGTAGTCAACGGCGTCGTTGACTACAGAGGAACCTTCGAGGACAATCTCCGACTGGGTTGTCCCTGACGCGGCCTTTGCAGCGAGCACATCGCGCTTTGCCTGCTGGCGCTCATGGTACTGAGAAACAGAGAGCTTACCCTCTGTTGGGGCGGCGGTCTTCTTCTGAGACGAGCTCATTGCGGAATGAGCTCGAGTTTTCTATCTCCCAATGTGAAAAATTGACGAATGGTCAATTTCCCGATTGACGTGCCGTGACTCGGCACGTCTAACCTTGACGGGGGGATGGTGTAACAGGGTTACACACACAAGTGGCTACAGTCACTTGTAACTCTAACAGACACGACGTTTGTTAGAGGTTCGAAAGACTTTCTCGACTTTGGTGTAGACACACCAAAGGCTGCATACATTTACGATCACCACGACGGGTGGTTCACAGAGACTTAGGATTCCTATTGGCTGAAAGCAGCATCTTTTAGCCAATGAGCGACATGCATAGCGTAGGAATGCTGCCAACCAGTCGTTGGCAGATTCCCAACTTAGAATATTACATTTAAAGGAAGTCAGAAACATAAAACAAAAATAGCAGTTCTCATTTTAACCCAAAAATATTATTTGGATCGTTTATTTAGATTAATCTATACTCGGAGACCCGAGTATATTTAACTCTAAGTTAAACTAGGCTACGCTTCCTCACATACACGCGCACACGTGGAAGCTAAAGTAGTGAGCAAAAGTAGGCCCATTACAAGATGCGTCCGGTCATGGCGATACTCTTTGCGCTCTAATTTACGGCCAACGAGACATTGGCGCCATCGCTAGGGGTCGTGTAGCCACTGCTGGTGGGCTGCTGGTGGGCAAGGCGAGAATCGGGACCGATGCCTTCTGCATGGTTGTAGGCTGCGTGGGGTGGCTCCGTTGACGTGGCGCGCCGTGGCGATACCATTTGCGCTCTAATACACCGCCAGCGAGCCATTGGCGCCATCGCTAGGGGTCGTGTAGCCACTGGTGGTGGGCTGCTGGTGGCCAAGGCGAGAATCGGGACCGATGCCTTCTGCACGGTTGCAGGCTGCGTGGGGTGGCTCCGTTGACGTGGCGCGCCGTGGCGATACCATTTGCGCTCTAATGTACGGTCCACGCGCCATTGGTGCTATCGCTAGGGGTCGTGTAGCCACTGCTGGTGGGCTGCTGGTGGGCAAGGCGAGAATCGGGACCGATGCCTTCTGCACGGTTGCAGGCTGCGTGGGGTGGCTCCGTTGACGTGGCGCGCCGTGGCGATACCATTTGCGCTCTAATCTACCGCCAGCGAGCCATTGGCGCCATCGCTAGGGGTCGTGTTGCCACTGGTGGTGGGCTGCTGGTGGGCAAGGCGAGAATCGGGACCGAGGCCTTCTGCACGGTTGCAGGCTGCGCGGGGTGGCTCACCGGGTGTGTCTGGCCATGGCGATACCGTTTGCGCTCTAATTTACCGCCAACGAGCCATTGGCGCCATCGCTAGGGGTCGTGTTGCCACCGGTGGTGGGCTGCTGGTGGCCAAGGCGAGAATCGGGACCGATGCCTTCTGCACGGTTGCAGGCTGCGTGGGGTGGCTCCGTTGACGTGGCGCGCCGTGGCGATACCATTTGCGCTCTAATGTACGGCCCACGCGCCATTGGTGCTATCGCTAGGGGTCGTGTAGCCACTGGTGGTGGGCTGCTGGTGGGCAAGGCGAGAATCGGGACCGATGCCTTCTGCATGGTTGCAGGCTACATGCGATGGCTCAGTCGACGTGGCTGGCCATGGCGATACCATTTGCGTTCTAATACACCGCCAGCGAGCCATTGGCGCCATCGCTAGGGGTCGTGTAGCCACTGGTGGTGGGCTGCTGGTGGGCAAGGCGAGAATCGGGACCGAGGCCTTCTGCACGGTTGCAGGCTGCGTGGGGTGGCTCCGTTGACGTGGCGCGCCGTGGCGATACCATTTGCGCTCTAATACACCGCCAGCGAGCCATTGGCGCCATCGCTAGGGGTCGTGTTGCCACTGGTGGTGGGCTGCTGGTGGGCAAGGCGAGAATCGGGTCCGATGCCTTCTGCATGGTTGCAGGCTGCGTGGGGTGGCTCCGTTGACGTGGCGCGCCGTGGCGATACCATTTGCGCTCTAATCTACCGCCAGCGAGCCATTGGCGCCATCGCTAGGGGTCGTGTAGCCACTGGTGGTGGGCTGCTGGTGGGCAAGGCGAGAATCGGGACCGATGCCTTCTGCATGGTTGCAGGCTGCGTGGGGTGGCTCCGTTGACGTGGCGCGCCGTGGCGATACCATTTGCGCTCTAATCTACCGCCAGCGAGCCATTGGCGCCATCGCTAGGGGTCGTGTAGCCACTGGTGGTGGGCTGCTGGTGGGCAAGGCGAGAATCGGGACCGATGCCTTCTGCACGGTTGCAAGCTGCGTGGGGTGGCTCCGTTGACGTGGCGCGCCGTGGCGATACCATTTGCGCTCTAATCTACCGCCAGCGAGCCATTGGCGCCATCGCTAGGGGTCGTCTAGCCACTGGTGGTGGGCTGCTGGTGGGCAAGGCGAGAATCGGGACCGATGCCTTCTGCACGGTTGCAAGCTGCGTGGGGTGGCTCCGTTGACGTGGCGCGCCGTGGCGATACCATTTGCGCTCTAATCTACCGCCAGCGAGCCATTGGCGCCATCGCTAGGGGTCGTGTAGCCACTGGTGGTGGGCTGCTGGTGGGCAAGGCGAGAATCGGGACCGATGCCTTCTGCATGGTTGCAGGCTGCGTGGGGTGGCTCCGTTGACGTGGCGCGCCGTGGCGATACCATTTGCGCTCTAATCTACCGCCAGCGAGCCATTGGCGCCATCGCTAGGGGTCGTGTTGCCACTGGTGGTGGGCTGCTGGTGGGCAAGGCGAGAATCGGGACCGAGGCCTTCACGCGGTTGCAGGCTGCATGCGATGGCTCATCGGATGTGTCTAGTCATGCCGATACCATTGCCGCTCTAATCTACCGCCAACGTGCCATTGGTGCCATCGCTAGGGGTCATGTAGCCACTGATGGTGTGCTACGCCGCAGACCGGAAGCGACGTGCGATCGCCGCGGGTGGCCTTCATTCCCCCCACAGACATCGCCAGGGTCGAATGACCCCGCACGAGGTTCATTGGGTATATCTGACACGGTCGCCAGGGTTGCCTCCGCCACCTCGGACGCGTCCCCAGCGTGTTTAACCCTCGCGAACCGTGTTGGCGACGGGCGGGGAGGTTGGTGCGCCCGCTAGCACGGTCGTAACGCGAGATTGCCGAGGTGGCCATCTCAGGTGCAGCTCCGGCCCACCTCCATCAGCCAGCTGCCCCTGCCGTAGAGTCCTGGCCGTCTGGATGAACCTATCCGACGCTACATCGTGGTCGGTGAGTACGCCGCGGTCTGGAAGCGACTCGTAAGCGTTTAGTCTTTTTCGTGATGGTGTCGGCAAACCTGGTGTGAGGACTACGGCCCAAAGAAGTAATATCGGCCCTCCTGTGGGATAGCGCATGACTTGTAGAGCCGTACGCGAGATACAACTTCGATCCCTTCTCAAGTATTTAAAACCAACGCAGGAGCTATTGGAGCGAGTAGACGGAATTGAGATAAAATCCGGTGTGCGATGTCTCCATTGCGCATACTTCTGCCCACTTGAAGACACAATGTCGAGGCATCTAAAGTCGAAGCATAAAGATTTTACCACGGGCGTATCGCAACTTCCGTGCTTGGTGCAATCACTTTATTCAGGTGCAAAGACAAACTATTTCGGCGTACAAGGTGGTGCCAGCTTCTCAACGCATGCAGACGATTCAGATGCAGTGGACCGTGCTCTAAGTGAATTTTCACGATCTCATTTGCATATTGCTCCCACGGACGATCGCCTCGTACCACCTTTCCTTCGCCGGATGAGGTTGTTCGTACATATTGCACGGATAAAGTTTCTAAAGCCATCGCCTCGGTTAAATTTGATCCCAACTCAAGCTTTGTTGAGTTAGTGTTTCCGGTTGTGTGTCGGTATTGGGAGCTCAGCCAAGAAATTATTGGCACCCGAGAGTATTTGCTTGAGCGCATTCTGTGGGACGTTGAGCCAGCATCGGCTTTGCGACGCATTCAATCAAGTTCCGAAAAGTACTGCAAGACCATGACCTCGCTACTGCAGATGGTTAACACACATGCCAAGCACTACATTATTATCTCAAGCTCTTCTACAGATGATGATCTGGCTGATCAAGTGGACTCTCTGTTCCAATCGTGCTCCGAAGCTTTCGCGTCGATCTCCACTGAGCACTACAGAGCGGAGCATGTTTGTGTCGAACAACTTGTATTGCTAGATGGTGCCCTTGAAAAGATTTTTCGAATTGATTTGGAAAATGAACACTCCCCAAGCGAGTTTCATGCATTTCCAACTCATCGATTTGTTGTATGCTCTTCTATCAGTGGTCCGACAAAAGATGCTGCTGGCTACGTACAGTTTAAACAACCTGGTCAACTGACTAGTTTAGTCGCTATCTTAAAGTATTGGGCTCGAATTGCTGCTCTGATGAACCTTCATCAGCTGTCGTGGGGTGTGGAAGCCAACGAGCAAAATTTGGCGACGCCAAAAAGGGCGGAGGCGCTACGTTTTTATCTTAGGACCGGGTATCGAACTCCTTTTAATCTGCTGCAGGAGGTTATAAGTTTTGGCTCAAGCATCGCCATGGCACCTGAGCAACGGCGAATTCCTCAAATCATGTAGCTGGGATCAGCGCATGATGCGCTCCTAGTTGAAGGCCATCGTGTTACCTTGAAGACGCTTCACGACTTAAAAGCAAAGCTTGTCGACCAGTTTGGTAAGGTGCTTCGTGAAAATGTGCTTTTGGGCTACGATATATCTGCGGTTGAAAAACATTTAATGTCGGATGAGCAGTGCTGTTACGACGACTACAGCAACTATAGCTGTGGATACAGCTTTCTCGAAGACGACAGGAATCCATGGAAATCGATGCGTATGCATCTGGTTAAGTATCTTCTTCAGACTCATCGCTCCAAGTTTATCGTCAAGGTGGTGAATGGTAAAATCACATTTGGACTTGCTTCGCTGTCCCAGTGGTGCAGAAAGGTTGATAAGCTCACGAAGCTTCTTGCACCTCTGATTTATATCACGTCAGGGCAGCCATCACGAGCTGCCGAGCTAAGCGCTTCGACTTCAACAAACACAATTTCTGGGGAACGATCGATATATATTTTGAACCGTGAAGTCATGATCATACAAAGATATCATAAAGGTCCGACGATATCGGGACAGCATCGCTTAATTGCGCGATTCCTGCCGCCGGAGTTGACGTTAGATTTTCTGATCTATGCTGCCCTTGTGCGTCCGGTACAAGAATTTTTCTTCACTCAACTACAACGTGGGGGCTTTACTTCGGACCGTTCTAGAGAAGGTGACGCTTTGTTTTACTATCTCTTCAGCACTACAGGGCAGGGCAGACTAAATGGGAAAGGTTGCCGTGCTGCAATTAACATGAATTTTGTAAGTTGCGGTAACCAACTTTCTGTTCGGACTTACAGACACGTCGCGATCGCATTCATGGAGAAGAACATTACATCAACAAGATCGAATCAGGACATGTTTGATTTTCAAGCCGCTCATGCACCGGCAGCGGCTTCGACGTTGTATAGCCGTTCTACCACGGATCCGTATTTTATGTCGCGCGATGATATGGCCGAATTTGTTTCTTGTTCCCACCAGTGGCATAAACTTCTCGGACCTGGTAACTCGACCAGTACCAATTGTTACGCCCCAAGTGACCAATCCGAGATAATGCCAAGGAGGAAAAGTTCGCCGACGTCACCCGTGCAGCAAGTTTCAAGATTCAATCAACCTGCTACGCACGGACGCCCAATCACAATTGTCGTACCAACGTTCAGCTTCTTTACTATTGGCGAAGTTATAAGCAGCTTACTTCCGGAACACTTTGGGCCAGCTCGGATTTTGCTCCGATCATTTCTTCGTGACCAGACTGCTTCGTTTCGGTCAAGAGAGCAGCGTGTTGCAACGACACTGGTTTTGCAGAGCGTCTCTAATTTACTCGTTGTACTCCCTACAAATGGTGGGAAGTCCTTGCTGTTTCATTTGGCCGCATTATCGAATTCTACGCGTGTTGTCATTATTGTTGTGCCTTTGGTAGCACTTTTATTGGACTCGCTTCGGAAGACAGAACAATTGGGAATCGAGTGCTCTAAGTATCACCACGATACGAGTCCTTTCACAGCGCTACCGTCTATTTTGTTCGTCCGAGTAACGTACTTGGAGCATCAAAATTTCCGGACGTTCCTACTGTCGCTACAGGAGCAGGACAAACTAAGCAGAATATTTTTTGACGAGGCTCACTTGGCTATGACCTCGCAAGATTACCGCAGGTGCATGTCATTCGTCTATGTGTTATCGTCCATTTCGGTCCAGAAGACACTACTGACGGCAACTCTTCCCCCCACTTGGGAAAATGACCTCATGACAATTTTTGGCTTCCCTTTCGTCACTGTGAGAACGCCGATAGGCCGAGCGTCTATACGTTACGAAGTGGTGGAATTGTTATCGAATACAGATATGATGAAGGCATGTCTATCATTGATGAAACTTCCTATGGCACATCCTGACAAAGGCATTGTCTTTGCGTTGACAAAGCCGAAGGTCGAAGAAATTGCAAACTATTTAGAGCGCCATACGTCCAACGTGGTCGCCCGGTATCATAGTGGAATGACTTTCGATGAGCGCAAGAATAATTTGTCATTGTGGAAGTCCCCTAACTGCTCGTATATTGTTGCGACGTGTGGATTGGGTCAGGGTGTGGATTACCCGAACGTTCGAACCGTACTACATTTTGGACTAGCCTACAGCTTGACCGATTACGCGCAGGGGACAGGTCGGTCGGGGCCTGATGGTAAGCCAGCAAAATGTGTCACCATATACAGTGAAACATACTTCCAGCGCTTTTCGAAGCATTTGACAGTGGGTTCATCGAGCAATAAGGGCGAATATCAAGCCCTTAGTACGCTACGGGCATTCCTTTTAGATAAAATCCGCTGCAGGAGGCAACGACTACAAGAGGCAATGGACGGTTCGGGCTTTCCGTGCACGGTTGACGATGTCAACAAGTTGTGCGATGTCTGCTCTAGAGCTATGGGAGATGATCAAAATAAGGCCCCAATCGCACCAGCGTCACGAAGCATTCGGTTACAGTGTGCAGAAGCTAACATCAGAGTCCTCAACGACGAAAGAGTCTACATGCTGTTGCAGGAAATGATTTTCAACGATGAATCGACACATTGCGTGGTATGTTGGGTTTCTAACCAAGCGAAATTCATTTATCACCTCCCAGAGGCATGCCCACATCAAGCAGCCTACTGTTTGAAGTGCCTTGGTGCCCATCCTGTACACGAGTGTGAGAATCATTTAATTTTTGGGTCTCGCTATCCGTCGTGCTTTTTCTGTGGCATTCCAATACACCACGCGCATTGGAAAAACGATCTTCATTTTGGAAGTAAGCCGGGATCTTCCTGCAACTCTCGACTGCGCGGGAGGATGATCCCAGGTGCATGGAGTTTTTACAACGTATGTCGAACTCGCGCATCATCCCGTGGAGGAATAGAAGGTGAAATTGCCCTCTTGACAAGACAGGAATTTGCACAGTGGATTGTGAAAGTACCCACCGGTAGCTCGTTTACCAACTTGTGCATTTTGTGGGCATACATACGAGCTCTCTTCTCTGGTTAATGAGCTGCAACTACTTGTCCCACGACCGTAGCTTAGCCACGAGAAGACCGTGCCATTGATTTACCTCATACCCAGTTTTTAGATCACGAGAGCATACATTTGCTAAACATTTATGCTTTCTAGTCCATATTTTCATTCGACAGATCCAAATGGGGTCACTAACTGCATTCAGCGATGCCATCTGTTCCGCCAGCACGGCGGGCGCCGTTGGCTCTAGCCTGAACAGTGTCAATGCTATATTAGAAAAAGGAGCGTGATCGATTTAGATTGCGCTGCAAGCTGCTCGTCCGTGTGAGCGCAACGTTATCAAAGCTAACGGCTCCAAAGCATCTACGATAAGCATACGAAGGGTGGTCGTAGCAAATTATTCGACGTCGCCGGTACCACCACCATCACCCAACGCGACCCGCGGTAGTTTGTAGGCACTGCATACATGAAGTAGAACGGCCAACACCGCCGAGAACGGTGGCTATCGGCAGCCTGCCGCCGCCAGTATCGTCCCTCAGGTCTACCAGTTCACAGCAGTCAGCTCCGCTCACCGCGTCGCTTGCTCGGGTGGAGAATGTATCCATCAATGTTGCTGCTGGCCCCCACCAGGTCGCTGCTGGCGGCCACCATGTCGCCACCGCAAAGCGTTATGCAGTCATACTGTACCATAGACCGCCAACATTGCTTAGGGAGGGGGGGGGGGATAAAGTTTGCCGACTCTGCGCTTGACATGCGGCGCGCCTCCAAGGACGCGCGCCTTTGTACGACCGAGCTGCGGTTACGCGGCGTGATGATCGGTATCTACGCGCGCTCGCTCCGCCGACGAAGATGCGCCTGGTGGTGTCGAAACTCGCTTCTCGGGGCAGCCGCGTTACATGTAAATACAGCGTCTTACACGCCATTAAAAATGATTAGATATGACGATTAAAATATTGTAGAGGACCAATAAGAATAGTTTGATATCAACATATTTTAAATAATTTGTACGGTACTACAAAAAATATCAGCTTTAGGGTTTAGTCGCTATCAGTTATTAGAGAACCTCAGACGCCGAGCCTAAATTAAAAAACCAACCAAAATAAGCTAATTTGGACACGAAGGCCCCTGGATGAATGATATTGGGGTCGTGAACACCTAAAATAAGCTGGCCCAAGGACCCTAAAGGACCCTGGGATGAACGTTCATCCGGGTCGTAATATATATACGAGCCGGTTCATACGCCCGGTCATGCAAACCCCGTCAACCCTAAACCCCGTCGAGAAAACCCCGTCAAGAAAATCCCGTCGAGGTCAAGTTGTGATTACGTTACGCAAATGTGGCGTGGTAATACCACTAAAATTCTCTTCTACCAAAAGGTATTAGAGACACCAACAACACGCTAACCCGCAAAGGTAAGCGCTTATTGGATCAAAACCTGAAGACCAGGAACGATCCCTTACACCGGGTCGGTTGCAAGCGCCTCTGTGCACCTTAGGCTATCTTCGGTCAACCCAAAAACCTGTACCACTAGGCATGAGCTTAGGCTAGGATACTACGTAGCGCTTTCGCGCAACCCCACTGCAGTCCCTCAGAAAGAAAGGGTACCGGCATGTTAGGCCTTATACAGGGGGACCAAGGTAAAACCTCGGTAGGTAGACTAATACACTCAGGGATACTCTAATGCCACAAATATATACCGAACGATACTCTAATACCGTTCCTGCCTTTCCGGCCACGCCAACCCTTGGCGCTGCCAAGGAAACTCTCGGTCAATGCACGATAAGCTCCCCGACAGGCATCCACACGCAGCCGAGCGTGTCCAGGCACTACAATAAGCTAGCTACACTTACCGAAGTCGGACTTGACCCTTGTTGGCTTTGGGGGAAGACTGTCTTTTTATTACTGAGTTTTCTGAGGCCCTGGGGGCCTCGTTCTGGCCATCTTATGATGAGTCCTATGTCCCTATACAAATATCTAGTGTGGACGATCGCAATAAGGCGAATCTGGACACATCATATGACGACCACGGCTACACTAATAAGTGCGGCCGAAGTACGTAACTAAATGCATCTGTACCTAAAAGTGGGTACCATGAAGCCTCGCTCGGGGTTGTATTAGAACCCGACGAGGCTTCGGCCACTACCTGTCACTCCAACGAGGATAATGCCGCCAGCTTAACCAAAGCAGCCACTTCCATCTCGCGATTGACTGCTCCTTGATTATTGTACCTTGATTCTTGGGCGACGGGCAATCGCTCCGGTAATCTCCATTTTCCGATACCACAACTGCCCCCGCCTGGACACGAGCCTCAGCAACAGGTGAGCGTCTAGGCGCCTTCCGTCCGTCAACTTCATGGTTCATTCATTGCGCTTGCGCTTGACCGCTGCAACCGCCGCTCTCCTGGACCTTCAGTGTTCTGGTCCGGTACGCTGGACGTTCTTGCTGCTCTTCGCCATCAGTTGGATCCTCGTTAATGACGCCAGCTTGTTCTCCGGCATCCCAGGGTGCTGTCGATGTAGTCACCGACACTTTGCAACGTTGGCTAGGGTCACAAGATCTTTCATTACCCACCGGTGGTTCTGTTGGCGCTGATAATACGGTCCCGGTGCAAGCTGCACCTGTGACCGAGCCTCCAGTGCCTTCCGTCGCTGCTGAAGTGTCGGTCAACACACCACAAGGTTCCTCCAGTGATATTTCATCTTCTGCTAGGGCCACCGAGGATTTGAGGATGCTTGGAGCCGCTACATTACGCACGGTGATACACATGCCGATGCATTTCGGTGGTCGTCTGGTCCGACGTTGGTCGTTCCACCGATACCATGCTGACTGCCGGTGTTTGCGTCTTGGTCCCGTTTACTTCACCTTCAGTGGCATCTTCTGCAGCGTGTCAAACTCAATCGGAACGGCGTACGGTAGCCGGTCATTCTTCAATCGTCAGTCCATCCAATGCTACATCACCGGAATTCCGGTGGTCGTATGGTCCGACGTTGGTTGTTCGGTCGATGCCCCGCGCACTGCCCCTTGGTTACACCTTGGCTACGTTTCCTCGATTACATTGGTGTCTGCTTTAGAAAGTGCTGCATCACCTGAGGGTCAAACTGAGTAGCATGCCCTGCCACTCTTCTGGCCGCAATACCAATCTACCGGAGTTCCGGTGGTCGTATGGTCCGACGTTCCATCGACATGCTGCTGACCGCCGCTCGTCACACATTGTCCGCATACTTCGCAGCGTCGCTGATATCTTCTGTAGCTAGTTCTGCGTCGTTCGAGGGTTCAACGTCAACTGCAGTAGTCAGGGAAATTGCGATGACTCGTCCAGCCTCGCACCATTACTACGTCGTAACTTCGGTGGTCGTAAAAGAGGCAGGTATTGTTGCCCCAGCTTGAAGCTCACGAATTGCTGCACCGCCAACGTCGGTTACATCATCACTTGCTTCGTTATCACTCAGAGATAGTGTAGCTGTGTCAACCGTGGTTTCGTTGCCTTCGTTCCACAGTTCCATCCGGATTTTCCGGTGGTCGTAACCAATTCGGGTTTAGTTGCCTCAGTCTGTGGCTCGGGAACCACCGCACCAGAAACAACGGTCGAGCCTTCAGCTTCTTCCTCTTTGGCGTGAGAACTGTACCAGTGTTGACCGTGGTTCGTGATCCACTTACAGCAAATACTCGGTGGTCGTAACGTAAGGTCTGGGTACCCCAGCCTCGATCAATCGACCCGCTGTGTTGCAATCACATCTTTTCGAGCCGCACCAATTCTCGTTCAGGGTTCCCACAGTTTCCGCGCAGGCACCATCAGGCACCACCGCCTTGAACGAAACGTAGTTGTCGGGCGTAGCGGTCCCAGATCCACTCATATCTCAACTTCATCATCAAATCCATACATCGTCTCAAGTCGAGGTCCGGCGCACAGGCGCGACCTTTTTCCACGTTAATATCGGCACTCGAATCCTCGGTCACCCTTCCTTGAGCTTCATCCTTGTTCGTTTCATCTGCTGGGGTGTTGATCGAGGCAGACATGCCACTCCATCGTGACTCATTCACATCACATGTAATATGCAAATTCCAGTAATTTCCTTCGTCTGTCGCTGCGAGCTGGATAGCCCTCACAGGCAGTTCAATCATCGTTTCCAGTAGCTTCATTCGTCTACCATCGCGAGCTGGGTAACCCTCGCGGGCAGTTCAAATGTCGTTAGCGTATGCAACTTGTCAACGACTTGGGCCACGTGCAAACATCGTGCTGCGTTCGCCACTCGTGCAGGTCATCACCCAAACGAACAATCGAACGGTGTTCGTCTGCGCTTAGGTACGTCATCTCAGGTCCGTTCCACTTCCAAACCTTTGCCAGCCCACCACTGAGAATCAGCACTCGTGTCTGATTTACCTCGTTCCATGCAGGGCCAAATCCGAGTGGTGGGCTTCAGTCGAGAGGTCGGTAGAGACTCCTGCGCGTAGTCGCTGAGATATATCTCGTTCGCGGTGTCATCATCCTCCGGGAACCCTTCCGCAACCATCGCATGTACGACCGAGGTGTAATTCGCCTCCAATAGTCTTTCTGGGTCCTCTTTGTCCGGGCCATCGACACAGTTTTCTCCATCGGTACTAACCTCGGTCGTGGCGGTTCCTGCTTCAGTTAAAATGTCGTTCGATCCAGGATCATGTTCACCCCAGTCGATAGTGGCGTTGCCCCACGCGACCGACGTTTGATCTGGTTCAGGGCGTGCTTTCGTATCCGTCGCTGTTCCGGCCATCCGCGGGGCGGATTCCGCCGCTGCTGTTACATCTGGCGCGTCATGATCTTCTCCCGAATCGTCGTTCAGCTCTCCAACACCATCATCACGCTTGGCTCCGGCTCCTGACACCTCGGCCGGGGCTTCCTGTGCCCCATGTTCGATGCTATAGGCGTTATGATCGGTGCGCTTGGATGTATAGGACGCTCGGTGAAGCGACGACCCTTCCAGTGCGTCGGAGTCGGTCCGTGCACTCGCCTCGTCGTCCGAACCGTCGTTGGTTATACCATCACGTTCTGTGTCGTCTGCGCCAGGCTCAATAACCTTGGCCGAGCCTTGGGAGAGCCTGGGGTCGTTGGCATGATCCGATATACCGAGCGAAGAATAATCGTCGTTAGGACGACCTTGAAGATGACCTCTCGGTCATATTGTAGCTCCGAGCGGTCTCCGTAAGATCTTCAGCGGCGTCGAGTAAGTCCTGCGCTCAACCGCGGGTGGCTGTTTGGCCAGCCATTGGTCATAGAGACATCGCTCCCTTCCATACAAAGTCTCGTCACGGCTCGTTGAGTATGCCAGCACCTGCTACTCCTTTTACTTGTTAGAGTCTAACCTCGCGTAGCCGGTCTCTCGCGGTAGTTCACCATGCGGTACCCAGAGCACCACGGAGTCGTGCTTGGGACACTGTGCCGTTGTGGTCGCAATATTGGTGAGTCGTACCCGTGTCGGCTGCCCCCGTCGAAGCCTCGTTACGGTCGGCACAAGCTTTCCCGTGCGCCGTACCCACACATCGTACTCCGAACGAAGTTGCCGCTGGCGCGGCAGTCGAAACTCTTGCCACTCGCGACCGGGGACGTATAAATCCTCGATCGGCCCACACGAAGGCTGCGTACCGTAAGGTTCGTCATCCCCAACACTCTGCGGCTTCGGCAGTGGTACCATGACCTCGTCTGGAAGGCGTGCGGTGCCATGGAACCGATCCAGCCGGATTCCAGTCGGAATCATAAAGTCCATCCCAAGGACCACATCCACTCCGGCACTGTGGTCAATTATCCACATTTCGAACTCGTCTGCCTGCTCCCACCCGAGAGTGATCTTGACGAGCGCCCGTCGCCGGGTCTCCATCACCCCGGGTTGATGCCGCGGACTTCGAGACTTCGTCCGTTGTCCCGGACTTCCCGTACACGTAGCCGCTTCGCGAAGCTGGCAGAAGTCACGCTAACATTCGCTCCAGTATCAAGGCGTAGCCTCGTTCGCGCGTCGTCCACGGCGCCATTGACCAAAGCTCTCATTCGCTTCCTCTTGTCGTATCGCTGGGACGACCACCACCCCAGTCTCTCACCGGGCAGTAATTGCACCGCCCGAACAAGGCTCCGAGGTGCTGGGTTAGACTTGTAATCAAAGCCTCGGTCGGGTGTCCATCACGTTCATCATCTTCATCTTCATCAATACCGGTCTCAACGAGACTTGCGTCTCGGTTCTCTCCATTTTCCGTCGGTTTCACACGATCATTGTTCTTCAGCTCCATTTTCCGTCGGTTTCACACGATCATTGTTCTTCAGGTCGTCAGGCCGTTTGCTTTCGCCTTTGAACGCGAACAGATAGTCCGCATCAATAGCAGGCTCAGCTAACTGTGGCAGACCGATTGGGACCAACCCAGTTTCAGTTGGCGGACTGCCTCGTTTAAATGGCTTCCATACACCAGGCTTTGCAGCTGTGGCGACAGATCCTTCTTGTCGAACTTGGACTTCAGGAGCTTGGCGAGGTCGAGGAGTGCTTCGCACTTCCCAGCGTCGTGCACCTGTTTGCACAGTTTGCACCGCCGGTAGCAGAAGTGCGCGGAGTGGGACGGGCTTCCGCACGCGGCACACGGCCCATACTGGCGACGGCCATCTCGTTCGCGGTTGGACGGGCTTCCTCCGTTCCTGAAGCGTCGGTTGTCAGAGCGGGCGAACGTTCCATCGGCTGCGGCCCTGCGCTCAGCGTCGTTAGCGGCAGCGACATGTCGAGTAGACTCGTCCGAGCCGTAATCGGCGTCTGAATCCTCGTCCGAGCGTTAGTCATCCGAGTACTGGCGCACGTCCTCGAAGTAATCCTCGTTCGCCTCAGCATCACGTCGGGGGGCGTACGAAGCCTCGTTGCGTTGGGCGATCGCTGCGGTGGCTCAAGAAGTTCATCTACGAGATGGAGGGGACCAACACCCCGCAGGACTGCTGGTGTGAGCCGTTTCAGCTCCTCATGGAGAGTGGAGGCAGCAACTGGGTTCGCCAGCTCCCGAAGAAAACGCGCAACAGGTGGGCGCTGCTGTGCGAGGCGTTCATGGCGTACTACTGCTCGCAGCACGACCAATCCGCCGAAGACCGATATTACACCGCCACGCGGGACGAGGGAGAGCACATCTGCGACTACCTGCTGCGCCTGAATGGATACGCTCGCTCGGCGAAAATCGCGTATGAAGCGGGCGGCACCGTCGGCGCGGGGCACGTCAAGCGCTTCCACGACACTTGTGAAGATGGTGCGCTGGTCCGACAGTTAATCCCTCAACGATTCGACAACATTGCCAAGGTGGAAGCTGTGATCAACGACACGATGGACGCAGACCGACGTCGCAAAGACAAGGACAGCACGCGTAAACCATCACGCGATGGGGGCCGACGGACCGACAGCGCTAGGCGTGATGACCGTCGGAACGACCGGGATGATCGCCGAGGTGACAGCCGTAGCCGACGTGAAGGTCGCTACGATCGTCGAGTCACCGTCGCAAGTGCGTCGGTCGACGAGCTCTATGACGCCTGGCAAGACCGCATGTCTCTCACGCCTCGTCGCCGAGTCGACTCAGATGATTACTTGGAAAGCAGCAATCATTCCGACCGCTCATATAATTCCGAGTATGAATCAGATCACATGGACGCGGCTGAGACGAGCCGGAGTGTCGCAACTCAGCGATCAGACGGTCAAAGTCGCGCGAATGTATCGGGCGACGGGCGTAGAGACGAAGGCCGCTGAAGCCGGTGGAACGACCGAGAACGCCGAGGTCGTCCGGAGTATGGACCGTGCGCTGCCTGTGGCGACCCGCGTCACTCGGTGTACCGGTGCTTCCGGCGGTGCAAGTTCTGCGCGCAGGTGCATGGTCAATGCAAGCACCACAAGCTTTTTGAAATTCCTGAAGTCGAAGCACGACAAGGACCCCCAGCTCCAAGGCATATTTTCCAGCAATTTAAACGAGCGCGCCCGCCAACTATAACTGGGTTGGGCAATGACGGGCGGCCACAGTTGTCTGAGCCGGCGATCGAGGTAAACTTCGTGTTTGCCTTTGTTCGGCTGAGCAAATGGCTGGGAAAGGACAATGCGACGGACATGGAGTTGAAAAACGACGGAAAATTGAACACGGTCGACGAGCCAACCATACTGAATTCAAGTCAGGAGGTCAGCGAATCTACCGGGATGATCACAAGTGCGACGCTGCGTGAGACGAGACCGACCCCTCGAGCCAAGGTGATGAAGCTGCTCGCGGGCGAGCGCCAAGGATGGTGGTCGCAGAAACAGTTCGATCGGCGAAAGCGGATGCGAGCACTTGTGATGGGAGCAGTGAACGACAGAAGAACGAAGATTTTGCTGGACACAGGCGCGAACGTGAGTACGGTCAGCGAATTTTTCGCTAAGAAAATACGGCTGAGACGCAGGGTGAACATGGACATGCAGCTGGACATACAAGGAATTGCCAAGGACATGGTCTACACGAACGAACGTGCGAAGGTCAAGCTGACACTGGGTTGGGAGTTGGTTTACGATTTTGAAGTCTGGATCATGCCTCACTACGCGGGGGTGGACGTCATTCTTGGGACTGATTTCATAATTCCAGCCGGTGTCAGGCTGGACCTCTTCCGGTCGACGATGCAGAACCCGGAGGAGGTGGTGGTGCCGCTGGTCAAGTCGCAGAAGGAAGTCGACGAGCGTAGCGCTGCGGAACATGTAGCTGCGAGCCCGCCGGAGACGATGGAAGTACTGGCGGGCGAGACTGTTGAGTTCAAGTTGCCCAAGAACCGACCAAGCTGGGCGACCCACGATCTATGGGCTCGGCAAGCTAGAGATCTGTTGCCGACAGTGGTCTTCAGCAGGTCGGGAAAACCGACGAGAGTTCGATTGACAAACTGCACGGACAAACTGGTGTCCTGTCCGGCACACTTCCCGTTCGTGTATTGGATCCCGCACGAGGGCCTGCCGCTCAGCAATGGATACGTGCAATTGCATACCAAGAAGTATCGTGAGTGGCAAATACAGGCTTATGGATCATCGAAGGCGAAGCATCTACTGGAACACGAACGTCACATCTATGAAGAATGGTCGGCGAAGCAACCTCCAGCAGTCGAGAAGCGGGAATACGCAACCCCTGCTGGAGTTCGATGCCGACCAGTCGATGCACCAAGATGTCCTACCTGCGATGAACAATGGAATCGACTCGGCGAGCTATCCGACACCGGAGCCGGCGAGACAGGGGTGACTGATGAAATCTCGCCGAATTGCGGCAAGAGCGACAAGTCTGAGGAAGCAACAGTGGTAAGCTGTCCTATGGACGCCGGGGAACAAGACTATGCGACCCGCGTCACTCCTCAAGGTGAATTTGGTGAAATTCGGTGGGCGAACGAAGTCCAAGTCGCCTACGAAGACCCAAGGTTCTCGCCTGACGATGATAACACCGCTCACCTGATAAGCATGCTCCGACAGCAAGCGGATGGGATGCGCACACTGAGTGCCAGACCAGACCTCATCAAGGGTGTCTATCTCGACGGAACAGGAGGTGTGACTGACCCTGTGTACGTTACCGTGGCGGTGCTGCAAGAGATGGATGACGAGATCGAAGAATCGATGAGCGACGATCCGCTCGACGACCTACGACTTCGCTATATCGCCTCCGCGGAGGCTCTCATGGCAGATGGCGACAGTGTGGATGGAGACGAGTTCGAGCACGAAGCAACCGAGATTAACTTTGAAGATTACGCACACGAACTCGCCTTCTTACCGGACTTGATCGCGCCTGCCTCGACGATCCTGGACTATGATGCGCCAAATATGAAGAACCCCTCACTGGATCCAATTGGACAGATCAAGCTCGTCGAGACACTGCGCCGGCATGAAGAGATCATGATCGCCAGTGGTAACGCACTACCGCCGCCTGCGTATGGTGTGGTGTGCGACATTGATGTTCAAGGACACACCCCTATCAAGCAAAGAGCTCAGCGAATTCCGCTGAAATACTTGCAGAAGCTCTATGAGCTGCTGAAAGGGTTGCTGGAGGCAGGACTCATTGCGTTCGCATCCAGCCCGTGGGCCGCGCCGATCGTAATCGTGCTCGAGAAGAACGGCCTCGATATACGGCTATGCATCGACTACAAGATGGTCAACGCAATTACGCTCATTATGGAATATGCGATGCCGTTGGTCAACGATCTACTCACGGAAATGGAGAGCTACTTGTGGTTTTGTTAGCTGGATGCTGCCAGCGGTTTCTGGACGATCATGATGACGATGCGTGCTCGGTGGGTGTCGGCGTTTGTCTGCGCGCTAGGCCACTTCGAGTAGCTGCGCATGCCGTTTGGTTTAAAGAACGCGCCGATGATTTACCAGCGGATGATTGATAACGCATAGTGGGGCTACGTGCAACCGAAAGGTGGCTGGGAGGCTTTCGCCGAGCGAATGAAGCAGGCAGAGGCTAAGGCTCAAGCTCTACGTAAGGCGTTTGTGGTGAAGTCGCAGAGGTCGCCGAGTGTCGATCAACGCGACCTGCGGACGAAATTCGAAGTGGATCACCTGGCCCTCGCCGGAGGATCAACGTCAGCTTCACAAAAAGTATCTTCGTCCAGCCGAAAGTGGATTTCTTGTCGCATGTTGTCACGGGCGAAGGAATCCAGGCAGACGGAAAGAAGCTCGCGGCAATCGCTGAGCTCCCGTTCCCCTCGTCGAAGAAAGGAATGCAGGCGTTCCTGGATGCCCTGAACTACTACGGGAGGTTCATCCAGGGATTGGCCGTGTACGGAGCTGTGTTGTACCAGATAAAGGAGGACGACTTCGCTCCGGGGGGTGACCTCAGCGTTGCCCGCAATGCCTTTACAGCGTTACGCCAGAAGGCCGTCGAGGCACCGATCCTGCGGCACTTCGACGGCTCCAAGGGCGTCTACATCATGTTGTACGCCAACGAGTGGGCATTGATCAGTACGCTCATGCAAATGCATGACGACTTGCTCCACCCGGTGCGGTTCTGCGGCCGGGTGCTCAAGGAGAACGAGCTCAACTACCATCCTGCCGAAAAGGAGGTGTTGACTCTCTTGCAGGTGCTCAAGGTATGCTATACGCTGCTATCCGGCAAGACGTTGCACGTCTACACCAGGTTCTCAACTTTGGAGTGGGTGTTCCAGTCCAAGTCGTTATTCGGGAGGACGGTGCAATTCGCGGTGTTCCTGTCGCAGTGGCACCTGAAGGTCAAGCGAGTCCGCGAGCGTGACATCGAATTCGCCAAGCTGCTGCAGTCGTCGATCACACCCTTTGTGGCGCTCGACGAAGCAGTGGCCCCGCTTGCACCGCCCTCAAAAGGGTCGGCGACCGTGCGATTGGCTCCTCATCTGCTCTACGCGAGTATCCCTCGAGACTATGAAGGCCATGTGCTATCATTCGATGGGTCAGCGAAGACAGAGAAGCATGGCGGACATGGAAGCTGCTCGTGGATCCTGTGGCGCTTACCGGCTTGGGACATTGTGATCGCTGCGAGTGCGCACCTACCATCGACGACGGTCAATCTAGCCGAATATACTGGCATGAACAACGGAGTCAAGGCGGCGATTAAACACGGGGTGACCGATCTTATTATCGTCGGCGGTTCCAGGGATGCAATCCAGCAATCCATGGGGGTGATAGCATGCCGGAAGGAGACGCTGCAAGTCGAGCTGAAGAATCACAAGGAACTCACGACGAAGCTCAACTCAGTCCGCTATCTGCACGCCATAAGGATGTATAACGCATCTGCCGACTCGCTGGCCACGGAAGCTCTGGAAACCCAGGTCACCAAGGTGGTACTCAGCGAAACAAGGAAGGCGGAGCTCAAAGAGCTCAATCGAATTCCAGAGGTGCTGTATGTCGATGAGCAAGCCGCACTGGAGGCAGAGCGGAACACTCAACGAGCGGAAACCACTCAGGGAGCAAAACCTTCAAGTGCTGATGAGGTCACCGAAGAACTTCAAGTAACTGCAGTCACCAGAAGTCAAGCTCGGAGAGTAAGGTTCGAAGATCCCGAAGTGCAACGGCACACTAACCACGGTGACGTGAGAAGTCAGGAGGTTGAACAGACAGAGCCAGAAGAGACGCCAACCCCTCCAGACAACGCATCAGAGCCGGCGAGCGGAGCAAACGAAGCGCAAGATGCAAACGACGACATCGTCACCAACGGACCAGCTCCTGCTACTCCTGAAGAAGTTGACGAGCAACCAGACCCGGTAGCGGTGCAAGCAGAACGCATACGGCGAGTCTGCATTGCCCAAGACGAAGAAAGGAGGTGGGCCGTACCTCCGGGGTGACATTGAGTCCCTCGACTTCAAAAGGGCAGCCAATGCGAGCAAACTCGCCGACCGATTCGTCCTGGACGGAGACGACGTGCCACACTATGACACTATGTGGGTAAGGGACGCAAGCTCGACGAGGGTGGCGAGCCGGAACCTCAGTTAAGACTGGTGATACCGACGGCGATGATTGAAGAAGTCCTGCAGAGTTGTCACGACTCGATCGAAGGAGGGCACCAAGGGGTAACGCGCACGTTCCACCGGGTCAAGAAAGATTACTACTGGATTGGACTGTACGCCACGGTGGCTCGCCATGTGCGCGCATGCGCAGACTGCAGTACCAGCAAGGGCAAACCCCTTTTTGAGGGGTATTCGCCGGGCAATGTGCTCGCCGACCGCCCGTTCCAGCTGGTATCGATGGACTTCGTGACGCCGCTGTCGAAGACTCGGCGAGGCAACACGTCTCTGTTGCTGTTCCAGTGTTCCTTCACTGGCTACGTTATCGCCAAAGCCATGAGCAGCACCAAGGCACAAGACGTTGCAGATGTTTTCGAGGAATATGTGTTCCGACGCTTTGGTGCCCCCTCGATGATACGACACGATCGCGATCCACGCTTCATGAGTGAGACCTTCAAGGCATTCCTCGAGCTGATCCAGTCGAGGTCTAGAGCGACGCTCAGCTACCGGCCCCAAGCGAACGGTCAGCAGGAGCGGTCTGTCAAGTCGGTGATCCAAGCCGTGAACGTGTACGTCGAAGACCCACTCCAGCAGGACTGGGACGAGATCGCTGAGAAGATGGTGTACGCGATCAATAATTCGATGGACACAACGAGGAAGGAGACACCATTCTTCCTCGCCCACGGATGGGATGCCCAATCGACACTCAAGGCAATGACAAGTTCGTTGAGGCTCGACGATGGTGATCAGAGGGACGCTGCAGCCTGGAGACGCGAGGCCAGCCGACAACACGAGATTGCTCTGGCAATGGCGAAACACTACCAAGCCACCGAAAAGGCTCGGCTAGCGAAAGATCACAACGAAGCCCTTGGAAGAATTGAACGGCTTGCTGTACCGCTCGACGAACGTGGCGATCCTGGCAAAGCAACGGTCGACGAATCAACGGGAAAATCGGTCCATCGCTCACTGTTCCAGCCAGGAAGCCGGGTATGGTTGTTTATGGAGCGCGTGAAGCCCGGCTTGACCAAGAAGCTCGCTCACAGGTGGCATGGCCCTTTCCGCATCAAGCGGAAGGTGGAGGAGTTTGCCTACGAGCTAGAGCTACCTGACAAGACCGGTTACCGCTTCTATCCTGTGGTGCACGTGTCCAGGCTCAAGGCAGTGAGCGAAGATGACCGCAGACCGACTGCAGAGCTGATCGACGGGCTCGGCGAGGATGAGAGGTTTGATTTCGATGAGAAACTTCTACCGGAGTGCAGCTGGGAGCCGGAAGGAGACGGTGACAAGTACATCGCCGAAGCCATCCTCGACGATCGATGGCCAATTTCGACAGCCACGGAACGGACCCAGCGAAAGTTCTACGTCAAGTGAAAAGGCTACGATGAGCCGACTTGGGAACCAGTATCGAATTTATCGTGCGGAGGACTACTATTCGACTATCTCCTCCAGCGCAAGCGCGAGAACCGCTTCAAGATGGTTCAAGTTGCTGACGAAGACTAGCAACTGCGCGAAGTATCCCTCGGCGATGGACACAGGTCGCCGATCAAGGGATTGATGTTACTGTGTCACATGTTGACCTGGGCGAGGGTGAGGTACAGGCCCTCGTCGAGTGTATCTCGACTGTACCAACAACTGCATGATTTGATTTGACTTGATTAATATGGAAATGTGGCCGCGCGGAAAAGAGAACAACGGAACTACTACATGCAAAGCGCCTCCAACTAAAAACTCCGTCTCAACGCTATGTGAAGCTCGACAAATGTTTCGCGCGACGTGGGCCACGAATGAAAATCAGGCAGCGTGAATGACGTTTGGCGGCAGGAACTCAACCAGAGTTGGGCGATTCGCTGGAGGCCTGGTCTTCGGGTGGAGCGCAGGTAGCACGGGCTCGATGACTTCCCGTTCAGCCTCAGCCACGAGCTGGACGATTTCCGGATCAGCTCCAGCAGGAACGAACAGCGGGAAGTCCGGATGCGCTGGACGAAAGATCGTGTTGTAGGGGTGACGGCCAGGAGTGGTCAACCACCAGTTTCGCCACGGCTCGTTGCTGTCGATGTGGTTAACCTCGGCGACCCAGTCCTTCGTCTTGGGGAACCACGGGAGGTTTACCAACGGACAGAACGGGACGGCTGGATCGAAGCACACTTCAGTGTCCAGCAACGATGCAGGACTACCATCGATCTCGTGGGACACAGCCTCCACGATGGCGTCCCCGTATTCCTTCATCGCCAACCGCAGAAGATCGGAACGCTGCTTACATTCGTGGATATACTCCTTCAACTTCAACCACAGCTGGGTGAACTCCTCGTCGAGCTCGGCAGTCTGCTGGGAGGCGAACCATGCCTCGGTGAGCCAGATGTAGAGGCTGGACTCGACGATCCAGTGCATTCTTTCCCAGAGCGCCAAGAGGAGATCCCAACGAACGACGCCACAAGACCGACATAAAGCGAGAGTTAACGCTTCCAGGAGCGTCTCTGCTTTCCGCGATCTCTTCCCTTTCTCCACGGGAGGAAACACAATAAGCACTGTGTGGTCAACGAAGACCATGCTCCTAGGAAGAAGCCGGAAAATCGCCCGCTAAGGGTGGTTGGGGTCGTCGACCTTAGCGAAAGCGTGAAGGCCAGCCAAGCTGATAGGCGTAGGCTGGATTCGAACGCCGTCAGCTGTCTTCTCAGTGACCGCAATCGGCACGCACGACGCCAATATCTTCTCCCAGCAGCGACGCGAAGCCTTGTGGAAGAACGGAAGAGACCGGAGCCGCTTCATGTACTTCGACTCGCGAGAGTCCCGACTGGTCTCGTTCGACGCACGCTGCACGAGGGTTTTCACATCCACCAAGAGAGGAGGAGGTCCACCCTCGAGCTTGACCCTCACAATCTCAGGCTTAGATTCGCCCACCGGAGTTTTAGCGGCGGATGAGGAGGAACGAGTAGCTGGCTTCGCCGACTTGACCACCTTCGCCGAGCCTTTTTCTTCTTGCTCGCTGGAGCGGAAGCAGCCTTGACCGGAACCTTCTTGGACGGTCCTGCAGGCTTGACAGGAGCCTTGCCGGTGGAGTCCTTCGTGCTCGTTAGCGCCGGCTCAGCGAAGCTTGAGTCTTCATCCCCATGATCGGCTACGACAGAGCTGGCAGCAGTGGTCGAACTCCGGTCAGGTAATTAAGAACCAGGCGGAGTTAAAAGACCAGGTGAAGCTTGCTGATGGCCGCCATCATTGGATTCAGAGCCAACGACAGGCTTGCCCGGAGGTGCGACTGGCTGGCCCGACAAGTTGGGAGAAGTTGTAGCAGGGCTACCTCCCGCCGAACCAACATCGTGATCGCTGTCGCTATCTCCAGCGTCGTCGTCTTCGTCCGGACTCCCCGGACTCCAAGCAGGATGCTTACCAGGATGCAGGACCCGGATCATGACAGAGCTCGTTGTAAGTGCGGGTGGAGCCTCAGAGCTCAGCGATGCTAGAGTAGAAGCTGCCTCGACTTGCGTCGCCGGAGAAGCCTCGCCGACCACAGGAGTGACGGGCGCTGAAGAATACAACTCCTCGGTAGGAGCCTCAGACGCCGACGAAGGAGCAGGAGATTTGGCTGGAACGCGAGACGTAAAGCCGCCAGGTGAACTCTCAACAGCAACTGGACCCTCCAATGTCTCGCCCACCTCTTCGGTAACTCCAGAGGTGACAGCTTCCTCAGTAGAAGGCATCGACGAACCAACAGGAGTAGATGGAGTACCCGCAGGAGCGTCATCGACAGACAGTACGACGGGTGCTTCGCCGAGCACCACCGAGTCGTTGTCAGATTCCTGAGCAAGAACCTCCCGCTGGATAACCGCGGCGTTCAACTTGGCCGCTCGCTGAGGGTACCGGGAAGAAGGCGAAGGGGTGGAGTCGACCAGCCCAGTAGAATGCTCAGCAGCAGCAGGCACTGGAGCTTTCTCCTCAGTCAGCGAACCCTCGCTCGCGGGACTCGGTGACCGTCTCTTCTTGTTCGACGAGCGCTGCTTCTTGGGAGCAGGTGCAGAGCCCTGCCTCGCCAACTCCGCTTGCCGAGCCTCCTGGATGCGAGCCCAACGAGCCATCCGTCTCTTCTTTGGTTTCTTGGGCGAAGTCGGCGAACTGCTGGAAGCTGGAGCCTCGGTTGACTGTGCTGACTCGTCGTCTGGGTCACGGGAACGACGGCGCTTGCAACCAACGACAACAGACGATGGTGAGCGTGAGCGATTGCTCGCCGAAGGAGCTGAAACCCGCGAAGGGAGACTACGCGAAGACGCAGCCGGTGGGGAAACGCTACGAGCGGAAAGGCTCAGCGAACGACTAGCCCTGGTCAAGTACCGACCTACGCTCGACGACCGAGCCCGGAGACGGCGGTCAGCCGCAGGAGTAGCTTGACTCGGCGAGCGAGATCGGTCACGGCTCGACGAAGGTGTATGACTTGAAGTGGAGGCACGAGTGGTGGCCCTGACCGTTGAACGCACAGGATGGCTTGGTAGCGGGGCAGTCGGTGTCGGAGACGGAGTCTGCACGTGCTGCTCCACCTCACCGAACACACCCAAGCCAGCTTGACGAAGCAAGTTGCTGGCGTCACGAAATGCCTCCAGCTGATCGGCTTCCAAGCCAGGCATAGGTTGACCTACAACGCAACAAGTTCGATGAGTGACGAAGGGAACACCGAGATTCATGAAGACACCACCCGACTTATCGAACATAGCTGCGACTGCCAGGAAGGGGCTCTGCTACTGAAATTCGCTGACCAAGGATGTGAATTTCTTGCAGCGAGTCAAGGTCCGGATCGTGTGGTCCTTGTCAGCGAGCTGACGCTTGAGCCACTGGTTCGCAGACCCATCTCCCATCAGGATGGCGTCCGACAACTGAGCCAACTGAGTGGAGAGCTCATAGCAACGGCCGATGAGCAGCTGACGATTCCCAGTGTTCCGCCTATAATCGTTGACTTGGGCAGCAATAAGCTGATCCTTGTCTCGGATTGTGGCTTCCAGAAGCTGCTTCTCGGCGAGGAAGCTCATCCGCTCAGTGTCCAGCAGCTGCATGCTGAGCTGCCCTTCGTTGCTCGAGTCGATAAGGCGATAAGGCGAACCACCTCCTCCTTGAGTGAGCGAGCCAGCGCATCGGATGTCGCAGCTGCCTCGCGGAGGGCGGCGATCTCCTTGGCTGCTTCACAGAGGTTGTGCTGCAGGAGGTCTGCGCGCGTGCGTTCAGCAAAGGCTTCCGCAGCTTTCTCGCCAGCGACTGCAGCAGGGCGAGGTCCATCGTCGACCTGGTCTTCAAGCGCTGGTAGCAACTCGTCGATTGACGACGCGTTCTGGAGTCGACGATTCAGCTCAGGCGATGGATCCACCGGTGGCTTGGCGAACAAGTACGCAAGCAACTTGCACATCTTGGTCTCTCGCTCGGCCATCGTGAACTCCATCCGATTGTCGCGCAGCTCGAGAACGCGCTCCAAGTCAGCGAGAGTCAGCGGTCGTCCCACCGACGTCCCAGATCCAGCACCCGACGACGCAGGAACCGACGACGGGTCTTCTGATGCAGATGAAGCATGGAGGTTCTCAACTTTCACATGAAGCGAAGCTCCATCGTCCAGTGTCGCCGCTGGGGAAGCATCAACGGAGCGGCGCGAAGTAGTTGCCGGTGGCGGGCTTGACATCAAGTCGACCGCAGCCTGTCACGCACTGTCCAGAGCGATGCAACGACGTGTGAGCAGACAGGTCGACGGGCAAAATGACGAGCGCCGGGAAGACTTACGGATGGTGGCGTAGAAGGCACGGTGTCGCACGCAGCATCGCCCATGGTGTCGGCGAAGAAGTGCTCAGCGATCCGACAGTTGGCGTTTGATGGAGAGAAGAAAATCACTGTCCAGAGTGATGATCAGGACACTCGCCGGCAAGGTTCGGGTCCCGATCAAGAGGGTTGTGGTATAGCGATTTCTGAGTCCGCAGGTCGGTGGTTGCAGTCAGTCCGGACCGAGTGTGTACACCGGGCACCGACTGGAGGAGTATCGCCGACGCTGGATCCCAAAGATCTCAAGGGTCGTCGAGCGAGGAGTCGGCGAGCAAGTTGACTTGGTTTTAGTATTGGAGAGGCCGTAACAGCCCATTTTCATTAGATATTTGTATAGGAACCCCAGGGAAGGGCCTTTGAGCCCGCCAAAGCAAAGATAAATACAGAGTGGAATTTTCGAGGTCCTAAACAAGCGGCACGCGGCGTCTCTTCAAGGTACGACCGCCCCCGTGGGGCTAGATCATGACCACCGCTGAGATCAGCTATCCGAAGTGACGGAAGTGTTCTCAACCGCCCGGCGAGTCCAAGAGCGAGTGTGTGTAGTGGTTATCTGGATTCCGCCCCTGGCGAAGAGCTCGTCGAGCGTACGAGCGCGGGTTTTCGGCCCGCCCCCGACTCAGCCGGTGCGGTTTTGCATCGGCGCCCCGTAAAAGGCGAGAGCTGCCGTCCATCCTTTGGTAGAGGGCACGGGTCAAGGAGAGAAGGAGAAGGAGAAGAAGCGACAAGGAGAGGTCGGCGAAGGAAGGAGAGCGTGCTCTGTGCTCGTGGCACGGCTCCTGGGACGACTTGGCAGGTGCCTGGGTAACCACTGCACCGCTATAAACGGACTGGGCGATCTTCGGACCACCCGACAAGCCTGCGCTCCCGTTAGTGTAGGTGTTGTTGGTGTGGGAGTGGGAAGCTAACGAGTTTTGGCACGTCTGCTACACCACGGTCGACGTGGTCCAGTCGATGACGGAAAATGCATTTCGGGCATCCGTTTTCTTGTGTGCGTCGGCAACAGGAAAAAAGATGCCCCGCTCATTGTATTCGCAGGCGTTCCGAATGCTGACGTGCACCAAGAGCTTTTGAACCACCCCCTGCACCGCAATCGGGTCGTGCTCACAGTGCAGCGTAAAGCATACTGCGACGAGCGCATGATGCTGGACTGGATCGATGAGGTAAATGCATACTCCGTGCGAATAATATTTCAATGTTACCTTTGCTAACGTGTTTTAATAACTGTAGGTTTGGGGGCCTGAAGCAAGCAACCAGCGGCTTCTATTGCTGGACAGCCTAAAAACGTATAAAATGGCAAGTGCGCGCGCCAAGTTGGAGGAAGATTACTGCTCGGAGGTAGAGTTTGTTCTACCAGGGATCACGGGGCTCGCTCAACCGATGGACGTATCAGTGATGCGTTCCTTCAAGTCAAGATGCCGAAGACTCTACGTTAACTACGATATCAACCACGACTTCCCCGCCACCACGACAGCCCCGGTTTTTTTATATGACGCAGATCGTGCTGTTGGCGTGGGAAAGTATTGAGGAGAAGCGTATCGCTAGGGGATTCGTGAATGCAGGGTTCGTGCCCATCGGACCGCGAGAGGCTGACGGCACCTTCAGAGTTCCGGAGCCGACAAGTGAGTCTGTTAGCGTAGAAGAAGAAGAAGAGTCTGAAACTGAATAAAACTGCGTGGATTTTCACTTTAATAAAAATTGATGTTGGTTGTACAGAAGGGGTGTCACTTTAATTATTTTCGTCGTGAATTGGGTTTTTACGCACGGTTGCATCAAATCCGTGGTTGCAGAGATCTCGTGCAATACGGTAGCATGATGTTAGCACGCTCTGCTGTTAGTTTAGCACGCTGTTAGCCCGGCATACATTTCCCTATATTATTCGCCGGTATTCGGCGGTATCGGTCAGCGCGCGCGCGTGCTGGTAGTAAGTAGTCGTGTAATGTACACAATGAAGTAACAGCAAGTAAAGTAACAATAAAACCCGGTATTTTAAGTAAGCGAAGTGGCGCTAAAAGTAAGTGAAGTAAGTGAAGTAACGCAAAAATGAAATAATAAATGTACTCGGGGGGACAATTGTACTCCAGGGGTACAAAAAAATCGGCCTGAATAATACAGGGTTTAGTATGGGGAAAGAAATAAAATTAGGCCTGGGGGGAATAGTACCCCTGGGGTACAAATCCGAAAGCACGTGTACTAGACACAGTCCTAAGATGCTCTTAACGAACTGTGAATTCTATTAAAACTATTTTCTGAGCCCTGCTCACCTGTCTTTTGCTGCCAGTCCAGGAAAGCCAAGCAGCTCGATCATGAGTTGAGGCACCTAGATTAGTGTGCTAGGATACAGATTATCAATTCAAGGTAAGAACTTCACTCCATTCACGAATACCTCTGATGCCTGAAATCTGCTTTTCGTGACGTGTTGATCCAACAACTTTCAGCCCTGCAGGGTAATGTTTGACGCAGGTTCAGCCAGAATCGCATCTTCACCCTCGCAAATGTCCTTCAGACCTTCAACAGCGTAACTGTTTGCTCCAGCCAACATGAACGAGGACAGTTTGTTGACAAAATTCACTTTGGAGAAGTCAACGCTGCCGGTGGCGACAATGTCAGAAACGCGGAGGGCGTTGCCGGTGCATTCGCTGCCGTCGTAGAACACGAAGCGATAGCCATGAGTAGCCTTCAACCAAGCAGCACGGACCGCAATGTTGCCGTAGCAGGAGTCGAGCGAGTAGCACACTTGGGTCTCGGAGAAGGTGAACTTCTTGTAGCGAGGGTTGAGTGACGTGGGTTGCTTCGGAAACAGTCGGAGCTCCACAGCAGAACTTAGGCACAGGAGGGAAGCCACAAGCGCGACGGCGAGCAGCAACACGGTGGAGGTTGGCATGGACATCCCGGATGCAAATTGCAGAATGACCTGAAATACAAGGTTCGGATCTTCAGAACAAGTCATGTCTGTCTGGTATATCCTACTCAAAGCCAAGGCCCTGTCGTCATTCACGTGAATCTTCGCGCCAGCAAAGGGTCCGTAAATTGTGGACAAGGCGCTTGGACCTTGGATGCTTCGGCGCTTTTGCTACGGGCTAAAGTGCGTTATCCCCATTTCCAGATAGCCCACGACCCGACTAAAGCTCATGCACACGTTTGCTGCGTCGTTGACGGTCGTCATCGTAGCGATTGCCACTGCGATCATGTCGACTGATGCCGGTCATATCTACCTATATGACGGCCCCAATATCGATGGCTACTACCTGGATTGGGCGTTCCACGATACCCAGCACTGCTACTCGGTGCCATTCGATCATATTCAGGAAGCTACCCGACGGCGGCCATTTGGTCCTGTACGAAGAAACTGAGTGCCAAGGCAAGTACTACAAGGTCGCTGCGACGCCGCGCGGGACGCTCAAGTACAAGGACGGAGGGTTTGAGATCGGCGTTTCGTCCTTCATGGTTTGGTCGTCGGGGATATACGCCACGAACGGGTTGACCAATATCTGCGAGGATCACGACACAGAGAGGCTTGCGATCAACTCGACTGCTAGCGTACTGGACAATGCTGGGCGTTGAGAAGGAGAGAATCGAGTAAAGCAGTGAATTTACAGAGTCTATTGTGTCATTTGCACTCCGAACTTGCTATCAGGCTTTCCGGTCCAGCGGACATGAGTTCTTCTATCGTACGCTCCGGTGTAGAATAGCCTACGATCTTCGCTGGGCTTTCCAAGATCCCCTCCTTCCACGTCTTGAACGCCGAGACTTCCCCCGCCATGCCGACCGCTTCGTCAAAGAAGTTGATGTTACCATTGGCGACCGTAGGAGTAGCTACGGGCTTGCCGGTACAGGACGCGTCATCGTAAAACACGAGCTGATCTCCGGTCGGGAGCTTCGTCCAGATCGCGGAGTGAGCGCGGTCATTGAAGCAGGTCTTGAGCGAGACGCACGCTCCCAGCTTTGTCGAGTTGAATTTGATTGCGGAGTGGAACGTAACATCCCCTTCAAGCAGCCAAACCTCAGTCGATTCGCACACCACCATAGCAAGCACCCACACAGACGCTGCAGCGAGGAAACGCATTTACTGGTTCAGTGAAAAAGTAGAATTTGCAATAGCCGAAGGGGCTGATATCACCGCGATCCTAATACTAGGTGGCTCACAATGCCGCGACACTAAATTATGTGTGGATCCGCTGGCGGCGGGCCGCAGCATTTACATTATAGAACCCCGCAAAGCTTGTGGCAAAGACGAAGAATGCCCAGAAGCAGCTCTGCTCTGTCAAGCAAAAATTTCTTTACTTGAATCACTCTCGTCTTTGGTGGCGGCACTATCCTGGTTCTGCCAGGCAGCTTCGGGTTCATGTCCAAGGTCTTCGGGTGAACCAGGCGTATCTTCGGCATCCAGTGGCGACTCGGGGAAGCTTTGGAGGCGCGAATCGCGGCGTCTGAAGTTGCTGTCGGATCTCGCAGACCCAGATCGATGCATGGAACGACCAGCGTGTCTTGCTGCAGTCGCCGTCTCCCCAGTTTGACTCGGACTATCGGCACTTATTTTGCTGTCACTACTTTGTCGGTTCCACAGCTGATCTGCCAGCGACAGCTCAGGGCCTCGAGACCGGCCCGACGACTTGGAGTGACGAAGACTCGTAGGATTCACGGCCCCGCTCACTTGCTTACTGAACAAGTTCGTGCTGAGCAGACGACGAATCGACGATCGTCGCTGCGAAGGCCTCGGTCTCTGAGGCGTAATGTCGATCACTGATAACCGCGAGCGTGGATGTAGCAAGACTGGCTTGCTTGGTGTCGCGTCAAACGGTTTGCTTTCAAATGGCAATGTGTCAGCGACGACGTCTTGGTCAGGGTCAGGTGCGGGGGAAGCTACCTCCCTTGGCAAAAACTTATCATTCCCCGTCACAACACTGCCGTTTATGTCTTTTGCACTGCTACTCCTCTTGGTCTTCACACTTCCTGAAGCTGACGTAGCGACATCAAGTGAGGTTTTGCCGCGGGCCAGCCGTTTACTAGGTGGAAGTGAGCGTGGCACAGTAATTGCAGCATTGCGGGCAGTAGGAGGAAAAACACTTGCTGTCATCGCACTATAGCTTGGTACATCTATCGCCGCAGTAGGAAGTTGATCAAACCGTTCCTTCACCGACTTGAGGTCATCTTCCATTCTGGCGATGGCTCCTGTTAAAACACGCACCATTTCCAATAGCTCGTCACGACTACTGTTGTCGTATTTCTCCCCAACAGGGGCAGAGATTTGAATCGCACTACGCGCTTCTGTCGCTCGCGTATTGCCCGGGTTTATTCCTTGAACGGGTGGCAACTGCTGCTCCAAGGGCTTATCCGAGCCCTGTAAACCGAACGTGATCGTTTTGTCATGCAGCTCGACATCCATTCGATCTACGAGCGCTTGAGCTGCTTCAGCTGGAGTGATTGCCGTGTGTATATTATTCACGGTGGCTCCAAGGTCGCCTCTTCGCTGTCGTTGGTCCAGCACGACGTCGCTGATCTCGTCCCACGAAAAGGGAAACTGCCCCTTTTCGATGCTGTCGTGAAACAAATGCGTGAGAACAGTGCGTCGGTCTTTCGGGTAGCGCGAAATCAGACGCTGGAACGTGGCTCGGTCTAGAATGCACATTTCCACGTACGTGACGGCCCGAATACTTCCAGCCTGCATGTGGTTCATGATCAAACCCATTTCTCCCGTGGTCTCTCCGGGATACATGAGCTGAGTCTCGCAATTTTCAGCATTTTCCACCGATCGGTCCGTCGTCATTGATGTTGACGGCTTAAGGGCGCCTCCGGGCAGTCGGTACTGCTGTGGACGAACCTGCGAGCTCGAATCTTCCGCAGAAGTTGACTTGGAATCGGATTGGAGTTTGAACTTTGCGCTTCCTCGCACCTGGTTGTTGAACGCCAAACGAGAGGACTCGGGTCCAGTGAACCGTGTGGAGCCGGTTGAACTACCAGAGTCGGTCTCTTCGTCCTCTTCCTCGCTCTCACTTTCAGAGTCCCAGGTATACGAAAGCGCACAAATTCCACGGTTAATCATGAACATCTCGTCGCAAGTCTCGCCCTTGCGTACGACATAGTCGTCAGGTAAATAAACTCGCACAGCCAAGTTCAGAATTATCTGCGTAGCGAAATCCGGCGAGCAGTCTTTCCAGAACGGAATCTCCGTGACCAGGTTCATGTACTTGTAGAGACCCACCTCCAGACCAAGAGTGTGCGTAAGTTCCCGCTGAAACTTGACGATGTCGCCGTCTAGACACTCGTACTCGGTCCACACGTGAGTGTAATACTGGTGGATTCGGTCGCGCAACTTGTCCGGGAGGTGCATTTTGTCCATTGTGGCGAACACCGCCTCCATCTTTCGGTGGTAGTTTGTAGTACTGGCATTGAAATTCGACACAAGCATGGCCACGTTGCCGAACACGATGGCGAGTATGACCGATCCGACCAGGATCGCCACCGTGGAGAACAGATTCTCGTCAGTCGAGCCCACGACATTTCCTTGTCCTTGAATGAGGCTCACCGCATAGTAGTAATCTGCAACGTATTTTTCAATAATAGGCCTTGACTGCGACGCATGGCTTTCAGACACAATATGCCAAAGGCAAGCCATGTAGTGAGCAATTAGCAGCACCAGCCACATGAGCTGTGCGATTCCTAGCAAATGCGAGAATCGAGAGTACCGGAGCCACGCCACCATGGCCTTGCTGATTCGCACCACGCGACTCAGCAGAACAGCACGCTCGATGAGTGTGACGCGCAGTACACGAAGAACCATCAACGCAGTCTCAGACTGAGTAATCAAGGGCGTATTCTCTTCCAGCGAGCCCGTGATGAGATACTGCAATCCGCAGCGCGGTGTCGCCGACAGGAAGTCGATAATAAACCACTTGTTCAAATAGTTGCGGGCGATAAGTTTCCGTGAAGTGACCAGCGTGTTCTGGTCTTGGTAGGCAGTGTTGAAATTGAGCAGGAGGTTCAACAGGAACATCAGCTCCATAGCGACGTTAACAGCTCTGATGCCTGCTGACCCGTCTGGGTAGTAGGCCGGTCCGAACGGCAAGTAGAAGAGTTGGAAGTGGTAGGTAAAAAACATGACGATGCCGTGCACTGTGGCGATTCGACTGGTGGGGGTGATCGGTGACCCAAGCGAGTGGAAAAACTTTCTCCACGTCTTCCACCTGGTGAGTGAACGTATCATCCGCTGCAGCGAGAACCGGACCGATTCGTGTCTCGGTTTCTTCTTGACGCCCCCGTTTTCCTTGTCAATCACGAGATTCTCGGCCTCGAACTTGGACGACGCCAATCCCATGTCCGACACTTTGCGCAGCTGGAAGCGCTGCATCATGGCCTCGTAGTTGGCCGTCTTGACCTGCATCTCGTAAATGTGCCGTGTGGACATGCCTGTGTTGCGGATCGTGGCCCCCAAACTGCTCTTGCGCATCTGCGGTCGCTTATTAATCGGCGGTCGTTCTTCCATGGCGACGCTGCTGCTCTTGCTGTCTGCAGGAGGGAATAGGACTGCGCGCTGACTAACTTGGTCAAAATCGCTGGGATCGAGTTTTACGCGACACCAAGGACCGAGAATAGCTGCGTTTGTCAGTCGGTTCTTGATGTTAGTGCGAGTGGCAACGTCTGCGCTTGACGTCGACTCACGCTTTGGTGAACTGAATGGTAAATGGCGCGAGGGATGGCGCACATTTCGTTGCTGCCAAAATTGGCTGCGAGTTGCGGCGCAACGTACGATTTCGGTACTATTATTGCTGGCACGAACAGCATATGAGGTGTCTCCAAGCATGACCCAGACAGCTCCACGTTGAAGCCATTTCTCGGGGTGTGGTGCCGATCCTGCAGTCTTGATGGCGTCGACTAGCGGGGTTGAAGCCGTTGGCCCGTCTCAACTCGCTCGCAAATGATAGGCAGCCTCTCACTGCCGTCTACGCGCCGCACACAAGTCGCCGAAGAATGAGCTGCTGCCCCGTGAACATGGAGCCCGCGAGGGCCACCGCCCCCGCCTCGGGCGCGATCAAGACCTTCCGCCAGACTAAGCTCTTTGTGACAGGCCCCGCCAAGGCCAAGGCCGGCGTGCTGTCGCTCCCGGACATTTTCGGCATCGACAGCGGCCGCGTCCAGCAAGACGCCGAGGCGCTAGGCAAGCTGGGCTACGCGGTGGTGGTCGTGGACGCCGCCGACGGGGACTACAAGACGCCCGACAACAAGGGCGACATGGCCGCGTGGCTCAACAAGTACAGCTTCGACAACTTCGCGGGCGCGCGCATCGCCGACGCCATCGCGTACCTGCAGCAGGAGGCCGGCGTGGAGACCATCAGCAGCTACGGCTACTGCTGGGGCGGCTACCTGGGCGCGGCCCAGAGCGCGAGCGCCAACCCGATGATCAAGGGCCACGTGTCCTTCCACCCGAGCTGGGCGGCGGAGAACAGGATTCACGGCCCCGGGTCGGTGGAGAAGCTGGCGGAGCGCATTACGGTGCCGCAGCTGCTGCTGTCGGCCGGCAACGACCCGGACTTCGTGCGTGAGGGCGGCAGCGTGGAGAAGATCCTCAAGGCCAAGGCCGACGTCGGCAAGCTCAGCGATGTCGTGGACTTCCCCGACGTTATCCACGGCTGGGTGAACCGCGGGGACCTCGAGGACCCGACCACCAAGGCCGCTGTGATGAAGGCGTGGCACGCTGCTGTCAAGTTCACGCAGACTGTTAACCCTCTGTAAGGAATGGACGTGTCGTCGAGATAGTGTGACTGTGTAGGACGGGCGCTAAGACTTCGTTAACAAGTTGTCATTCAGTTTGAGCCAGCAGCATCGTCCACACGATGGCGTCAGTTGCAGAGCCTTCACCTCCATCGTGACAGGATCCAGCGCTCCCTTTGGCAAAGCCCACAACTGTCATCTCATCGGAGAAGAAAGGCTTCGTGCCGGTCTTGGGGTCCACTCCACTCATCCACCACTCGATCGCGTGCCTCACAGAGCTGTCCAGCGGCGCAGCAACCGACACGGCGTGCACTTGGCCCGTGACGCCCCTCGACGGCACAGAAGCTGGCGGCACGGGGAAGAACTCGTACCCGTCACCTTGGTTCATGCTACCGGTGAGCGGCACATCTCGGCAGGTGATGGACAGCTCTTTGGCCAGCAGGATCAGTCTCGCGTCCAGCGCGAGTCTGGTCTTCCCACGCTTGCTGCGGAACGAGTTGAGCACCCGCAACGCCGTCTCCGCCTCCTCGTCCGTCATGCCGTCGTACGCGTCTTCGTCCTCTGTGAGGCTCAGCCCCAAGTCGAAGGCCTGCGCTTCATCTGGAACGAACCTGGTCGGCAAGAAGCCGCACAGGTGAACAGCGTGGGGCTGCACAGCGTTAGTGGCCCCCTGCTTGAGCTGGCACGTGCCGTCGCCCTCCGGCGCCCACGTCCAGTGCGTGCAGTCGGTCTCTGCGAGGCACAAGTCGGCGCAGCGAGAGCTGGGCTCAGCCTCCAGCGACACCAGATCCAGCCCCTCGAAGTGGCACTCGTAGTCCCATTGCGCACGTCCGTCGTTGCCGCGCAGCCACGCGCGCGCGGAGCTGAAGGCGGTGAGTAGCAGCAAGAGATGCAGCAAGCCCATGAAAGTATCTAAGGGGGCTTCTGTCACTTTGCATCTGTAATAGAGATGTATTGCTGTCACCAAACGTCACTCGTGGGGTCAAAGGGGTAATGCATCTCATTTCAAAGCTGACAGCGTCGAGGAGAGATGGTAAATTGCTTGGTCCGAAGGAAGAACACTGTTCGCTACCATCATTGACGAGGGCATGCCGGTGGGGATATCTTGAAGAACAAGATCAAATTGAAGTTTTTCCACGTCACGTGCGCCGCGTTCGATCGCCAGCTCTTCTTGTCGAAGAATGGCTGCGTGCGACTGTGGTGCTCAATGACCACGGGCGGCCGGTAGGGTTCGTGGAGATGCAGCCATTGCTGTGGCTCAAGAACCCCACGTGCTTCGGAGAGAACTTTCAACCGGCCGAGGGGCACATTCGTGTGCTAGTGAACATGCCAAAGCCGCGAAAGGAATTGTGGCTCGTCACGGGATCCGTCGAAAACGCGTTCAACACGATAGGAATTCCTTCTACACTGTACCATCTCGCAGCGATACATATTGGCTACTACGATCCCGCTCGTCGAAGTTGTGATAGGAAGGACAGCGCGTTTTGGTACGTAGAAGCCAAGTCGGTGTGTTTTCATGTTCTGTTCAAGAAAGATAAGGCGGTAATTCTCTTCATCACGGCACATCATCATTGCTGGTGCGCTAAACTATCCTTGTTTCGGTTCAGAAGAGGTGGCTTTGACATTTGAAACCGCCCTTCGCGATGGTCCGGTGATTGCCTCATTCTCCGCTGTATGGGCAGGAGGTTGTGGTATCGGCGGATGAGTTGTGTCTGAGCACAAACTCTGGATCGTATCTATTATCACCAATACGCACCTGAGCAGACTAAATCTCCGCGACAATCGCTGGTCTTCAAGTGATTCGTGCGCCCAAGTTTTGGATACTTCGAACGTTGTTATTTACTCTCAAATAGCGACCACGAACCAAGCAACCTAAGCAGGAGCAATGCTCTCTCGCGCACCATGCGTGGATACTACGAAGGTTTGGAGTGTGAAATCCAACTGTTCAATGTACCCTACTATGGTCGATGAAAATCGATCGATCGACGGACGGCACAAGGTATAGTCAGGCCTCTTTAATTGGGGGAATTCCTGCATTTCCCCCAATTAGCTTAATAGGGGTACGACTTTTGAGGATTTAAAATGGGTATGGTGGGGGACGATAGTGAAAGTAAGATAAATATCTTAGGAATTGGCACAGCCAGTGCAAATTCGGTTTCAACCTACGATATTTGAAGTGCTACGGTCCATCCGCTTACGAATTTGCTAGAAACGAATGCCAGCGAAAGAATCAATCGTGATAAAAGTTTAAACTAGCTCTGAAACTGAGGGCTTACGTATTTATATTGGCGCCGGTTTTTTGCATTACTTTAAGTATGCAAGTTATATTGTGAAAACCGCTTCTTTTGCCTATTTTGGTCGTAAATCGATTGATTAGCACCCTGATTTAGCTCGATCGATATGTAAATCGATCGCGTCCCTGCGATGCATACGTGAGTGGGTACGATCGATTAATGTGAAACCAGTCGATATAGACGCGTTTGGAGCAGAATGCCCACCTTTTACTGGGCAATCGTGCAGCCTAGCGATGCATATGGATCACAATCGAATTATACCCTGATTTATACTCTGATTAATTAGGTGATTGAGATCTAATAAGCGGTTGCTACAGGTGGGCATTTTGGCCGGTTATTACAATAAACACAGTCTAGGATAAAAACTTACTGTTACCAAACTTGCATTCTCCTGTAGCATCACGTACCGACCAACAGCATCTTCCAGTTCGCGGCTCGCTCGCGGTCAGTTTTGAGCTTGCTACTTACCGATACCACCGATTACGGAAATTTGGCAATATTTGTGATTAGTGGGGATGGTTTGGGGGTCGATCCTAAGAGAATCGCTGCCGCAACTCTGAGCACTTTGTCGGTGTGGATGAGTTGTGTCGAGTTACGCGAAGTAGTTGTGTGCGAAGGGCTAGCCTAGTACAGGAATGAAAGCGTGTACTTCAGTGTAAAATTGGTTATGATTCTTGTTGTTTAAGTGTTGTTGTAGGGGAAATTGGTTTGTAGCAACGACGTCCCTGTGGCGTTCAGCTAATACCATTCCTTAAAGTGATGGGGAGGGGGCAAGTGCTCTCAGCTCAAGAGAACGGAAGAGTCCAAGGATTTCACGAAGCAGGGCTCAGCATCAGAGCTATCGCGGCCAAGGTCAAGCGCTCAGTAAACGCAGTGTGGCGAGTCGTGCAGCGGCTACAAAATCCGCGCAAGGAGAAGAAGCAGCTAGGAAGACCGCAAAAGCTGTCGGCCAAGTCGGTACGACGTCTCGTGCGCGCCGCTGCTAAAGGAGACACCTCCGCTGCCCACCTCAAGGACCAACTCTCGCTCTCGTGCTCCGCTCACACCGTCCGGCGCACGCTTTCAGCGGTGGACTGGCTGGTGTACTCCAAGATGGAGAACACGCTGCAGCTCTCCAGCGCTCACAAGGCTGCGAGGCTGGCGTGGGCAAAGGAGATGATCATGCACCCGGGGGACTGGGCGCATATCATCTTCTCCGACGAAACAAAATGGAATCTGGATGGCCCGGACGGCCTCCAGCACTACTGCAGAGATCTGCGCCAGCCTGTCCGCCAGACCAACCGGCGCCAGATGGGAGGAGGCTCGGTCATGGTGTTGGCCAGGTTTAGTGCCGCCGGGAAAACTGAGCTGGCTGTGCTTGTGGGGAGACAGGCATCGGAGCAGTACATCTACACTGTCTCCGAATACCTGCTTCCCTTTGCGCACAAGCACTACGGCACAGATTTTGTCTTTCAACAAGACAATGCCGCGATCCACACCTCGCGCGAGACGATGGCATTCTTCGAAGAGCAGGAGGTGCAAGTTATGGATTGGCCAGCACGTTCGCCGGACCTCAATCCTATTGAGAACCTGTGGGCCATCATGGCGCGAAATGTCTATCGCAACGGTAGGCAGTACGACTCAGTGGTGTCGCTCACAGCAGCGCTACACGGCCTGGAAGGACATCTCGGCGGAGACACTTGCTGTTCTGATTGAATCTATGCCCCGTAGGTGCGTTGAAGTGATTGAAAAGAGAGGCAATAAGACTCACTACTAGCTACCATTATTCCTGTACCCATCACTTAATATACGATTTTGTATGGTTGATTGCGTTCGTATATTGTGACCACTTGCCCGAAACATTATTTGTATGTGAACTTCTCGTTAAAACTCGAAATCGACAATGTTAAACCATAACAAACGTTGTGTACCGTGTTCCACAAAACATATCTAAAGCAGAGCTTTCAACTCGCAGTAGAAGCCGAGTTATTAGCAAAAAGGTGTGTGTTCGTATAATTTTGACCGGGAGTGTATTCATGTCAGAAGCATACTACAGTCAAACCTGTTTATATGAGGCCCTGTTGGTGACCATCTACTACAATGACTCATATAAAATGGACTCAGTTAAAACAATTATGTGGTGCACGTAAAGAAATCGTGCATAGTTCGCTGCCGCTTTGCCTTCACCGTAGTCTCTCGAACCAAAGTGGTCACGGTCTGTAAAGCTCTTCGTTCTCTGTCAGTCTGCTCTCCGCATTGCAGCAGAAATGCAGCCAGCTCCATGCAGTGTCTCAGAGCAATGGCAGGTTGAACTGCGGGTTCCTGTTCCTCCTCTTCCTCCTAAGCGCTCCGCCAGCTTATGCGCCTTCAGCAGGAGCACGTCGTCCGCCATCGCCGTTTTAGCTTCGTTCTGAAAGAAAAATTCCCTCAGTTCCCGCTCGAACTGAGGGAATTTCACTCGGCGCCGCTTGGTCGCACTCAGGTCGACGTGGCTGAAGTAGGAAGAAGGCAGGTTGCGCAGTCGGGCGAGTGTGGCACGGCTGACCCGGGCCTTGAAAGTTGCGTAGATCCACTCGGCGGGCATGGGGTTGTTCATGCCAGGATTCTGCTTGAGCTTTAGGTGCACTTGGAGCTTTTGTTCTAGCGTCAGACAGGTGCGAGGAGACATGGCGAGCGAAGAAGGCTTGCGGTAGGCGTTGAGTGTTGAGCAGTGGTGCTTTGAAGAGTGTGTGGCCGTGAGCAGTGTGAATCAAATAAACAGGTGAGACCTAATTTGGTACCCAAAAATGTGACTCAAATACCTTGTATGCATATAAACAGAGATCATACAAAAACTAAGTGAAATATTTGGTAGCGACAAAGCCTGCATCAAATAAACGGTATGGCTCAAATAGAGAGGATCATATAAACAGGTTTGACTGTATTTTGTGGGGGATGGGAACGGGTCTTCTTAACAGGGGTATAGTGGGGGAAATGGGGATCAATTCCCCCAATTAGAGAGTCCTGGGTATACAGTAGTATTCTGGTTACCACAGTTATTTGTGAGGAAAGTAGAAGCAAGATCACTTTTTCTCGTGCCTAGGTCGAAGTATTCGTGAAGGTTTTTGATGAACATTGCGAAGATCATGTGTTCAGCCGGTTGAAAGAAGGAGCTGCCGAGACGAGCGATTCACTCGTGATGAAGACGTTCGTTCATGTGAAGGATCCCGAGATATTTTTCCTTTGTATGGGATGGAAGCACAACGACATCTCGGAGAAGTGGTGTAACTTCCGTCCAATGACCCCATCCGCCAATTGATAGTTCTGCTGCACTGACCGATGCCGAACGTGAGGTATCCAGGTTCAAAGTTGAAGTTGGATCCGACTAGCGAAAACTTCAGCTTTTCCGTGCATGACTTTTGTCTGAAGGCAAGAGACACCAAAACATCGACATAACCCATTGCTGTCACTACCGTGACAATCACATGACTTCTTTCTCTTCACGTTGCATTTTAAACTCTTACTCCGCTCCGTCATATGAGAAAACTGCATGGAACCTCTCCGTCGATACATAGCTTTCGCTGAGAGTTGCATGGAGTTCCTTCTTCTGGACAAAACGCTCCTTACTTGCCGTTCCGATTACTCCTGCCAGCCCAGGAAGTCCAACGCCTCGCCGCCGAGATACAACGACCCTGTCACGAGCACGCTCCAGTTCTCGTCCCATTGCTCGCCCTTCGCAGCTTCTCCCTCGATCAGTGAAGCTCCTGCCGCCTCCGAGAGCGCGCGCAGCTCGTTAATGCAGTCAACCACCGAGTCCTTCACCGCAACCACGCACTGGCTCTGGTCCTCCTTGATCACGTGGGTCTTCAATCCACTCCAGATACGCGATAGCGTCGTCTGCCACGGGTGAGCCTCGCTACTCACGTCGTCCAGCGCCGCCAACTCTTCCGGTGAGTATGAAGACACCACGTTCTGAAAGCCAGCAACCTCCAGTGCTTCCGAGAACGTGTGCACCTTAGCCAGGCTCGGGCGTGACGAGCTCGTGGGGCAAAAGTACACGTGATCAAAGTGCTGCTTCAACAGCGGCTCGAAGAGCTGTGCCACATTGCGCTCGTGATGGATCGTGAATATGAGCACGCGCTTGTCCGCTGGAGTGATTCGCGTCGCCGCCTGACGGAACCAGTCCGCACAACACTCTAGGCTGCGTAGGGTGTGAGCACCGTCGATGTAGAAGCGCATCTTGTGCGCTTCATCCTCCCAGAGCTGCGCTCGTCCAGGCCAGAATGCGTACTTCACTCCTTCCTTCACATCGGGCTCAAGTGTCGCGGCCAGGTCCAGCGGCGCTGTCGCGTCCTCTCCACGCTTGTGACGCAGCCAGGTATACGCCAATGCCACAGCAAGTCCAGCATTCGTACGCTGGTAGTCGCCGTGCAGGCCGAGCTTACAGTTCACTCCGTCGGGCCCAAATCCGTCCAGCGTGGGTACACGAACCAGAGGAGTGTTCGTGTCGGCGGCGCACTTCTCCAGCATCTGCATCGCCAGCGGTTCCTGCGCTGTCGTGAAGGCCGGCACGCGGGGCTTGAAGATGCCAGCCTTTGCGTAAGCAATGAGGTCCAGCGTCTCGCCCAGCACGCGGGTGTGATCCAGATCCAACGTCGAGATGCCGCACACAACGGGCTTGCGGAAGACGTTGGTGGCGTCGAGTCGTCCGCCGAGCCCGACCTCCAGCACGACCACGTCCACCTTTTCGTCGGCGAAGATGTGCAGCGCCATGAGCGTGAGGAAGCGGAAGAACCAGGCCATGGGCGGGTACGGGCCGCTCTGGTCCTGCGTGCTCTCGAGGCCGTCCCACACGGCGTTGAAGTGGCGCAGGAAGACGTCGTCCGCGATGGGTTTCCCGTTGATGCGGAAGCGCTCGCAGGGCGAGACCAGATGGGGCGACGTGAAGAGACCCGTCTTGTAGCCCGCCTGGCGCAGGATGCGCTCCACCATGGCGCAGGTCGAGCCCTTGCCCTTGGTGCCGGCCACGTGAATCACCGAGAGCGCGCGTGGGGAGCTGCTGTCCACCACGTCGTCCAGCTGCAGCCGCTTGAGGTAGTGCTGCATCATGGCGATGGTCTCCTCGCGCGTGGACACCTGCGTGTCCTTGCCCGGCTGCAGGTCCTTGAACGCGGAGCTCACGCCCAGCAGGCGGGTCAGCGCCGCCTGCACCTGGTGGCTCAGGTCCGCGCCGCTGCTGGCGCTGCTCATGGGGCTGCTGGGCGCCGACGTGGCGCTGCTGGTGGTGGAGGGGGCCACCTTAACGGGCGGCAGCGACACCGTCGGAGCTGCGGTGGGCGTCATGCTCGGCGGTTCTCTGCTCCAGTTGCGCAATGGCGCGCGCTATAAGCTCGCCGTGTTGTGCCGTGTTGGAGCTATTCTTTTCGGCCAATGCGATCCATTCTGGGAACGCGTCCTTTCGTCTGATTGGCCGAGTCAGATGTTGAACATGTCATTCTAGCGGGGGCCGTCACTGAAGTGAACACGACCATTGGCTGGTGCTGACGTCCCCACACACGTCACACATTTTTAACCGTTGCGCCATTATCGGAGCTCCAGTGTTTTTGACCAGGTTGACTCCAGACGCAGAGCTTGAGCAATAATGGTGCGCCTGGGCGTGAAGATCAAGAAGCGCGGGAAGGTGCCGCAGCGCCGCAAGCAGAAGCCGCTGCGCAAGTTCAAGACCAAGTTCGTGCGCGACCCCAAGGTGCAGGAGGTCTGGGACCACAACCTCACCACGCGCCAGAACTACGCCAAGCTCGGACTGCAGGCCGACCCGAACGCGCACGACGCGCTGCGCAAGAGCGTGGAGGGCGCTGAGGGAACGCTGGAGGCGGCGGACGAGGCGCGTCTTTTCGAGGTGCCCGACAGCGATTTCCTGGGCGAGCGCAACCCCAAGCGCGCTGCCAACTACGTGTCCGAGGAGGAAGCCAAGTACCTGCGCAAGCTCATCGCCAAGCACGGCGAGGACTACAAGAAGATGGAGCGCGACATCAAGACCAACAACATGCAGTGGACGGAGCAGAAGCTGCGGCGCCGTTGCGCGCGTCTGGCGCTGCTGGACGCCAACGTCATCAGCAAGCCGCAGCAGACCGAGCAAGTACAGGACTGAGCGACTATGATGATGGTACCAATAGATTTCAACGTAATTTGCAACAAGCGGTGAGGCGTCGGTGGAGGCGCTGGAAGCTACGTGGATTCTCTATTTTTTGTGCTCTTTATGCGCGCTGCTACACTCCTTCACACTCTACAGGAGCGCAGTTGTGCTGCGCGTCCGGTGTCCACGCCAACTAACGACTACTCCTACCTTCCTCCAGTGCCATGCTATACAATAACCTGACGGCTTCCGAGCAACGCAAGTCGCGCGTGGCGTATGTGGGGAGCTCTGATACACTAATAAATACGCCGTGGCTCCGTGCGCTGCTGCACCAGCCGACTGCTTGATCTTCGCCGTTCGCCTCACATGCCATTTTAACCGGATGACACAGTGACGTGCTGCAGCTGAGGTGACGCTGTCTCGGGCGATGACGGGTTGGAGGTCGAGCCCGGGGACACGGAGGCTGACGATGGCGACGAGAATGGCATGGCTGACGATGACGCCTTTCCACATGGGCCTCGGATGTGCGCCTGAAGAGACGCAGCAGACGAAGGCGGCGACGGCGAAATACTGCCACAGGAGGACGCCGATGACGACGAACCGCTGGTGGATCCAACAGTAGCGGTGGTTGCCACCGAGGACATCGAGCACAACGATCCAGAAGGCGACGACACCGAAGACGCTGCAGGACGCTGCACCTGCTTCAGCATTCCAGCCGAGAGATTGGTCACGCCGGCAAGTGCGGCCCTCGCCTTCGCGCTGGAAGTGCCGTTGCCTGAAGCAGCAGTTGAGGAGCCGACGCTTCCCTTCCGTGCTACCGCGCCGGCGGCGGCAGCAGCCTTCATCGCGGCAGTAACGCTGCCTGCGAGTTCCAGAGTAGCGGCAGCCGCGGCCTGAGCGTTGGCAGCCTCTTGGGCCTCGTCGTTCACAGCGTTCACCACCACGTGCGGGAGCTTCTTGTGAGCCACAGCACGCTTGTGGTACGCTCGCTTAGCTGCACGCAACTGGTTCTGCACCTGGCAGCGTGGGCACGGGCCGCCCTTGCGGTGACGGTGCTTCGTGCCTTCCACCTTGTGCTCAGTGGCTTCAATCTTGCGCTTAAGCTCGCGCAGGTCTTGCGGGAGGTTCGTCAGGTCCGGCAGCGGTAGGTTCTCCAGTTTAGACAATGCCATTTTAGACAGCGACGCGCCTGGGCCCACGATTCCCTTGACATCCAGATCTTGCTCCGTGAAAGTTCCTTCCAAGTCAGCAAACGTCTCCTGCATCTTCAGCGTCATCAGCCTCTTGCGCTCTTCGCGCTTCTTCGGCGTCTTCTTCTCACCCTTTCCTGGAGACTTGCTGTTACTCAATCCGTTTTCATGGCTTGTCGCGAGCAGAGGGACGAATCCGCTAATTGTCGAGCCGTCCGAGCCGTCAAGACCACCCTGCTGCTGGCCACCAAAGGCAAGACTGGTCGCTAGGGATCCGCCGAGCTGGTGCGGGTGCGGTCCAGCGCCACGCCCGGAAGAAGAATCGCCGCTGCCCGGGACATTGAAGTTCACGAGCTGCACTTGGTTCTTGTACGGGTGATGCAGTTTGCGCTTGTGCAGGCACGAGCTCAGGATGTGGCTAACAGTGCGATTCTGGAAGGTACCAAAGTCGAGGCTGTTCCAGTCCTCGACGATATCCACGTTGGACGGGCTCTTGCTGCTGATGGGGCTGGATGACATGACCTTGTCGTTGGGTTGGTGAAGCGAGCGAGTGGTTTGGATGGCAGTGAGACCCTTAATGGCGGGGTTCGTCGAGATAGTCACACCGTTAGCGGATCGGCCAGCAGCGCCGGCAGAAGTTTGTCGAGCCAGGCCGTTCGCCTGTAACCTCCGCTGCTCTTGCTGCTGGGCGGCCTCGATATCCCACTGCAAGAACCGGTTCTCGCGGTCGCACAGCACCGCGTGGTCGATTGAAGAGAGCAAGTCGTGCTCGTATCCGTCGTTTTCCATGCCCCACACGTTGCCCTCCTCGTCCTCATCCGCTCTGCTCTCGTCGTCGGTTTCAGCCTTGCTTTCGGTGTCCGGCAGCACGGACACACGCAGCGACTGCGCACTTGCTGGCCGCGAGAGCTTGACGCGCTTGAGTGGCGGTCCACTTGACAGCGCCGAGCTGCCCAGCACCAGGTCCAAATCATCATCATCGTCGTCAAAGAGCGCGGCCGTAACGGACTTCTTGCTAATCAGTGGCGAGCTCTTCGCAGCGACCGCAGCGGCCGATAGCGGCTTTTGGGGTGCGCCCTGCCCCCGTTCCGTTGTAGTCTTCGCAGGTTCGGCGGTAGTCTTCTGTTGTAGGAATCCGTTGGTGCCGCGCTTCATGAACGGCGAGGCGGTAGGCGGCACCACTTGCGCGGCGTCTGCATCGGTCGTGATCTCGTTGAGTGCGAGTGGCTGCGCGTGCGTGTGCGCGTTCTGGAAGTCGAAGACGTCCATGTGGTGGTGGTCCAGGTCGCCGAGGTCGAGATCCATCCAGCGCTGCAGCTCGTCCTGCGTGTCCATCTCCTTCTCGTTGTCGCGCGCGGCCGCTATCCGCGCGATGGTGTCGTCGTCCTCCTCGTCGAGCGCTCTCCGCAGCCGACGCGCGGCCTCGTCCTCCTCCTGCGTGCGCGACAGCGGGAACAGTCGCAGCAGTTGCTCGTCTTGGCTCACGAGCGAGTCCACGCGCTGCACGGTCTCGTTGGCGTCGCACGAGCTCTCGGAGAACTCCTTCATGATGTGCAGGAACTCCACGCACGTCTGGCGGCTGCGCATGGCGTCGGACTCGGCGGCCGCGTCCTTCGTGGCGCTGCTGCGGCTCGCTCCGCTGGTCTTACTGATGCTGCTGGTGGTGGTGCCGTTGGTGGCGGCGAGCGCGCGCGCCGTGTCTGCGCCGGCTGCCGGAGCGTGCGCCTCCGCGCGCGTGGGCGCCGCGGCGGCCGCTTCTCGGGGCGACGTCATCGTGTCGGTCTGGGGTCGGTGCTCTTACTTGCGAGCTCGGGCAATTATCTTTGCTTGCAGACTGCCAGCCACTTCGCCGAGACGACGGCGCGACAACAGCGAATCGGGTTTCGCGGTGCGAGTACTGGGGCATTTATGCCTCAACCCCCTCAAATCGAGGGACCGCGTGGAGCTCTTTCAGCGGGGGATCAAGTCTGGCGGCGCCCGCCCAATCCGATCGGGTCTGCCCATACAAAACGTCCAGTTCAAAGTTGCTGCACCGCCGCTGTCGGCTCCGAGCCAAAGCGGTCAATCAGCGCGCTCCAGCTCACAATAAAGGCCGGCTCCGGCCTGATTTTACTCGGTTTTTGTATGTCCTATACAAGCGCGAGTCAAATCACGCAAGGATCAACGCGTGGCATCGTCATTGACGCGCCAGCTGGTCCCGAGTGGGTTCAGGTCTGAACTGCACGTAATCCCTCGCACTGTAGCCATCTGCCGACGCGGTCTCCTCCCTTCCCCCCCGAGGTGACAGCGCCAGAGCTTGGCTCGGCAGCACCGGCCTGCTGCGCAAGCTTGGCAGGCCCCAGCAGGTGGCAGCTGCAGCCCTGGGCGCGACGCCGCGCTGACATCGGCAGCGGCGCCACGCTAAGATTTCCCAGCTGCTCCCGCCGGTGCCCTTGGGATCGGCCCATGTTGAAGTGCCCAAGCCTGGCAGACAACGCGGGGCCGGGGCGACGGAGGACGCTTGGAGGTGAGCCTGTAGCGCTGCTGGCGTCTTGCCAGTCGCGCTGCGCGTGCTATGCTTGCTGGACCCGACGTACACCGTGCTGTGCGCACTCTCAGAATCGCGCTGGATACTTTTCTGCTCTGCTGCTTGGATTGCAACTGGTGGGCAACATGAAGGAAAATACGTGTACATGATACGATGGTCAAGAGGAGCTACAACTACTTCGTAGTAGTATTTTGCTTGGTGAAAAGTTACAGGATTCGAGGTAGTCTATATAGCTGCGTACGCTTGGATATGCTGTGGGACTACATCCGCGACTTGAACTGCTCCAAGATGGCCGTCTCCAGCGCTGCGTTCTCCTGCTTCAGGCGCTCAGCATTTTCCTGCTGGGCGGATGCCGACGACTTTTTGCGCTCTCGGTAGCGGCGCTGACGCAGGTTCTGCAGCTGCCGCACATGCTGCTGCCTGGGGGCAGGCATATCGTCAATGAAGCTATCGTTGAGAAAGCCGCGATTTACTTCGACGTACCTGTCGGGTGTCGAAGGCTCCTTGGCAGCCTTGTTGTCGCGGGCGGGTCGTTTGGCGCTCTGTTCACTGGTGTCGGCCGTTGCAGGATCACTGCGGCTAGCGGAAGCAGTCTTTCGTTTTTGTTGCTTGGAGGGACGAGATTCTGGCGCTTCCTCAGACTCGTTCAAGATGAATTCAAGCGACATTGAGTTCATCTTGCCTGCCTGCTTCCTGTCGCCAGCTTACAACAATGGATCGTAGCTCTTCGCTTCCTGCCTTTCTCGCCAGATCGTCTTGGTCACATCAATAGCGAGCGACAGCTTCATGACAAACACCTCTATATTTTTCAGTTTAGTGCTCCACGAGTTCGTCGACGGCGTCAGACTTGCGCTTCCGGATCTTCTCTCGCAGGTTCGCGAAACTCACATCACTAGGGTTGCTCGTGGCTGCCGTCGCTGCACTCTCAGCCGCAGCCATCTCGTCAGCAGTCGGCGTACGCTTGACCATTGTAATGAGGCGTCGCGCGTACTTTTTGGTCAGCTTCTGCTCCGAGTTCGCGATCACCTGCAAGCTTGGGTGGCGGGGCAGGTCGGCGTCCGTGTACTCGTACGTGGTAGGCAGCAAGTACACCAACCGTCCTCCTTCGCGCAGTGTCTGAGCTGAGAACTCCAGCAAGTCCTTCATCACGTCTTCGGCCGCGTATGGCTGCGTGGGCGCAATGTAATTTGGCTGCTTGACTGCAGCGCTCACATCGCTCTTGATCTGGCGTTTGCGTCCGCTCTTGCGAGCACCGGCACGAATTCCGTACGGCGGATCGCAGACCACCGCGTCGAAGAAGCCGTTGCACTGCTTGACGAGAGGCGACATGGAGTTGTCCGCACGCACGAGCTCCGGAAGCGGCAGGCCGTATTGCTTGAAATTGGTGACCACATTGACACGCTCCTTGCCATCACTCTTCTCATCTGTGGGGACGACACCAGCACCCTCGACACCAACACCAGTTCCCAGCAACACGCGGATATCGATATCCGTGCCGTAGCACATGGCACCGTGGGTTCCGCACGGAATCAAGACGCTGCCAGTCCCCACAAACGGGTCAATGACGAGGTCACCGGGCTGCACCAGCGCCATGTTACTCATTAGCAGTGCCATCTCGGATTCCATCGACGTAGGACCAATGTAAGCTCTGCGCTTCAGCGTCTGCTGGTCCACAAGGTCTCTCGCTCCACCACGCCCGCGGTTCTTCTCGCTGCCAGCAAGTTCGCGCAGGAAGAAAATCTGCTTGGGCTTCATGCCCGGGTGCAGATCCTGATCCAGTCCGAGCTCCTCCAGAATCAAAAACGTCTCGTCCGGGTTCTTCATCTGCACGGGGCCAGCAAAGGGCAGAACATCACGGAAACGTTCGCGCCTATTGCGCTGCTCGTCCATGCTGAGCTTCTTGCCGAACACGGCCGCGTTGATACGCCACGAGCGCTTAGTGTCCTGCAGAATATTCTGCTTCTGCGGTCCCTGGAAATTGTCCACAGCCGCCACGAGCTCGTCGTAGCCGTCTCCATTGGCCGTGTGGCCCCACACCTCGTACACGCCCTTGACGAGGATGCCGCGCTCCGAGAGGAACTTGGCGTGCTCCACGGACGGCAGCTGGAGGCGCACCAGCGGCGAGCTCTCGGGGTTCGGCAGCTCTCCAGTCTCCGGGTCCTTCAGCACCGTCTCGGCGACGCTGGGCAGCTTTTGCATGGTCAGCAGCGCCTCCAGCTCCGGGTAGCGGAAGTCGAAGTGCTGGTGCACGAAAAACACGAGGTACTCGGGCATTCTGGCGGCGATTGCGAAGCGATTCAGGCAAGTCGGGCGGTGGGACGAAGCTGAGTTGGTACAGTGGCCACTAAGTTACTAGACGCGAGCGCAAGGTCCGAAGGAAGCGCAGCAGAACGAGTGACACACAGCGAGCGCAGGCTGCGGAGACGCGTCCAATGACCAAGTGGTTGTTTTTGGGTGGGCGAGAGGACCGGTACAGTGTACCATCTAGCGTGTAGACTGAAGAGCATGTGTTTACTCACTTCAACATGAAAGTTGCCTTTTTTCAGACTAGGGCTTCGCGGGGGCTGAGATAGCAAAAATAAACAGTAGCGCTGCTCGAGGCTCTTCGCGCACGAGGTCTCTCAGCCTTCTGCATACCCAAACTTGCACTAGGTTAGCCCCGTAGCAATTGCATCATGCGATCCGAGCAAACCCTGCTGCCCCTCGTTGGAGGCGACTACGACTTTATCGTCCCACAGGCCTGGCCTGACGACGTAGTCCATATCGACCGCAGCCTCTTTTCCGCTTCACAACCATACCCAGTTATGACGACACCGGTGTACAACGACGAACCTTGCAACTGCGAACCGTGCTGCGTTTCCAACACCGGCACTCACTTGACCAGCGCGTGCGTCAACGCTAATACGGCCACCATCTGCGACGACTTCAACTGCTTACTCGGTCCAGCCTGTGGTAACCGGTTTGAGCCACGGTTTTCACTCGACCTTGTGAAATCTCGGGTCGGGCTTGGCGTTGTTTCAACCCAAAGGATCCCCCGTGGGGCTTTCATTATCGAGTACGTCGGTGAAATACTGTACGAGAGCGACGCAATTGAACGCGTCAACCGACGGTATCAAGCAGCCTTCCGCACCCTGGCTGACTGGAATGGAGGAACGAAAGTATACGTTGACGTGCTATCGTGCGGCAATGAGAGTCGGTTTATTAACCACTCTTGTGAACCGAATTGCGTGATGTACGAGTTCAACTGGACGAACACGACCCGCCTCGGGATATTTGCGGCGGCCGAGATAACTCCTCTTCAGGAACTCACCTTCCGATACAGCGCTCGCAACCGAGAACTCTTCAATTGCCAGTGCCTTGCTCACGCTGCGGCTTCTTAAACTTCCTCCTGGATCTGGATGCGATCTTTTCTTCATACGCGTAAATACATAACAAGGAGATGTTTCCACGTAATCGTTCTTGTGTCCGTCAGACATACTTGTTAGGCCTCGTCTACAGCTCCTAAATCAAAAAGCATGTTAGCCACCGTACGTGTTGCATCTCTGACGCAGGCCAACGATGTTGTGCAATAGAAGCTCTGGCGTCAAGTCATCACTACAACGTGCAGGTGACGGTCGGGTCGCCTCTGTACTCCATATTGCTGCTCTACGAGTCGCTCACGCATGTCGTGGTTCACCCCACCCACGAGCTCGACTGCTACACGAATATTGTCTCTGGATCCTGGACTAGGCCTAGCCCACCAACAGATTCATCGTGTGGTACGCCTCCAAGCCGGCCGTGAACCTCGTGGCCACGAGCAGAAACTCCGGCATCGCCAGCTTGTTGCCACCGCGCGAGCCACCGTTAATGATGTTGAACGACGGCACCGGCAGGCGCCGCGTCGGGTTGCCGATCAGACCAGCTTCCCAGTGAACGAAAGGCTTGCCTATTTCTTGGCAGCCTGTAGTCCGCCCTTGAGGCCGTTTGAAAGGCATAATGGCGAGTGTACGGTACACCACATTTATTGTCTGCCCGGGTAAAGTGTACGGTACACCACGTTTCTAACTCGTTTTTAAATGGCCGGGCTGTACCAATTGAAGCTCAAGGGCCATAGTGAAAGCCTCTCACTTCTCTTCCCAGCTGCAACAGGTACAGCTCCATATTTTGGGCTGAATCTCATTGGCCGAAAGGGCCACTTAAACAAGTGACCTGTGTACTTTAACAAGTGAGGTGGTCCTCGTGCGAGGTAGGGTCTACCGCTGTATCCCGTAAAAGTGTTTTTCTATAGTGCAATCCACAATGGCCGTGACAAACCATGAACTTAAGCCGGGGTAGTACCGTACTTTGCTGAAAAAATATTCAAAAGTAAATGGCTTCAAAGCGAGATTCAATTGAGAGGTGGAATTTCTGAATCTGCCAATTCACAAATATGAAGGGTCGTCCCATGGAAGTCTTCCGTACGGGCAGAGTATACACATACCAAGACAACGAAAGAAACCGTATAAAACATTTCCATATTTAGTGATCCAGATTTCACAAATATGTTTAAAACACCTCCAAGTTGAAGCAGGGCACGTTTAGAAACGAAAAGTGAGCGGTATACTCTCAGCCCTTCAGGCTGAGAGAACTGGGGCGCGCTTCGCGTGCGGGTCTCTAAGCGGAGGCAAACGCACCGAACAGTTTTGCGTTTTTTGCCACTGTAACGCTGTACTACAGCTACTACAACTACTATTTCACTAATATTGTCATTGATATTGCTTGTTCGTATCTGCTGCTATCGCTACTGCGACTGTTTATTATCTGCTGCCACTACCGCTACCGTTGTTATTTACGCTACAACTACGATCTCAGCATTGATAATGGCACTGTAATGATATTGCTCCTGCTTTCTTTTTCATGCCTGAGAAAGACTGCCAAAATCTACTCCCTACTGCTTGACTTGCTGCATAATATCACGGGGCATTTCATGGCTTGCTCAAACTAAATTTATAAGTAGATGCCATCTGAGTATCGCCGCCCACCGTGGTGAAAACGACGCGATCCAAACATTATCGATGATCTTATCGTCCTCTAGACCCTTGTAAATCACTCTCCTCTTTTCCAAATAATGTGTGTGACTTGTATTGCTGCGTAAGTAGTATCAATATGACGTATTGTGTCTTTCACGTATTTTGGCGGGTGAGCTGTTAATTCAGGCGGAATTAGAGTCATAAAAGGGTGATCAATGCTTATTTAGTGCTAATTCTGCCTAAGATTGTGGGCGCTTCCCCTAACATCCGCGATCAGCATTTGAGAGCTAATTGACGGAGATACGAGCAGAATGGCATGGATTGGCGGATAGGAAACCGCCAATCGCTCTGTTTCCGCCTAACGAAGGCTGGATTAGCTTATCCCGCCTTGAGTCGGCCTCACCATCGCCGTTCCTAATTCGGCCACGGAGGGACGACCCGGAATTAACATGGGAATTAGCTAACTCGGGGCATAATTAAGGTCGATAACGGATTAGAGTTATGCCAGAATTATCACGGCAGAATAAGTGAAAGGCACAATAATTCTTATTCGGTATATTGCTATTGAAATTGTTCGCCTGCGTCACGATCACTGCCAGCTACCACTGCAACTGCCCTACTGTCAATGCCACCGCCACTGCAACCGCTATTAGTTACTGACACTGCAACCGCTATTAGTTACTGACTTTGAAACTGATATTGTTATCGCTATTCTGTTACTATCTTTGTTTTGCTCGCCCCACGATCAGGAAGAAAAACTGTCAAGGTCTACAGTACTCCATGGTGCGTGAGTTGTTGCAACCCAGTATAATGCCATCCAACGAGACTTCTTCGCGAGTTTGGCCTGTAACTATACGACTTATCGAGCACGACTTTGTGAGATACAGTCTTACCTGTGCTGCGGCTCAACAACGACAGATCTTGCCAAAGCTCTTCCGCGTGTGGTTGCCACGCGCGGCTATCAAGTGTATCCAGCTCTGTCGTACAATGACAGCAGGAGTATGTACACTTTACTATGGAGAACGAGATTGATGGCAGGGAGCACGAAGGCTCTGATCCCTGCCCTAGTGCAAAGGACAACATGTACTTAGATTTAGTGTAGTTATCTTGCTTGTTGTATTGCTGCTGCTAATACACTGACTGCTGGTATGCAGGAGTTTGGCTGGAGTTTCCCACAGAGTCGGTAACTTTCTCCAGCTTGCTCAGGAGTCATCGTGGTTTCGGTCGGAAAGCTGACAGCATGCTTGAGGCCGTGCCTTTTGAGCTGGCAATTAGGGCAAAATAACCCCAACATGAAATGCGCCACGCCAGCGAACATCAGCGGACCACCGGGTCTCCATCGCGTCCATGATAAACGTGGACATCTCGACTCGCCACGTTCTGCTCGCACTGAATCTACCCGTCCGCTGGTTGCTTGGCAGGTTGTGGACGTCGTCCCCGAACGCGCTGGCGGCTAAAATGACCCCGTGACTGACCGCTAAGGCCTCTTGGATGTATTTTGGGTCGGAGTGGACTCGGAGGCTTGGTGGGTATGTTCCGAAGCTTGGGGGCAGGTGGTGATCATTATGGCAAATCTTGGAGCCTGCGCGCGGCAGACATCCATGGCAGATAAGTAGCGGCCCCTTACAACAGCAAAGACGCCGACTTCAACGCTGGTACGCTTTCCAGATCGGGATCGAGTGGATCCATTTTTTATATTCGGCTATTTTTTCAAGTTGCTGTATGTATGTTGTTTTTCTCCAGCCAGATACTGAATTTTAAGAGCTCTTCAGAAGGAATATATGGTGGCACATCTATGAGAGCTTGGAATCGTAGCATTTCGGCTACATACGTAGGAGGAGGTTGGAACTGCTGCATGTATTCTGGTGTGATATCTTCGGTAAGTGTTAGATTTTGCAGTGATGTCGTTCGTGATAGTGCAACATAGAGAGTTTGATGTGGCATTCCTGGTCTTTCTAAGGGCGTTACCGTAACGCCATCCTTGCAGGTTTTCCCTTGTAGTTTTTCAGCTGTGCAGGAGAAGGCTGACACTATTGCAAATTGACGAACTGAAATCGATGAACGAGCTAGATTCTTGAATTTTGACAGCTTAATCTGTGCGTTAAGAACTGGTATTCCGATAGTTCCCGGAGGATATCCATCTACCAATGTGCTTTCGCAGTCGTGAACGCGAATGATAATTAGGTCGGGGGGGTTAAGCACCTCTTTTACGATAGTGCCATGAACTAGTTTATTACGGTATGCAGATTCTTGTAGTGGAAGCGCGAAACCTACTATGATTCCGGTTGTTCCATTAGCAATAGCGTTTGCATCTTTTAGAGCGGGGTGTTTTCTTGTAATCATTACTGGCATACCAATGAAGCAGATTAATTTCATTGGAATTCGGTCAGTTTCATCGTCGTTTGCGTTAACTATTTTGTTGAAGATTGCCTTTGATCGAGGTGTCGGCTTTGCCGAGATTTCGTATATCGTAGTGTTAGTCTTTGTATATGCTTGGATTGTCATTGTGTCATTAATTGCACATCGTAGTGCATTAGTGGCGACAAGAACAGGATTGTAATAGGAATCCGGAGAACGACCAGCTTTACTCACTGAACGTCGCGCGTCTGTAAATACTCTGGAGTTTAATAATTTTCGGTGAGCGTCTGATAGTCTACCCCATCGAAGTTCACTCAAAATTTCTGCGTAGATTGGGTCGATTTTGGCACGCATATTTTCGGTGAGAAAGATGACAAAGTTGATGGAGTTGTAGACTTCAAACCCAACATTCCTAGCGGTGCTTGTTGCTAGAGGTGGAGGTTTAAAGCCTGCGACCATGGGAATGATATGAATTGCCAATTAGCAAACGAAGATACTAATAAGAAACTGGTTAGAACGTACATGGTGTTCCACGTACAGGTGGTAACTGTAACCAGTCACCAAAGTACATGGCATGCTTTCCGCCCATTATTTTGTGGGGTTGTTCGGACATTGCTCGTGATGTCATGTCAGCGGAACCTAGTAACCCTTGATCTGTCGTAGATATTACGTCCATTATAACTAATACCACCTTTTGAAAAGCATTTTTCATTTGCAAACTGGGAGGAGAGTTGGATTGTGTACCGTTTAGCTGGAGGTTGCGTGCGGAGTGTATTGTTCTGCCTTTTATATTCATTGCCGCCACTCCTGTAAAGGCAAGGGTTTCAACGCTTCCTTCTCGACCCCACTTCTCGGCAAGTAGTAGTAGTGCGAGAATTACTCGTGATTTACCAGTACCAGCTTCTCCTCCGACGTACGCTATAAGCTGTTCTTTGATAGCATAGGGCTGCAAGACAAAATCTTCTGGAAATAATGGTTCTTGTAAAGCATCTTTGATATCTGACAAGTATGCAAATAGGAGATGCCTCGCTGCAATTTCAAATATCGCGTGCTGCCAAAAGTTGAAGTTAAAGGCCTTTGAGACCGTTTCAATGCTAGGAAGGCAGGTATAGAACTTATCGAAGTGGCTGTGGCTTGATCAGGCCCCCAGGGAACTGCTTCGAAGCAGTCCTGGAGTCTTTCTAATCTTGTCTTGGCTTCAGGAAAAGCTGCAATGAAATCGCTAGTTCCTGTTGATGTGTTATTGTCACTGTTGTATGAAGCGACGTGTTCGGTGTAGTCTTCGAATGATGTGTAAGCGGGTACAAAAGCCTCTGTTGGTTGTGAGTAATTATCGCATGTGTTGTTGATTGTGGAGCGCAAATTCTGAACTTCATCAATAGGGCACGTGTACAATGTTTCGCTGATTAATTGATCCATGCATGTTTCTAACTCGTTGTCGCTATTATCGCCGTCGCCACTTGCCGCATCGGAAAAGTTGTCATTGTCTATTTCTGTTTCTCGATCGTAGGGCTGCCATGGAGCTCAGATTTTGTGCGAAGCAGAATGCCTTTTTGTGATTCTTGCTCTTCTTTTTCTATAGCTTCAGACCTGTAATAATCTATCCACTTCTCTTCGAATTCCCTCATTTGAGTTTGTTGAAGAGCTGAGCACGTGGATTTAAACCCAATGTAAGCGCGTTCAGCGTTTGGATACCCTTCAACAATTCTACCTTCTCGATGTGGTTTAAAAAGTGTCAAAAGCACCAAATAGTAAAACTTTCTGTCAGTATCAGATGTGTTAGCGTTAAAATCTGGCAATTGCTTTCCTGACATGATGAAAAGTTGCCGATGTGCATTTTTTTCAAAGTGTAGCGCCCCATCGGCGTCTTGTTTCTTTCCGCTGTGGTGCCATTCACAAATAGTGATAAAATTGACGTTATCTAACTCTTTTTGTCGTTTCCAGTACATACTTAGCTTGCGTTTACCATTCCATACGGGCCCGTTTGAATCCGAGTTAATATCTTCGGGGGTCGGGATTTCAACTGTCGGTGAATTTGTATTCTGTAGCATCTTTTCGAGGTTCACATACGTATGCTCATGTGAGAACCAAAATGGACTACCGCGATGAATATATAAAGCGGCCATTGGTGCTGCAACTTCTTGGCCGTTCGTCAGCGCATATAGCATAGATGAGAGCAATTTGTACCCTCTCCGTTCTGCAGTGTGATGGGTTGACCGATCTGCTTTTTCCACAGCTTTGTTGAATACACCAACTGAAAAGCGAACTTCGTTTTCGATGGGATTTTGCTTTTTCATGCAATACTTGCAAATGTATGCTGCTGCGTTTTTAGCGCTGGCTCCAAACACAAGCTGCACGTCGTGGTTACATTTTAGCGTTTGCATTAGCGTTCGATTGTATGCATTTACGTACTCTGATCCAATCGGCCGGCTCAACTGCAAATCGTTCCCGTCGTCGGTTCAAGTGTTTTCTAGTCTAGGTTCATGCGGCTTAAAGAAACGGCAGACAGATGCTTTCGGTGTTCTGCGCGTAGGCTTAAAGCAAGAATTTGCGTGGCTCCATTAGTGAACTTGTACATCGCGGACGATGAGGCTTAATTCTAGTGCCGACAATGAGCTATTATCATTATTACGCGGTGGGGAGCATCTAATAAAATCAATGTTTTCAGGTGATAACTTTACTGCATTGCGACGCGCAGCACTATCAATCGCAGCATTAATCACATCTTTGTCTCTATACTTGACATACAAATCTGACAACAAGAAGTAATCGGTGCATGTTGTCCTGGCAATGGCTTCCGGTATCCATCGATACCGACCGCAACTGGTTTCAATTCTCCAGCGTCCTCATTGAAGCAACGATTTGGTGATTCAATCACTGAGATAGTTGTTGTTGAAATGCAATCAACATAATCGGTTAGACGCTGTGTGAATGCTGCGTTCGAAGATATGGCTTCTTTCATTTGCTGTGACGTGGTAGGAAATCCGTGTAACCGTACCGCGAAGTGGGCATGGAGATCACCACCCTGTTGTGTTCCTGCGGCAGCCCCAAATGCTCGAACCACACCGAAAATTCCCCCTCCTTTCTTGGGTTGATGTGTCTTTCGATCCCACCCAAGAAAAACATCAATTATAATAGTCATTATTCTGTCAAAAAATAAGGCGCACTGCATCGGGTGGTTGTTGACAATGCGCTTCCGATCAGCACGATTTGGTAAAAGACGCATGTTGGCTTCTTCGATTACGTGATGCGGTAGTACACCAGATTGTTCAGCAATTGTATAAGTCCCAGCGGTATCGGGTGATACCGTAAAAAATAGCTGTAGTGGTCCAAAACGTTTAATATATCCGAAAAGATCGTTTCGTGCTCGCATTCTGCTCAAATTCGATCCATAAAATGCTGTCTCACTGGTACGAAGACCTCTACGTAGGTTAATAACCTGTTGAACCTCTTTTCGGGGTGGATTTGGCTTCTTTCCATGCGCTTCTGCTGTAACAACATTGTATCTTTCCTGGTGGGAAAAGGAGAAGGTCCTTTATCTGAGCATCGAGTGCTGACGCGTCGTATTGCTTCAAGATAAACTCTGGTATATCTGCGTTGTCGGGTATCCGCAATAACCGCGACATGCTCTGTCGAACACAAGGGTAAGAGAAGTTTCGCATGACACCTAAATTAACCAGAGAACATCTTACCTCGGCAATGGTATCCGTCAAAGGTGTCAGTTGTACATCATTCATAGGATGCAAAAGCTCGCACACGCAGCAAATTGCTCCTTCACCGGTTGAAGCCTCAAACATCCTAACTGCAGAACGCTGAAGTCTAGCTAGGTCTACCACGGTTGGTACCTTAATGTTTAAAGTGCTATCCATTGCATCGAGCTCCGCGGAGGTATAAAACGCAGTCTCATCTCTTAATGCTTGGTTTCGAAGCCGATGAAGGCGTTGATACTCTGCTTCCCGCTGTCTCTCAACTTTACGACGTTTCCGACTCGGCTGGTTATCTTCGTCATTGTGTCTGCGCTTATTGCTATCCGAAGCTTGTTCTCGTTCTGTTCTTATTCGTCTTTGTTCCGCAAGTAGTACTGCATACATAGGGTTACTACGAATCGCTCGCACCTGGGCACTCAGCCCGCACCCAGCGCCATCTTCACACTTAGTCTCTTCCTCCATTGGATGTCTCCGAGAAAACTGCTCTTTGCTACTACAGAAGAAAATATCTGAAGATTTGGTTACTGGAAAATATGAAACTGAAAAATTTGATTGGAGGAGAAAATGAAATTTTGGCCAGTGGCTGCAGTTGTACTAATAGTGCGTCACTGTTAGTACAATTGCACTATTAGTCGAGGTTAGTGCCTCGACGCACGAGATGGTCGTGGGCGTGCTGGCGAGATGACCCCAGGCTTCGGTCCCGCTGTCAAGATGACCACACGCCCACCCCCACACTGCCCTCGTACCCAAAACCCAAGCCACTGTTGTCAAAGATTATCGTCGACTATAGCTCCGAGTTGCTCAAGCTCATATTTGTGGGCGAGTAGCTGCTGAGCTTCCCCTCCGACTGGTAACTGGTCCTGGCTGCCGACGTCAATCCCGATCCCATGCAGTACATGCCCTTATTACTTTATTGTGGATGCAGCTCTTCAACGAACGCAACTGCTGCAAGATCCACGGCGAAGCCAAATCTTGGAGGGGCTGCTGAGCAACTCGCTACACGGTCGAAGTATGTCGCTGAGGAACCTGCCGCAGCCATACTAGTACTATATCATCACGGTGGTGGACGGCACAAGAGCGACGTGCCCAACTACTTCCCAGTAAACTTCCAAAACGGACAATACATGCTTGACACTGACAACTCGTTATATTAAATTAGGCTTACCTACCACGATGATCTGCTAAATACCTTTCTTTTGGTGGGCCCTGCATGCACCAAGCTCATGCTTATCATCCAACGCAAACTGCTGAACACTGGTTGTGGGTAGTTCGCTCGGCATCTTGTTCAGCATTTTCATGAAAGTACGTCACTCTGCCGCAATCGCCGCCGCCTCCAACTTGTCGGACCGCTTAGAGGCCGCGCTCCTGCTCAGCCATCCAATCCTACGCCTCCACTTGCCCCTGCAGAAGGGAATGGTACATCTGCAGCTTGCGGACCTTGCCAATGACGGCGACTTCGCCAACCTGGTGCGGGCAGCGCACTCAGCCCAGGGGACGCTTACGAGGCTTCCACATTGTCACCTGCAACGTGATAGTGTTGCGCATCGCGCGGTCCATCTTGGCCATTCTCGCCTTCAGCCCAGCCTCTTTGCCCTCGAAAATCGCGTCGACCAGGTCGTACCGATACAGCTTGGGCTGGTCCTCGATCCCAGCGAAACACAGAGCCACAGCAACGTAGTCGTCCTCCTTCGACTTGTGCGTCAGGTAGAACTCGCGCACCCCGCGGACCGTTCGCTTCGGCGGGAGTACCCGTAGGCGCACTTGCTCTGCGAGCATCGCGTCCATCTCAGCGAACGGGTCCTCTTCGGCCATGAGGCGCAACTTCACTTGAGCTCCAATGCTTGTGCTTGGCTGACAATTCGTTTCTGCTGAATGCACACACTAGGCACAGAGATATTGAAGTAAAGCGTCTCTGGGACTTGCCTTGAATAATTCTGGGACTTGCCTTGATAATGCCCAAGCGCTGTCCCTGCCATAGTCCTTTCGCGTCGGCTCGACGGTTTGCAGCAAACCAAACTTGCATCTTGCTACAAGGCTTGATCTGCAGCTTTATGTGAGGGTTGGACCATCTGCGTTACGACAGAACTTAATGGTCCAGCCCTCGTATAAACCAGCAGCGGGTGGTGTAGGTTCGCTTCACTGCAACCAACATGGCCTTGAAGGTCTATGCTGTATTCTTACTTACGCACTACTCTACACTGTACTGTGGTTGAAATTCAATCTGGCCCGGCCCACACAGCACCTGTCCAATACAGCGTCAGCCCTTCACTTCTGCGTAGCTGTTTATCACCATGGCGCTTATGGTCGCTGGATACGAGTATTTCCACGCCGATCTACAGGTGGGCTTACCCCGTCGTGAAGGGCGGCATCACGTACAGTGCTTAGCGAGCAGTACAACACTGACTGCCCCAGGTGATATTGACCTGGCTACTCTCAAGTCGGTTGTTAACAAAGACGTGTTGCTTTTGGAATGTTTAATCGCCTGACGACAGACGCGGCGTCCTATCCCATCCACCATGGTTATGGTACGATGAGATGCTATTGCACGACGAGCTAGCAAGAATAATTGGAGTTGCATTTGCATGTCATGATACTGTTATCATTGTCTTGACCACGTAGCTCTGTGGTGTGCGTCACGTACTACAGCGACGCGATCTCCACGAGCCCCACCGTGGCGCTCGGGATGGTCAAGCGTATGTAGCGTGCCGTCAAGCATGCCCAGCGAATACCGAACATGGCGTGATGAACACAATGTTGATCAATGGGCTGCAATGCGCAGCGCAGCCGATCGTTCATCGCGCCGCCTCCGAAGTCGGTCCGCTAAGGCCCACACGTGCGGCGTTTTATTCCAAAACTGAATACTCGTTAAATACATCGATCCGACCGCCTCTGCTGCTTTATACCGGTAGTACCAGCCGATTTTGAATACTCAAGTTCATATTAAAAAGTACCGAATGTATAAAACTGATGGTCAGACAAGAAATGACGCTGGCTCTAAGCTATCCGCTTAGAGAACAGTAGCGCTGCTCGAGTCTCTACGAGGCTTTTCGCGCACGATATCTCTCAGCTCGCTAAAAGCGAACAAGGTCTTGTGAACGCACTATTTTTCAACCTTCTCCGTGAACACGTTTGGGGCAAAAGGCAACGTCCTTAGATCACCGAAGGCATGCCTCGCAGCGGGTTCGCAGTGAATCCGTGCGAGGCAACCCCGGGAGTGGTGTGGTGGGCCTTAAACTCGGCCAGCTAGTTGGCTTGCATGCAAGCTAGCTGGGGAACGCCACCCCCTTAACTAAAACTAAGCTGTTACAGTAAAAAGTGTCAATAGTGTATTTGCGCCACCCGAAATCTGGCTCAGTCTACACTATTAGTGCGGGCTACGGTAATTACGCACCCACACCAGTAATAAAGCCACGCTAATATACAAGTCACACTAATACGGGAGACTTTACATTATGCCTAATAGTCTAGTGTTGGTTAGAAAGGCATGCCAAAAGTAAAGTCGAACGAGTTTGGGAAAACTGGCTTGACACATCTATTCTTAGAATATTGTTCTTTTAGTGATGGGGACGTAAACGACGTTAACTTAAAACCCATCATTCGGCGTACTCTATATCATAGGTTCAAAAGTTGAGCTGTAGTTTTGATGTAGTTCTAGTACGAGTTTCGTAATTTTAACGCCAGATGCATAGTTATGACTAGCATACGTTTACACTAGCTATTGCAAAACAGCAAAATTCGCCAAAAACCTATCATACAGCATATACTATATGATAGGTAAAAGTTAACGTCGTTTACGTCCCCATCACTACTATTCTATCGTGTCTTACTAACAAGCTGCTTCTTTCGCTCCTGATACCGGGCACGCGCGAAGCATCTGCCCACGTTTTGATTGGCCGAGTAAAAAACACCACTCGCGCATATAAAAACCAAGCTGCCGATATTTTGTACTCCCTGAAACTGTCACCCGGTGACAGCTCTGAGGGGTCGCCGTAACAAAAGTAGGGAAACCTGCTGGCTTTCCGCGCAGTCGCATGGCTTTTATTTCCTTTTGGATGGGTTCACCTTTCTAAACCATAGTTAGCTCAAGTGAGCCCGGAATCCATATTTGCGCGCCACTTTGATTGGCCGCTGACGGGTCGGCAACGCAACTTAAGTAAGGAAGTTTCCGCGACCGCACGTTACCGCTCAAGTTTAATTTCGGTGGTGCGACGCTATGTTGAGTGCGGAGCGCATGAACTTGAGCGGGAGAGTACCGTTGTTGCCTGTTCAAGTAGGCAAAAGTATCGAGTACCTAACCTGGGAAATGTTGACACGAGTCTACGTGTCTAAATTCTGTCGCAGATTTTTTTCCGCTGTCCCATGCGAGTCGCCAACAATAGCAGGGGCAAGTGAGCGCGATGTGGTGTGCTTGCACACAGGTGTTTTTTACGTTAGAAATTGCGAAAAGCATAGTGAAGCTAAATGAAGCGCTCCGATCGCGACCATAGTGAAACCCAGTGTTTCTTTCATAAAAAACATTCACAAATTTGGCGAACCGACTCTGCGAACACCCTGTGCTCTCAGCTCAAGAGCTGAGAGAACAAACAGATAAACGCACAGCGCGGGCGACAGGTGCGCCGCAAGTGCGGCGCGCCTAAGTCGTGTGCTCTGTGGGCTGTGTGGGGTTCCAGGCAGCACACGACACGGACATCCGCCCCATTTGCTTCTACTGCCGCGGCGTCGTGTGGCTTGCCATCCTAACAGCAGCAGAGCAGATTTACACGACCGTGCAGATCTCCGAGTCGGACGGAGCGGGTGCAGTACCGTTACGGTGGGCAGGGGCCGACGAAGGACGACATCGTGTCGGCGAACATCTTCCAGACGATCATGCTTGTGGTCATGTGGCTCATTGCCATCCGCCACTCGTACCTGCACCAGTGCGAGGTGTCCATCTACAACCAGTCTTTCGCTGCGGCTGCGATGAATGCCGCTCCTCCTGTACACCTGCCTGAAGTGGTGTAAGGAAAAGCATAGTTCAAGATCGGTTTGTGGGCCCCAGTGAACGAGAATATACCAGGCAGCTGGACCTGGTGCGCGTGCTCTTCAGCTCGCGCTCTTCCGTCCTGCTGGAGTGCATCGTCGACCGGCGTGCGTCCTCCGGGACCACCATGACCGCAATCAAGAGTCGCGGTGAGGACCGCACACCGTCGAGCTGAACTTGTGGACTGCCGCGAGGGTGGCGGGAGACGCGATGGCGCTGGTTCGGTCGGCAGGTAGACACGTTGCAGCGGGGGGGGGGGGGGCCACACTGGATGAGGCTGGCAGAGCGGGTTCTGGAGGTCGCACTCGCCCAGGAACCCGTTGTAGCACCACTCACCGCGATCGAGCGCGACGAGAGACTTGAGGTTCTTGACGTTAGTGAAGTCCGGGAGACGGTGGAGCAGTGGGGTGCATGAGATGACGAGGCGTTCGAGGTGAGCATCCACATCTACCAGATAATCAGACCTTTCAGTACAATAACACACTTACGATAATATCAATTTGCTTTCTTGCCTCCGCGCTGTTTTAATAACCAAATACAAGCAAGTTATAAGCTGCAGCAACGCCCTCCCAAGCAGACGACTATTCTTACCTTCGTGCACCCTGATGTTGCTGCGTCTTCAGGGGAAATGATTCGAATGAAACTTGATGATGCGATTGATGCTTCTTCATTGATAGAGACCGACTAGGTAATTATTCAGATTACCTATTAAGTTTACTTTCATAATATTTCAATATATGATGGATACTTAAACGCATGCGTTACACGCACGGCTTCATGCGACACCAAATAGGCAACCCGGAGCGTTGCTCCGGGAGGTCGACGAATAGTTTCATGGACGATGATAACGGATAATAATTGAGTAAATCCCAAAGTTGTTTTGTTTTTAATCCTTAAAAGCACTACCAGCCCAACTCTTTAGTTGACTCTAACGTGGGCATCTACTGCGTCTGCTTCGCAGCCGTAGCATCTGCCCGAGACTGCGTAATTGAACAAATAGTTGCGCACATCGAAGTGTATCGATACGGAAATGATGTTTCAGACAAACCTTTGTGAGGCTGGTAACCAGCAAGCCCCGCTCTTCTTTATCGTGGTGGGTTCTCAGGAACCGAAAGTCACCAATTGAGGTTGCCTGATCTGATGAGGCCATCGGTGACATAGTACCCTGGTCCAATGGCTGCGTTGGCGCCAGCAACGAGAGAGCTATTTCATTCATTTTGCAGGTAAGGTATACCGTGCTCATTTTCGAACTATGTTGTGTGCTAACGATCAGACGAGAGAGCTACAGCACCCCGTTCACCCTAATTAGTCGTGCGACCTAATTAGTCGTGTACCTTTGATAATCATTCCACCGGTTCTGAAAAGTATTTTCATTTTCACCTTTAATCCAGAAAAGAGACCGGATTCGAGTAGATCTCGGCAAGACGAATATTTAGTCTATCGTAGATAGGAATAGTTTTCCCGAGAACGGAATTTCAAAACAGGGTGAGCCACTCTTCAGGTCGTACACGTTAAATAGTCATGGCACGACTAATTAGGGTGAATGGTGTAGCGGGACGAAGTAGAGACGCATGGTGCGCTGATCTTGACCTTTTAACTTGAGGATGTTAGCTAAGTGACCATAATGATCCTCAATTCAAAAACAAAACAAACAAACAAACTTTTAACTTGAGGGCTTGGGGGATAAATTGCGGAATGAGAAATACGCTAATGGGCCAATTTCTTGGAAGTGGGTGCTTCAACGCAGGGAAAAAAAGTATTGTTCAAACGAACGATGCTCGTGTCACTGTCGAGTTGAGCTGATTGGTTTGGCGACAGACACGAGGTTGGGCATCTTCGGCTAAGAGTGATTGGGTATTGAGCAAATTGACATGTAAAAGAATGTAGCCTGCAGCTAGACAAGTCATGTTGTTCATCTTCAGCTAGGCTTGGTCGATTATGGCGCAAATTGATACGCCTTCAGCGAAGCCATGACGCTCTCATACTGTACTAGAGCGTCCGTAAGTAGGTTGTGGTCAATAATAAACTATTAGTATCAACCTTTGGTAAATAATGTGCATAAATCTTAGCATTTATCGATGGGTACCCGATTCCGGCAAATATTAGCTTAAACATTACAATTAAGAACGAGAGACCCGGTTTGGTACCCGGTTTTGGAAAGTTACAAGTTTTTTGCCGGGGCCAAGCACAGGTCTTCGACCTGTGAATTAATCCTGTGCCTTACGGTACACTAGCTATCTCAGTATAATACGGTGGGTATCTAAGTAGTCTATCACGCTATCTACTGCAACAATGGCGACGCTACGCAAGCCTACAGAGGGTTAACCGTCTTGATAAACTCGGAGGCCACGCGCCAAGCCTTTTCAACTGCTTCCTTCGTCGCGGGATCCTCAAGATCGCCGCGACACACCCAGCCGTGCACCATTCCAGGGAAGTTCACGACTCGGCAGTGCTCGCCCACACCGGGCTTTGCCTTCAGAATCTCCTCCATTGCACCACCTTCACGCACTACCGGGGGATCGTTTCCAGCGGAGCAGAGCAGCTGGGCCACCGAGATGGCCTCCGCCATCTTCTGCACGTCGCCATTGATAAGCTCCTCGGCCATCCAGCTCGGGTGGAAGGAGACGTGACCCTTGATCACTGGCTCCGGCAGAGAAGACTGCTTCGCTCGGATGTACGCGCCCCAGCAGTAGCCGTAGCTGCTGATCGAGTCTACGCCCATCTCCTTCTGCAGATACGCGCGACGTGGGCACCCGCGATTCTCAAAGCTGTTCTTCAGCAGCCAAGCCGGCACGTCTGCGCCGTCGAGAGTCTCAAAGTAGTCTCCGTCTGCAGCGTCCACCAGCACGACCGAGTAGCCGAGATTGCCGAGCGCCATTGTATCCTGCTTGACGCGGCCGCTGTGAGGGCCGAAGATGTCGGGAATAGCGACCAGTCCAGCCTTGGCGTGAGCTGGGCCAGTAACGAAGAGCTTGGTGTTATTGAACGTCTTGGCGATAATGCTTGCAGACTCCGTATCGGGATCAACGCCAGCAGGTGCCATGATATTATTATGCAAGGAATTGGCGAAGTGGAGTCGGGTTTTGAAGCAATGCAAATGAAGAAGTGAGCTTGTTCTGCGGAAACCTTCAGTGTGCATCGAGGTCCCAAACGGAAAAGTGATGTAATCGCCGCTATGAAGGCTTGATTGCGACAGATATCCTCCGCTGCAGGCCCAAAGGGGCTCCGAGGAGGTGTCAAGGATACGCAGTACTTTAAAAGTACCGCGATCAGTAGTCGATTTCTCAAACCAACACCACGACGTTCACAGGTATCAGCAAGTCAAATCAATACGCCGGCGGATTAGCGCAATGCTGCTCTCTGTAGCAAACATTTTACATGTACAGCCACTCCGTACGACTACGGATATGCCGAAGGGTGGACTTGAATCAAAACTCCAGTCGACGACTCGAGTCCCTTCACGCTCCGTTCTTCACCAACGCTTGACGGGCACGCACATGCTCCTTGTTGGTTCGAGGGTAAGTGGCTGATGAAAGTCACCTATTGTGCCAATTCTGGCGCGACTGCCATGCGGCGATTTCCAGTGTACGGGGAGATGCTTGTCACTGCGCTCGACATGCCGAATAGGTTGATCGGAGCCCGGTTGTTTTCCCGGAAGCCCGAGTACAATAGACTGTGCTCCACACAAATAGCAAATGAGAAAGCTGTCGCGTTCACCACGCTGGCTGCACTGCCGCAAGGCCTTCTCTGTGCGTCGCCGGTAGCAACGCGCTGCACTAAGCCTGAGTGCTCTGGCCTAGATACTGATGTGGATGGACCAATTCATCGTGAATTGCCAGCATCGTGGCTACAATCGCTGTTAAAAAGTGATTGCGACAGGTGGTGCCAACCTGCACGAATCATGCCATGGCTTTGAAGGATCCTGAAGCAGTGGCTAGGATAAGATGCTGCGTCTTTGAGGCTGTTTCAAATGTCTAAACGACCAGCGAGCGAAAAGGTCATGCCAGAGCCGCCGACTTCGGCGAGCATCGCTCCAATGTCCAACGTGGACAGTCCTTGACGACACGCAGCAAATACGAAGAGATCTTCCCAATGTAAGCCGCCAAGGACAAATGGCGATGCGGTCGTGATGTTGATCGCAGGCCACGACAGGGGCGATGATTTGGAGGACTGGTCCGAGCCATACACGCGGCCATACAAAAGCCCATCTCGCCCCATCTGAATTTAATCGCGGCATTCCGCCTCTCTTTGCCGCGGCCATCTGCATCAGAGCGCGCGTCTGGCCGGCCCATTTGATTCTCGGTGGTTCGCTCTTATTCCTCTCCGCCACTTCCGAATCTCACCCGAAGCTGACATGGCCGGCCCTCAGATCCGCCTCGTGACGCTGCTCCTGCTGCTCGTGGCCGTCGCCTGCAGCGCCAGCGTAACGGCCGAAGCCGCGCTGCCCCCCAAGTCGCGCCTGCTGCGTCGCCAGGTGCAGCAGAACGACGACGCCGATGCCGAGACCACCACCCAGCTCGCCGCCTCGAACCACTCCTCCAGCAGCGACTCTGCCAGCTCCAGCAGCTCCGGGTCCTTGGAAGCCGACGCCACCGTCAGCACTGAGGCTTCGGCCGCAGAGTCTGAAACAACGCACCACGAAGGCCCGACCACTATGTCGTTCGTGGGCCCCGCCATCGCCGGCGTGCTGGCTATCGTGCTCATCGGCGCCGTCGTAACCTTCAAGAACCGCATGGGCAAGTGAGACCTCGAACCGCTTCCGCCCCCGGGTGGGCAGCTACTTACTTAACGAGGCGAGCCTCCCTCCATCTTTAACAATAAAGGAATATATAGTTGCTTTCATTTCCAAGTGCCAACAGCGGCAGCGACCGGATCCGACCCACCCCCACGTCTCCCTAGCTCTGTGCTATACTGCATGCCTCCCTCCACGTCTAGAACGGATTGATCTTGCGCGCCGCTCGGACGAGCATCTTCGGGTAGAAGCGCTTCTCCTGCGGTCGCGCGCCCAGCTCGTAGCGAGGCTTGCCCGAGATCGGGTCGATCGGCGCCTGTGCCTTGAGCGCCGCCATCACGTCGTCCAGCAAGAAGTCGTCGCCGACGATTGGGTCCTCGATGATCGGGTCTGTGTGCGTCTTGCCCTCGAAGAAGCGCGTGGAGACGGAAATGCCGCAAGCCTGCAGTGCGGCCGTGCACTGCTCCGAGGACCGATAGCTCACCGTCTTGTCCGCCGTGCCGTGGAACAGGAAGCACGGCGGGAAGTCTTCCAGCAGCGCTTGCCGTGTTCGCGACGGCAGCTCACTCAGCGCTAGTAGTCGCAAGGACGGCGAGTAGTACGCCAACCGGTGCGCCATGATGCGCTCCACCACCGCGCGGTCGAAGCCGTGGCGGTGGAAAGTTGCGATGTTGGCCTCCATGTTGTACGGCCCGGAGATGCCGATGTAGCTGCGGATCTGCCGCAGGTTCCACGTGATCGGCTGCGCCAGCGGCAAGCTCTCGACGCTCTCGCAGTCCGACGTGTTGCCCATTCCGCCGACGCTGCCGTTGCTGCTGGGCGAAGCTGCAGAACTCGCTGACGCGTTGCGCTTCTTCTCGACCTGCTCCAGCAGCATGCACATGGCTAGATGCGCCCCTGCAGATTGGCCGATGAGATGCACATTCTCACGGTCACCTCCGAAGAGGTGAATGTTGTCAAAGACCCACTGCATCGCGCGCGTCACGTCCTCCACCATGTCGGGCACCACGCCCTGCGGAAAGTTGCGGTAGTCGGGCATGACAACGACCACGCCCAGCGACGCCAACACCCGGCCCATGAGCGCGCCCCACGCCTTGTAGCCGATGATCCACGCTCCGCCAGACACAAACACCACCACCGGGTACCTCGCTTCGGTGAAGCTGGCGCTTGAGGCGCTGGTCACACTGGAGCTGCGCGACTTGCTCGTCGTTGAGGCCGCAGCCGAGTCCTTTGACGTCTGCGGCACTGTGTACACGTCCAGCAGGTTGCGTCGGTTGAGTCCGTAGATGATATTCTTGTGCACGTTTTCGTCGACGAACCAGTAGATCGCGACCTTGACGATCGGTAGCAGCAGTAGCACCACGAACGAGATCAGCCGCAGCGCGCACAGGATCCAGCGCTTGGACATGCGCAGCGCCCAGATCAACTGCACCGCGAGCTTGGTGATGAGCCAACTCTGCTCGGCCACGACCTCCACGACCTCGGCGCCGGACGAGACGGACGCCTGCAGCACGGCACCATTGGACTCTGGGTCCAACACGAGGTTCTTGCTGTGCGGCGGTCGGGGCACTGCCGAGCCGCTGGAGCTCAGCAGCGACGCGTGCAATGAGCTTGCGCTGCCCGTGGACTCAAGCGGGGGGTGCAGCGCCTCCTCCTCTTCGAGATACTTGACCAGCTGCGAGGTGGAGGCCGCGTCCAGCAGGGAAAAGGTGCGAACCTTGGGGATCAGCAGCTTCTCGCCCGGGACGGCGGCGCTCGCGTCCGCGTCTTCATCTGCCGCTTGGTCGCCATTGGGCAATTGCTGCTGGTGACGATGGTGGTGCTGCATCCTGTGCAGTAGTGGGTCCTGCGGCTCTGCTGCGGTCTCTTCAAAGCTTACGAGGCCGTCAAGTTGCTGGTGTTCTTGCTGCTTGTGCTGCACCTGCGGGGCCTCGCTCGGAGCTGCTGGGCGCTTGCCAGTCGCCATGTCGGACGCGTCCGGAACGGGAGTGGCCAATTCTGGAATGGTGGGCGGCAGCTGCAAATAGGTCGGCAACGGTGCACAATAGCAAGATGCGAGGCTGTGCCACTATAAATGGCAACGCCTTCTGCACGCAGAGCTCGCTCCAGCGGAGGAGGAGTATCGACTTGTCCTTGATGGCGAGGGATCAGCAGCGACTGTGGACTGTGTCAGATGGCGGACGCGTCGTACTTAGCCCGAGTGGTCCAGTAACTGGACTCCAGTATGCCAGGGGATCCTTGCGACATGGTTCCCGCCGGACTTATCCTCCGACTCGGCAGACATTGCACGGGCGCGAATAGACCCAAGCAGCACCGCCAACGGTGGTTGACCCATTCCTAACGTTGGCGCCAAGAGCCCGCAGTTCCAGCCATTTAATGGCCACCACGCACAACCGCCGTACCACGTTCTACTGTCGAAATGGCCTCACGCTTCGTCTACACGCCCGAAGTGCACCACAACTTGTCCTCAGCAGCGACAATGCTACATGTATCGCTGCTCCGAGATAGACTCGGCTGTCAGCGGCTTCAACGTCAACCAGATGCAACTGTAACATGCGCGCTGCACCGCCAGCACAAGAAAGCACGTGGTTGAACTCAAAATCCCTATTTTACGACAAACTATTCTTGCGGTGCTGCAACGAGTGTAGCCATCTTCCAAGTTGAAGTGCCAGGTCTTACGGACCCGTGGACTGGGCGCGGTGTAGCGTGACGTAGCCAGTGCCTCCGCCGACGCTGCTGCTGCTCGAGCCGAGGCGCGAGCGTCGACGCGACCGGGATCGAGATCGGGATCCTCCTCCAGCGCTGGAGCTTGGAGACGGCACCACAAACTGCTCCTCGAAGATCGACCGGTCGTCGGGGACGTCGAAGCCGTCGTCTTCCAACACGTAGTGCTCGTGGGCGCCGAGGTTGCGCGAGCGCTTGGCGAACGGGTCGTGCTCGACGGCCGACGTACCGAACATGGACACACGCGACGGCGGCGGGGGCATCGGCAGGTTCTCGGCCGCCAGCGCCTCGGCCAGACGGTCGTAGTCCACCGAGTGGTGGTTGACGACGCTGCGGCCCAGCGCGAGGCGTCGAGCAGGCAGGCGCAGCTCCGAGAGAGAGGTCAGCGAGTCACGGTCGCCATCACCGTCGGCTCGGAAGTACGCGGCTGTCGAGAAGTTGCTGGTTGAGCTCAGCTCCTTGGACAGGTTGGCGGCCAGTGGAGCGTCCAATAGCGCAAGTCGCGTCACGATGTTGCCCAGCGCGATCGAAGGCTGTACGGTGAGAACTCCGAGCTCACGCAATTTGGCTCCAGCAGCACAGTCGTCCACCACAGCGATCAGGCGAGGGCGCGCGTGCTCGCCCAGCATGGTCTGCATGACCCTCGCGTGCTCCAGTGAGCGCTCCGGGACGCCTGTGAAGATGAGCACGTCTGCGTTCTGCATACCCGAGTCTACAGGGGTCTCCCCGCGACGATCCTGGATCGTGTTTTGGAACGAGATGAGCTCGCCCTTAGCCGTGCGCTGCAAGATGGTCTCGTTCATGCGGCGCCACTTGTCTGCGCGAGCCTCGTCGAGCAGCGGGACATTGACGCGAGCGCCGTAGAGTGACAGCTCCAGGGCGATCTCGAACGCCACTTCGTCGTCTCCAAGCACCACGGCGCTCTGCACACGATAGAACGGCAGCAGCGGCCTGGGATCCATTCCACCGCCGCGTGTAGAGAACAACGCTTGGGTGCTGTTGTGGCGGCTCAAAGTGCTGTTGTGACGGCTGAGAGTTCGGTAGGACTTGCGGTTGTCCTTGCCGACTTCGACGTCCGAGTCAGCTCCATCTTTTTCCAGTTCAGGCGGAGTCTGCGTGTGTGCTTGGGCTGCTGCTGCGGCCTGACGATCGATCATGCTCTCTCCAGCACCACGAAGCCCCAGCGAGCAAAGCACGGGGCCGATAACCTGGTTGATCACCACTGCAGCCACGATCGTCGCCGAGAATTCGGCTCCCCAGTCGTCGGTGATCAGCTCCTTCACCTCGGCAGCCAGACCAAGCGACACACCAGCTTGAGGAGCCATGGTCAGCCACAAGTGCTTGTAATGCTGCGGTGGCAGCTTCAGCAGGAAGCGACCGCCGCCGTACACGGCCAGAAAGATGGCCGTGTAGCGCAGCACCAGGTACAGGCTCATCATCGGCAGCACACTCACCACCTTGTCCAGCTGCAGCGACGCGCCCGTCATAACGAAGAAGGGCAGGAACATGTACGGCGCCACCGTATCGAGAATAACGTGCATCTGCGGGCGAATAGCAGCGTAGTGACCAGCAGCGCAGGACGCGAGCATCAGCACCAGCAACGCCTCGAACTTGACCTGCCATACAAGGCCGAAGTGCGCGGTGGTGAGGTCGCTCAGCGTGTTGGTGAAGAGGTAGAACAGGTAGCCCATGAGCAGCCAGACGAAGCCCTTGAGGTAGAGCGCCTTGCGCTCCGTCCACCATTGGGGTTTGTCCAGCAACTTATCCGTGTCCGTCTCCTCGACGTACGCGTTGTACGGGTGCGGCGCCTGGTCCGGGTCGTCCATCGCCTGCTCGAGGTCGCTGACGTCCTGCCTGCTGTCAATGCGTTGGCTGTTCTTCATGCGGCGTTGGGACAAGGACATCCTGGAGGAGGATACCGACATGGCGTGGGCCGGAGCTCCCGACGCCGCTTGGCCCACGTCTGGCTGCCCGCTCGGCAGCTGGAAGATGAGGATCGTCACGAGTCCGAGCAGCGCGCCGAGCACGAGATTCATGAGCACGACGCCCATGGTGAAGGCGATGCTCTCGGGCGACACGTCCAGCTTGGCGCAGTAGATGGAGGCGACAACGCGCGAGACGGAGAAGGACACGAGCACGACGAACTCGGCCGTCATGCACGTGCCGAGCGCCAGGTGTGTGAAGGGCCCGACGCTGTTGAGCTCGATCTTGAGCGCCATGACCGTGGAGGGCGACACGAGCACCGAGATAGACGCGAACATGAGCGCGATGCCCAGCTGGCAGCTGTGCGCGAAGTCCGAGTAGAAGAAGGCGCCCGCGGCCAGCATGAAGACTGTGGTGCCCAGCACCATGGCCGTGCAGTAGTAGGTCGTAAGCAGCGCCAGGATAGACTTGATCTGCGGCCGCAGCTCCGGCAGGTAGATCTCCTGGCCCGCCTGGAACGAGATGAAGCTCAGCGCGAAGGCGTTCACGTACGAGCCGAGCATGTTCACGACGTCTTCGTTCAGCAGGTTGGCCAGGAAGGGGCCCGACAGGATGCCGGCCACGAGGTACCCGGTGATGAGTGGCAGGCGGAAGTACTTGGGGAAGAACAGACCCAGCGGGTGCGCGCCCAGCAGCACGAGCACGAACGCGAGCAGGTGGCTCAGCGTGTCGTTCACGTTGCTCCATGAGTTGAAGGGAATGGTCCGGTCGTCGTCCTCGTCCGCGTCGGCCAGCAGCCGCGTGGACTCGAGCAGCGAGCCGAAGGAGCTGCTGGCGTTCGCCGTGAGCGCCAGCGCCGCCGCTGCTGCGACGGCGAGCGGCAGCCACGCGCGAAGACTGCGACAACGACGGCCCATTGACAGAACGCGGAGGAAGTCGAAATGGAGAAGCGCTGGCAGCGCGTAGTCGCCGCCGGCGATACGGATCGGCTTCTTCGTCAAGCTCGCAACGTCACATCGACGCGTTTGTAGAGTTGGTGGGGTACCACCCGATTTGGAGTGGATAGGGCGGGACTCCGTTCTAACTTAACCAAGTAAGAAATGGTGTTAAACTCAGATAGGGTGATGGTATGTCGGCTCAGCTCACTGATTTTGGATTGAATCAGTACCGGTTTGTCGCAGCCTACTGAGTTTGATTCACTTTCGCAAAAGGTCGCGAATTGTGCCGGGGCGAATTTTGGGAAGTGATGGGCGTTCAAGTTAGGAATTGCTGTGCGAAAGATTTATGGTGTAAGTTGAACCATTTAGACACAATGCGGGCACCTTCAGCCTCGAGCGAACCCTCGCTTGAGGCTACCAACGTCACCTTGCTTCAAGGCAGGCTCTTTCTGAATTACGATCGATTGATCGATAGAAGAGAGTAGTGCCGAGCTAGTAAACAAGCCTAGTATTCTACGACTCCACCACGGTAGCCTAGCGCCTCGAAGGCGCTACTTTCTGACTCGGTCAGAGAAAACGTTGCATTTGGAAGCTACCCGTGCGAGGGCTACAGTAACTTAGATGTATGGGACTTTTGAAACGAAGGAAACTGTGTCACCGGGCGGACGAAATATCAATGATTTTGTTTTAGCTTTGTCAGCTGAGGCTACCAATGCTCACACAACTACGCGCAACGATCACAGATGAATACATTCATCTATCACAGGAAATACTTTGCGTGGATGATGTGGTATGCGAAGTTTAGTGCTACTGTATCTACGAACTACAAAGCTGCCTGCGGTGAGACTGCAGCGCGAGGTTTGCCCTAACGACCCGATTGATCTAGTGCCGCTTCCTGGCGAGGAATTCTCGTTTCTTTCAGCACGATACCTGTACTGTACTGTCGATACTGAACCCTTATCACGTTTGGAAATAAGGTACGGCGCCACTTTAGTAGAGAGTGCTCAGTTTAAGAAAACCCTTTACAGCCAATGATAATGCAGGAATCGAGGCACAAATCGCTATGATTGATCGATAGCATCCGGTGAGCAGCAACACGAAGCAAACACATGGCATTTCAGTACAAACCCCCAGTCAAAATCTCTCGTAAACTGGCGCCACCTGCGATTCGAGATGGCTTCAAGGCTTACTTGTTTCTTGGGTTCCGTGCGTCGCGTTTGATTGGTTCTCGTCCTACAAACTGTCGAAATCGCCCTCTTTCTCCTCGTACCAAAAGCACGGTCATATGCCAAAAATTGAGACTGCTATCACAAAGCAAAAATGGCACTCCGAAATCTCTCCTAAAGTGGCGCCGTACCTTATCAGAAGCTCTGGCAACGACGCAGTTGCAGTCTTCACTTAACCGCTGTAAGAAACCAGTCATCGCGCGAACTTCTCCGACGTTCGGTGCGCTCTCACGGCTTTCCCTGTGCCAATCCAAGCAACACATAGCGCGATCGATGTGTAACTGGAGAAAGTGTTTTTCAAGTCGGCGTGTGCCAGGACCCATAGCTGCTGTGGTCGAGTGGGGGAGGCGTACTACATGGAGATGGCACCGGAGGCGCCTGCGCGCGAGAAGTACGACGCGAAGGCGGCAAATATGTTGTTGTTGTTGTTGGGTGTGATGCTCTTCGTTTGTTCAGGATCCCCCATCGCCATGAACGCGGCAAAGGCATTCGAACTCGTCGAGGGAAGCGGTCGGGTATCGTTGGTCTTTGATTCAAAATTAAAGCGTGCAGCTTGGACACTTCCGAGTGGGGGTGCTGTTAAGAGATTGCTGCCACCCATTGTACCCGTTCGATCAGGCCGGCGCTTGTCGATCGAGCGGGTTCTGGGCCATGACGCTCTCAGTCAGGAAACGCCGCGGGAGGATATATACATGTAGACTCACCATTGCGGTGTCTTCTCAATTTTGATTGGACCGCGAGGTTGAAGCAGCCCTGCAGTCAGCCACTGGTCTCGAAGAAACAGGATTGCACTCGTCCAGTGATTCAACCTCCTCCCAGTCGAACAGGAGGCAAGATCCGCTAGGGGACAGGCGATTCATCGGCTACGAGAGCGGCACGTAGGTCGGCCACCAACTCACCCGACAGCTAGAGCGGGAGACCGTTGCAGACTGCAACTGGCAGATGTGTGTAGCTCAATGCTCTAGAGCAGCGACTGAAGTCAGGCCTCACGACACCGCGTCGAAACGGCTGCTACGCGTGCGCCCTTTGTTGGATGCCGTTTTCCTCCGTGGAAGATCTTGAGCTCGTTCGTTGCGAACCTTTGGGGCAGCGAGGCTAACAACAGTTTCGGCCCCTTGGTGGCGCAGGATCGGAGCGCTGCCTGCTCGGTCGATCGGAGATGCTTGGGACGAGAAACTGCGCGCTCGGAGGTGCTTAAAGACCCCCGCCGAGCCACCGCACGTCTTGACCGTGATAGCGACTAGCGATATCTTTTGCTCTACGAAAGACAGGCGACCAGCGAAACCGCAGGAATGATTTATCGATACACTTTCAGCAGAGTCGAACAGTGTTTCGAAATGTGGTAAGATCCGTTGGCAACGACTTGACCGGTGCAACGGAGACTCGACGGTAACTGCATGCAGCCGGTGGGCGCCAGACGCTGGCTGCGGACGGCGGGCGCCCTACCGGCAGCCTCGTCGTGCTAAGAGCACTCGGTCCGCCGTCGTCGCTCACGCCTGACGCCGTGGCCACGATTAGGATCTCACGCTTCATATCCGCTTCGAGTCCCGCGCGCGCATTCGTCTACACATGTACATGTACATTGCCCTTGGCCTGCGTCAGCTCGCGCGCAGAAGGGCGCAGTCCAGCGGCTGTGAGGCATCGGTACAGTTGCAAAGATCCCTTACGCGTCAGAATCATCTGTACGATACTGTTCGTGGAGCAGCCCGGATCGATCCAAGCAGCCCCACTTCAAGTTGATACGTGGAAGCTCATGAACTCGGTAGGAACTAAGCTTTCAAAGAATTAAAAATCCTTCAGGGGCCCGAAGTCCTTGTCTAGTGGACTGTAGGATCCCACCACTGCCTTGAACTCATTGCTTCGCAAGTACACTTGTAGCTGCAGGCCGTTTCATCAGATGAAGCACGTCAGGAATGCGTACCTGGTGGGGCTCGCTTGCTTGTGTTGCGATACAACTGGCCCCAGAATTGCAGCGTTACTCGGGACAACACATTTCCAATTGCCCACCGCGGAGTTCTTGGGTTGCCAGCTGCACACAAAGCTGCGAGTTTGTCAACGCCGTTTCAGCCGTTTCATGGTTTCCAACGTGTTTATAATGCGAACGCCCCTCCGTGGCCAGATACTGAAGATGGGCACGGCTAGCTCGTGAAGCGACTCCATGAAGAGGACTGCCCGGATGGCTGCGCCGAGCGCCTCGGTGCAGATCTCTCATTCGGGAATCGTCCCACCCAGCCACAAGTCACAGCCAACCCGCGCAATGGCAGTCATCCAGCACCGCTACCGAGTCGTGAGCACGCTGGCCGTCACCCTCTACGGCGCCGTGCACGTCTGCCACGACCTTGCCGCCATCGTCGACGGCGCAGACCCGGACGACGCCCTCGTCGTACTTAAGCATGTCTCGCTGCACAGAGCCATGGACACCATCAACACGCCGCGTTTTGCGTCGGTCGTTATCTTAGTTAGGATAAATGAACTCAATCTAACCTCAACCTTGAAATGAAATGAAATGAAATGAAACACGCCGCGGCCCAGTTCGCAGCAAGCCCCCCCCCCCCCCCGAGACACGAGAAGTCCGTGGCCAACGCGCTGCGCCAGGCCGGCGGCCACCGCCACGTCGTGCGCTACCGGGAAGACTTCATCACCGGCTCCGATCTCTACTGCGTTCAGGATCACTGCGCGGGCGGCCTGTACTCGCTCGTGAGTCTGGGCGAAGGCAAAGGCACGCGCCGACTGTCCTGCGCGAACGCCATGTCCGTGTTGGCGCAGGTGGCGTCGGGCGTGGCGTTCCTGCACGCACTCGACATCGCACACCGCGATGTGTCGCTGGAGAACGTGTTTATCAAGGACGGAGTGTGCCAAGTCGGCGACTTCGGTCTGTCAACTCGGCGACCTTACGGCTGCTGCGGTCGAGTGGGGAAGGCGTACTACATGGCTCCGGAGGTGGCTGCGTGTGAGGAGTACGACGCGAAGGCGGCGGATATCTGGTCGCTGGGCGTGATGCTCTTCATCCTTTTGACCGGATCCCCACTCGTATCAAACGCAATGACGGTGCTCAAGACCTTCAACTTGATGGCGGTCCGCCCGTGAGCCACACCAAGATGGAGGAGACAGTACCAGCACGGAGCGACGATCAAGAAGCGCGTGCCAGTCTTTCGCGATGGTACCTGGAAGGACTGGCTGGAGTGGCTGTTAAGACTGTCGGAATATTACGTCTTCATGGGGTATCAGAGCACGGAGGAGGGCCAGTGGCGTTCGTTGAGGACGTGCAGGTTCTCCTCTTTGACGACGACCTCCTGCTGTTCAACGACGTGGTCGCCGAGGAGCAACTCCACCACGTCGATGTAGCCATCTACGCCTTGCGAAGACTGACGATGGTTCACTGTCCACCCGGAACTCGGACAATGATCATCGACGAGCTGATGGACCTGCGGAAGACGCAATCAATGTCCGTTAGAGAATACAGCCGAGCCTTCAGGAAGCTGAATCGATACATTACCTTCATCGACGAGAGTGAACCCATCCCTGAGACCGACTGCGTCCGCATGTACAAAAGCGGAATGCCAATCGAGTGGCAGATTGAGGTGTCGCGACTATCGCGCTCCTGTTACATGGAATAGTGACCCTGTCACTATTCCGGGATGGCTACATCAGTCACTCCCCTGGATAGTGACCCAAGTGGCCTCAGAGCCAACAGATACATTTTGTATGACACAAACTATAGGGAACTTAGGATTTGTATGCAGGCCAAATCTGTACCAGCCTATAAATACATTCAGTCTTAGATCTACCGCTTTTCAAGTCAAGTCGTCCCCTTCAGACCAGGGACACGTGAACGGCTGTTCACTTGGAGTTTGTATACTCCTGCTTCCTCTGTTAAGAAGTGCTGTGTGCCCCGTCACATCGCCGGACTTGAGCGGCAGTTTGAACTCATCGAGCGAGTAGAACAAGAAGATGAAGCCCTCCGCAATAGACGCCGACCTGCACGCGACAACAAGAACAGCAACGCATCTCGGTCTCGTGAGAATGGTGGTGGACACCAGCAACAACAGCAACACGGAGGCACCGCGCGCCCTGGACGAGGGCACAAGCGTGGTCAACACCACCAGCAGCAACAAAACCAGGGGAAGTACTGCACCTATTGTAAGAGGAACAACCACACAAAGGAGCAGTGCTTTCGCGACCCGTCCTCACCAGCGTATCGCCCACGGAATGTGCAGCAGCAACATCCGGGACGGCAGGGTCGTGACCAGTTTGCTGCAATGCAAGAGAAAATCAACCAAATGTCAGCAACGATGGAGACAATGCAGAAGCGGCACGAGGACGAGCTGAACGCCCTCCGGTGCTATCAAGCGGACGAGTTTAACGCAATGACATTTGAGGAGAACATCAAACGCGGTCAGAGCGCTACCTGCCATATCCGGCCCTGCTGCCGACAGAGTGTCCACTGCGACGAGAGTGGCTGTCGCAATGAGAGATTCGGCAGCACTACGAGCGCCACCTGCGACGAGGGAGAGACACTGGCCCCCTTGCTTACCAAAACCCGAACTGCAGCCAAGCCGGCGAGGGATGCGCCAGTAATAGTCACTGAAGTACGCATTGGCGACAAAACCTTCCCCGCTCTGATTGACACCGGCTGCTCTCGTTCTGCCATCGAGCAGATTGTAGTGGACCAAGTACCTGACCCGTTAGTGCTGAGGGAGGAAGAAGCAATATTCAAACAAGCAGACAAGTCGACAGGCAAAACTACGCACGTGGCGACGACCCCTCTCAACTTACTTGCCTTCGCGACGACGCGTGTGTGCACGCACGAGTTCCGAGTGGCTCCGCAGTTACTGTACCCTGTGATGTTGGGAAGGACTTCTTCTCAGAGCAAGGAATCGACCTCTTGTTCTCGAGCAAGGAGCTCGAGTGGGACCGTGTGCGTGTATCGATGCCAAAACCACGAGCGCGAGGATCAAAGACGGGCCTCAAGCCCTACCAAGAGGACACCTCGTGCCGAGTGGAGATATCTGTGGCGGAGGATTGCGGTCCCGTGGACTACGGCTACATGATTGACGCGCGCACCCTGACGCACGACGAGGTGCTTCTGCTACTAGCATTCTTGAAAGAGTTTCACCATGTAGCATCTGGCAGGCTCGGCGAGATCAAAGGCGAGTCGTATGAGTTACCGCTGCCCCACGACGCGAAGCCACTCGCTTGTCGGCCGTTTCCTGTCCCGCATATCCACCTTGTTGCAACCAAGCAGGAGGTTCAGAAGCTCGTGAAGCTTGGAGTGATGTCGCCGGTCAACTCGTCGCCTTGGGCGTCTCCTGCTTTCACTATACTGAAGGAAGATGGATCAATTCGACTGCTGTGTGACTTCAGACGTCTAAACGCACTGCTGCAGCGCCGCTGCCTGTCATCCCAGAGATGCTTCGTGAGTTCCAGCGCTGCAAGTTTATCTCTACCAATGGGTTACTACGCGCGTGTCCTGGCGAAGCAAAGTCGTGCGGCAACAGCGATTGTGTCTCCCTGGGGCAAGTTTGTCTTCAACCGACTGCCGATGGGGGTTTCCACAGCTCCGGACGCATTTCAAGCGGTGATGAATGAGGCTTTGGGCAATTTGGAGTTTGTGTGGGTCTACCTGGATGATTTCATTGTGATGTCGGCGTTTTTCGAGGAGCACCTCCGGCACCTACGTGTGATCTTTGAGCGGCTTCGTGAACGCGACCTCACGATTCATCCCCGCAAGTCGAGACTGTGCACGGACAGCGTGTCCTACCTGGGGTACCTCATTAGTACCAGCGGCATTCAGCCACTCCAGGACAAGGCAGTCTATCGCTACGCCGCGCACGCGACGTCAACTCCGTCGCTTTATCGGCATGGTAAACTACTACCGCGACATGTGGCCTTGCAGAGCGCACATTCTCGCGCTGCTGACGGCTCTGATGTCCCCGCAGGACAAGTACCAGTGGACGGACACGCAGCAAAAGGCCTTCGACCAGATGAAAGCAGTGATGGCGCATACGGTGGAGCTCGCGTTCCCTACCTACGGCGCTCCGTTTCACATCTACACTGATGCCTCGGGTTATCAGCTCGGCGCAGTCATTACTCAGCACGACCGCCCTCTAGCGTTCTGGAGCAAGAAGTACAATGAGTCTCAGCGCAAATACCCTGCCAATCGCCTCGAGCTACTCAGTATCCTGCTGCTGCTACGTGAATATCGGACGATGCTTTTGGGTCAAGAGCTCCATATCCACACGGACCACTTGAACCTGACCTACGGGACGTTCAACAACATTCAGATGATGCGCTGGCGCCTCGAAATTGAGGAGTTCGGCCCCCGCCTTCACTACATCAAGGGTGAAACAACGTCGTCGCGGACGCGTTGTTGCGGTTGCCTGGCGAAGCGGGTCCCGACCTGGGGAAGGGTGAAGCGGCTGTCCAAGTGAGCGCAGCTGAAACGGACAATGCGGTGCTATTCTCGTTGAGTCTCCGCCAGCTCGCCCAAGCCCAGGAGAGTGTGGTGGGCCTCGGTGGGGTGCCGAAGGAGATCAATGGAGTAAAGTTGCGAGTGGAACCGAAGAGCAGCTGCATCGTAGTGCCAGCCCACCTGCAGGAGCCCGTTATGAGAGCCTATCATGAGTGGCTCATGCATCCAGGAGGCACTGCCATGTACCAGACTATGAAGACTTCACTCTGGTGGAAGGGCATGGAAGCCCACATCGTGCAATACGTGCGCAACTATCTTGCGTGCACAAAGAGCAAGCACCCGATAGTCAAGTACGGTAAGTTGCCCGCCAAGACAGTCGTGGTGCGGCCATGGTTTGAGGTGGCCATTGACTCGATCGAGCCGTATGGAAAGAATAAATTCCGTGCATTAACGATGATCGACACAAGCACTCGACTAACGGAGATTCAGCCAGTCGATGATGCATCAAGTGACGATGCTGCATTTGTGTTTGATCGCTTCTGGCTCTGCCACAACCCACGCCCTGTGCGTGTCATTTACGACCAGGGGACCGAGTTCAAGAAAGAGTTCTTCGAGCTGCTCGAAAGCTTTGGCATCCATGCCATACCGACTACAACTCGCAAACCCCAGGCAAACGGGATCATCGAGCGCTTGCACAGAGTGATTGGTGAGAAGATGCGCACGCAGACGATCAACACGAAGGATGATTGGTCTGGAGACAAGGTGCTGTTGCGAAACGATGCAGGACCACAGGCCAAAATGGCGCCGCTGTTTAGTGTACCCCACAACGTTGTAGCGGTGCGCACGAACGGTACGCTGGTCCTCAACAAGGGCAAGCACATGGAGACCGTCCACATACGACGTGTTGTGCCCTTCAAGTCCCAACGTGGGGAAGACTGTCAGCAGAGCGATCTGTGACGTGCGCCAAAGTGGAAGGACTACAAAAAGGACATGGCCGGTTACCAGGAGCTAGCGTACGAGCACCAGTCACGTTACAAACACTAGGGTCAAGGCTAGGAGACAGCTCCTAGCTTGTTTAAACTGCATCAATACACTCAGGTTCAATTTCACCAACAAGTACAACAATCACCAGTGGTGTTCCTCTCGCCACCTCGGACGACTCCAGCTATAGTGTAAACGCTTGATCCTAGCGCCAGGGGCCATCAACTAGAGCTGGAAAGCCCGCGTGGTACTTAACCACGCTGCTGGCCTCGATTCCCTGTCGAAGATTGATATTCGTACCTAATTGAATATACGTGAGCAAAAAGTGTCGTTGGCAATTTTACAATTTACGAAACTCAGGGAGGCAGCAGAATCCGTAAAATACGTGAGCAAAAGGTGTCTAATATCTATTGGAGTTTGCGGCATCATGTAAGAAAATTGTGAAGTTCGTGAAAAAGCACCACGTGCTTAAAGCAGAGTTAGAGGCGTATCAGACCGAAAGCGGTACGAACAAACTCGCACTGCCCTGTGAAACAAGATGGGGCTCTTAAAAAGCTTGTTTCGATTCGCTTCTGAAGTCGGAGAAAGAGTTGCATGCGCTGGTAACGAACGAGTCGTGATTTTACATCAACGGGGACTGCGGAGCAACGAGCTAAACGCGAGCAAATCAAGGCGGTTGTTACGGTGGAAGACTACATTCCCAACCTGAACAAGTCTCTCAGCATTCTCAACCTAATTGATCCGAAACTCACTCTTTTCCAGAGTGACGCTGTTCCGTTGTCGGAAGTGTACGATGCATTCGTGAAGTTTCCGGATAAAGTCCGGGAGCTCAGTGGCTTTTCCCAGAAGGAAACGCAGTACTTGGTGAAAAGGTCCAGTCACCGCTCCGACTTCGTTTGCACCGGCGCTCACGGTATCGCGTACATGCTTGATCCTCGGTATGTCGGATGCGGAATGGTTCCTGACACATACGATCGATATGAAGATATTATCGTCGACTTTCCTGCGTCTGATACCAGCTCCATCACTCGTGACACCACACGAAGCAAAAATATGAGCGTCGAGCTGACTGCTTTCCAAGTGTACTGCAATGTTCAGCTTAGTCGCTTCGAGTGCTGCATCCGAGCGCACGTTTTCGACTAGAAGCTTCATCCACAACAAGCTTAGAAATGCGCTGAGTGCACCGAAAATCGAAAAGCTTCTTTACATCAAGGCCAACCACAACTACAAGCGCGAAAACGGCGATAGTTACGAGAATGACCAAGAACTCAGTAGTGAAGAGTAGTATTTGCATTAAAACTTGGTTCTATTGGTTTAAACCAAGGTAAACCAAAAACCTAATTCCATTTCAAAAAATCGACAGGTTTTACCAGCCCTGTTGCTGTGGTGAATCACCACAGCAACTGGTGACAAGGAGACTGGCGTCGCGTCCTCCTCCCGTGTAAGTATTGGGCAGTCTTGCCGTCGCCGCGCAAGATTCAAACGAGTGTGCGCCACCTTACATGCATCATCACCCACCCGGGTTCTGCAGCATGGACGCGCGGCATCATCACTTCCGTTAGGGCGCCCATCTCCCTTTGCACGCTGAGTTCGTTGCTGGCCATCCCTGGACGGAACGAAGACGCCACTACTGTAAGAGCTTCCCAGCCGCATCTTGGCGTGTCGCCGTCGAGACCTCCACAGTACGGTAGACAGCGGACGTCTACGTCGTGGGACAGCGATCCAAACCAGGTTCTCCACGTGCGAGCGCAGGAAAAGCTCGATGCCAGGGTCTTCATCTGCATTGCTTCGCGACGCTAGTGGCAAGCTTGCGTACTTGGGTGGTGCTTCTTCTGAATGCTGAGCACGTGCGGCACGGTATCCTTCCACGAGGTCTTCTACCATCCTGTGTCAATGCTGACATGCCCGTGAAGACCCTACCTTGAAAACCCGTAAGTAAATTAGGCTCCGACCGGCAAAATATATTTGGGTCCGACCAGCACGAAACAGCTGAGAGGGGGCATGTCATCGATGAGTCATCGCAGTTGATAACACACAAACTACACATTTAAGGAGGCTACAGTACTTAGTAGCTAAGGTTCAATAGACTACCGTCTCTCTCACTACTTCATGTACACATGGCCGCGATTCACAGTGTATATCCCCCAAGACTTACAGTACTGTAGTATTTCCATCATATCAACTCTTTAATATTCTCATGTCAGGTTATGTATGGCTCATAGGTACGCTACTTAGGTTAGCTGGCAAGTAGTTTTTCGTGGTCGATTGCTCGACCGGCGGCTTGAAGAGCGCTGATTGTGTATTACCAAGTATTAAGCGCATTTGCTCTGACCGCGCGACGTATCCTGATATTAGTTGAGCAGTGGTGCAGGCACTGTACAAGCGCGGCAACACAACACACTTCAGGGAATGCAATTCCTCGCTGGGTTTGTTTCATACGACGTACGAGCTGCCACAATCCCCTGCCATCAAGGAGGACGGCAGGGCAGCAAAGCGCTCAGTCCAAGTCGGACCCGAACGCTTTCGTTGTGTACAATTTGTGTACAGAAACCAATCTCCCCACCTCTCGTGTCATGGGCGACGGTGCGCACACCTCCGACGCTGCGTTCGCCCCCGGGGCGGAGCGCGCGCTGGACGCGTCGAACCGTGGCTACCGTCTGCTGGTGAAGATGGGCTGGCGCTCGGGCTCCGGCCTGGGCAGACACGAGCAAGGCATCGTGGAGCCCGTCAAGATGAAGGAAAACCTCGTGTGTCTCGGCCTGGGCAAAGCGGTGGGTGTGCTAGCACCCTGAAACCCGTAAATTACTGCGGTTTTTACTGTCTCGAGTGGGAAAACTATTGGCATTTTATTCCTATGTAGGAGGAGTACGACAAGGTGACGCAGTTGGCGACCAGCGAGCGGCGCAAACTGGACGCGGAAGTGGAAGAAACCGCAGAGCAAGTGGCTGAGCGCGAGGCCAGAGGCGCCAAGCAGGAGCAGCTCAAGGCCGAGGTTAAGAGCATGCAGGCGGCCTTCTACTGCTCCGACTGCCGCAAGCAGTACAAGACGGTGACGGAGATGGAGAGCCACCTGAGCTCGTACGACCACCACCACACCAAGCGGCTGAGGGAGCTGCAGCAGCAACAGAAGCGACGGGTGGGGACCGAGGAGGAGCAGAGTGCCAAGCGGAGGAAGGAGCTGCAACAGGAAGAGCTTATGCTGCAGAGGAGAATCGCTGCTCAGGCCAAGGCGGCGGCAGATAAGGAGCCTCGTGCTGTAGCTGCAGCTGTGAAGAGTGACACTGAGAAGCAGGCGAAGCCGACGGGTACCGCTAAAGTCGGGTTTAGCTTTGGTGGAGGGGTGAAACCGGGCGTGAAGAAGCCAGTGAAGAAGGCGCTAGCAGTCCCATCAGTATTCGCGAACCCTTTCACGCAGTGAGATGGATGAAGCGGGCAAACTCTCAGGTGGTTTCATTCATTGTCATAATGAATTCATAGTAGATATGGCATGCGTTCTACTTGAGTGTATCGAGACGATTTTTGGTGACGTGGGGCGGGTGGTCGCCCACTGCAGCGAAGTTGAAATCGTCTCGAGAGTTGTCAAAGCCGGAGGACGCACGTTCCGCTACAAGTTCTGTCGGCATACTGTGGCGTGGACGGACCTGGCGCCGCAGTCTCGAAGCGTTTCGCTCCTCATCCGTGTGTTTCAGCAAGTCGCCGTTCGTATTGCTTCGCTTCCACAGCATGTCGGCGAGTGTCTGGTTACGAGCAGCCTTGGATCGACTGGATAGGTTGGCAGGGTAGCGGTCGGCGAACTTGTCGCCGTCTGCCACTAAAGGAACGACGACAAGCTCCGACTTCGGCGAATTGAGTGGCGCACCGACAGCGTTGTCTCTGCGCGCGTGATCGACTACCGGTCTGGCTGCCAAGCGATGGGCAACGCGCATGACGCGACTCAATAGTACGCCCTTTTCCAGCAAAGTAACGCGGAGAAGCCTGAGCACCATGAGCGTGGCTTGCGTTCCTTGACGAGCGGCGTGTGTCGAGTGAACTGAACCAGTGGCGAAGCAGAATGTCGCTTGGAGTGGCAAAGCTGAGAGTACGTCGAAGACGAACCACTTGTGGACGTAATTCTCTGCGATTTTCCTCCGAGACGTGACGAGAACTCCCTGCTCGACGTACGCAGTATTAAAATTGAGCAGCAGATCGAGCAGAAACACGCCCTCAAACAGTATCATGATGACTGTCGTCCCCAGCGAGCCGTCTTGGTAATAGCTGGGCGAGAACGGAAGGTAAATGAGTTGGAGGTGGTAGACGGCGAGCATGACGATGCCGTGCACTGTCGAGGTCCAGCTTTTGGGCGTGATTGGGGAGATTAACGTCTGGAGCGCGTGTCGTCTCGCCTTGATGCCCGTAAACGACCGCAGCGAACGTCGAAGCGAAAACCGACGGGTCCACTGGGGCTTGCTGCCGATGGCCTTGTCGATCACAACCTCGTTAGCGCGACCGAATTTGGACGGAAACCCCAACGTGCTGGACATTTTCGGAGATGGAAGCGCTGCATCATGGCGTCGTGTGTCGCGGCCTTCTCCTCCATCTTGTACAAGTTTCTCGTCGAGTTTTGGCGCGTGAGGATGGAGCTCACGCCTGGGCGCTTAGCCACGGGTGGGCGTCTGGAAACTGGATGCGAGGACCGAGAACGAACCTTCATTTCGTGCTGATCAGTTGACTTGCGGGAGGTCCTTTGATGATAGACAGAGCTCTGCTGGATAATCTACTGATAGACTTGGAGAGAACTTCGACAGCGAAACACGAATGCCAGAAATAGTGGGGACTCTGTTCCTCCATCTTGGCGTGCTGAGTAGTTTATGGTATATATATGGAGGGGGTCTGGCCAGCTTCATCCGATACAGGCAGATGTCTGCCCAAAGAGGAATAAGGCGCAGTGCGTGGCAATTCCTATGATGGCCCTGAACATTTGCTATCAGTCGAAGTACTGTAGCATGTTGGGGGCTATCCCTCTATCTTCATGCATCTTGGGTCGGGGTTCGCCTGTCTTTCTGATCCGCGGGAACTTGGGGGCATGTATTCACGATGCGAGAGTTGGTGGGCTCGAAGGAGCTTCGAGTTGGGACGTCTCTGCGGGGCCATCGGCTTCGTCTGGAATCGGTGGCATCTCGCTCTCAGTGTTGGTGGCGGTGACTGCAACCCCCGCCGGCAGACTATGGCGAGATTTGAGCTTCTGGTGCATCTTGCTGGCAGAGCTGCGTCGAAGCAGATCCACGTTCGTGTTGCTGCGTTTCCAGAGCATGTCCGCGAGTGTGGACTGACGACCGGATTTCGATCGAGTGGAGAGTTTTCCTGGCTGGGGTTCAGCGTACGGGTCCACGACGATCTGTTGGGCCGGTGAGTCCTCCATTTCGGCACTTCCACCGGCTGGGAGATCGACTCGAGGCGTGACTTTCATGGTCGAGTTCCCTCGTTTAAGTTCGTACTGGCTCGGGCGCTGACTGGAGCGTCCGCTGTAGATGATTCCCCGACAAGCATCGAGGTTGCTGCTGTCGCGCCTGGCCATAGTCTCACCTCTTTTCGAGGAACTTGACCCCTCACGGCAGGCGGGAGAATCTGGGCCGACGAGCCGGTTGAGCTTCGTGTTGGACTGCTGCATCAGCCACAGAAGCTTCCGTCTTGCGCACCACGGGTTGGCGCTGTTGGTCGTGGGTGGCCAAGCCTAGAATACTGTCGAAGTGGGTCCCTGTCGAGTCCGAGAGCGACCGACGCGTCTTGAGACCCTGTGAGTGTTGTCCTATACCCTCCGACCTGTTGCAGCAGCAGCCTCCGAAGCTGGCCCCTCGCGCTTTCAGCTCGGTCACGTCTTGTTGCAGTCGAGAGATATTCTCCACCAACGTGTGCATGAGCCGCATCACGCTTTCCAAGGTCTTCTCCGTACTGCCGGTGCTTTGAGCGGACACTCCCGATGTGTCCGACTCCGGCTCAGTCAATTCGGCCGTGGAAGAGCTTCTGCCGCTGTCTGCGCTGGAATTTCGGCGCGAGTACGTGCGAAACGGGACCACGCCGCTGTTGGATCGCTGCAGTGGTTCTCTCAGACCACTGTTCGCGCGCAGCAACGTATCCGGCAGCCCGCTGTTCGAGCGCTGCAATGGCTCTCTGAGGCCGCTGTTGGTACGCTGCAGCGTCTCCCTCAAGCCACTATGAGTGCGTTGCAGCGCCTCTCGAATCTTGGCCCCCACCGAATGAGCGTGACGCAGAGCTGGTTCGTTTACGAACTGCTGGTCGAAGCTCTGGAAGCCGTACTTGATGGTGTCGTCTGGAACATTCACGTCGATGGCCTCGACCAGAATCCGAGCCGCCTCAGCCGCAGTCATAGTGGCAATCACACTGGCGCGCGAGATGTCCTTCTTCCCAGAGACTCGGCGCTTAGCGCAGACTGCTTCGATGATGTTTTCCCACGGGAACGGGATCTCCTTCTTCTCGATGCAGCTCTGGAGCATCCGGGTGAGTACACGCCGTCGGTCTTCAGGGTACCGCGAGATGATCCTCTGAAAGGTACAGCGATCCAAGACGCACATCTCGACGAACGTCACGGGTCGAACGTTCGCCTGGCGCTTGTAGTTCATGAGCAGACTCATTTCCCCGAACGCTGTCCCTGGGTTGAGATACACGCGGAACTTCTTGGGCCGGTCCAGAATCTCAACACTGCTCGGGTTGCTGTGTCTTCGTGGCCGATCTGTCTTGATCTCAGCCATGGAGTTATCACCGTCTCCGCACTGAAGTTCAAACACTGAGCCCGACATGCGCCGAATTGCTGCGGGAGACCCGAACGGATCACTGGATAAATCGTCATCCGAGTCCTCGTCCGAGCTCGTGTCATCCCACTCGTCATCATCACTGCCTTCTTCCGCCTCCTGCTGCTCGGGTGAGCCCAGATCCTCCGGCATCAACAGGGGCTTCTCCGCATCGTCACTGAAGTCGGCTACTGTCGGGCCTCTCGATGGTTTGTCTTCGTTGTGCTTCATGGGCTTGGAGAGTTTGCAGTATCCCAGGTTGATCATCATCATCTCGCTGCCGATCTCTCTGCGACGCACCACGTAGTCGTCCGGCATGTACACGCGCACCCCGAGACTCAGCACGATCTGCGTCAAGAAGTCGGGCGTGCAGTCCTCCCAGAACGGGATCTTCACCACCAGGTTCATGAACTTGTACAGGCCGATCTCGATGCGCAGCGTGTGCGTCAGTTCCTGCTGGAACTTGTTGATGTTGCCGTCCAGCGCCTCGTACTCGAGCCACACGTGGGTGTAGTACTCGTTCACGCGCTCGCGGAGCTTGAGCGGCAGGCGAGCTTGTCCATGGTGGCGTAGACGGCCTCCATCTTGCGGTGGTAGTTGGTGGTGTTGGCGTTGAAGTTGGAGACGAGCATGGCGACGTTGCCGAAGACGATGGCGAGGATGACGGAGCCGACGATGATGGCGACCGAAGAGTACAAGTTCTCACCCCACGTTCCAAAGGAGCCGCCTTGTCCCTGAATAAGGCTGACGGCGTAATAGTAGTCCGCTACGTACTGCTCCAGTACCGATTGCTTTTGACTCAGAGCGCCGTTGGCGTTGGCGTTGGCGTTGCTTTCCGTGGTCACGACATGCCAGAAGCACGCCATGTAGTGGGCAATGAGCAGCACAAGCCACATGAGCTGCGCGATTCCGAGTAAATGAGAGTATCGCGAGTATCGGAGCCATTCAGCGATGTGGTTGGCCACGCGCATCACGCGGCTGAGCAGGACGCCTCGCTCGAAGATCGTGACGCGGAGCAGTCGAAGCCCCATGAGCGTGAGCTGCACCCCATGGATACTCGAGTTGGTTCCATCCAAAGAGCGGCTTAAAACGCAGTGAATTGCCTGAAGAGGTAAAGCCGACAACAAGTCGAAGGCGAACCACTTGCAGATGTTCTGCGCTATCTCACTGCGAGACGTGATGAGCACCCCCTGCCGGACGAAAGCCGTGTTGAAGTTGAGCAGCAGATCCACCAGAAACACCGTCTCAAGAGCGAACTGAGCTAACGTCGAGTGGACGGGGCCGTTCGGGTAGTAGCTGGGGGAGAACGGCAGGTAGAGCAGCTGGAAGTGGTAGACCATGAACAACACGATGCCGTGTACCGTAGACGTCCAGCTCGTGGGCGTGATGGGCGACGTCAGTCCTCGTAGAGCTTTGCGACGTGACTTGGAGCTGGTGAATTTCCGTAAGAGCCGCTGGAGCGTAAGTCGTCGAGTCTTTCGACGCTTGATCCCCGTGGCTTTATCAATCACGAGGTTCTTCCCACGCCCGAATTTCGACGGACTCCCGCGATCACTCGACAGTCTTCGGAGCTGGAACCGCTGCATCATTTCCTCGTGGCTCTCGTCCTTCGCCTTCATTTTGTACGAGTTGTTGGCCAAGTTCCACATCCTGACGGCGAGTGGTTTGCGTCTCCATTTCGCGATCTGTCGCTTCTTGATCGACGGAGAAGTTGACATTACCGCGGAGGTCTCTGGGTTTAGTAGGAACGAGGGTTCTCAATCGGACGAAAGGCTAATGTTAGAGAATTGCGAACTGGCACAATTCGACAAGAGAGGAAGTCGGGTAGGATGCTCTCCGATAGAATTAGATAAACGAGTGGTTTCATCGCTTGAGCATGTTTGCTCCTCATCAGTAAATTTAACTCGTAAATGACGTATCAAGTCTGGTCGTTCATCCTGCCCAGCGCATATGAAAATAGTTCGTGGGAATTTGATGTGAATGTTGTCTTTAAATAAATGCTTTCGGTACATTAACTCGATCTAATAAGTCCCGGTTGCGCTACACGAGACGGCCAGCTACGCAACTTTCAAGGGGCAGAGGCGTATCGAGTACCCGAACACAGCACGCGCCACTTGGAAAAGCCTGGAGGCCGTCAACGCCTGAAGAAGGCCCCCTTCTATCTAAAAAAAAGCGGTCATCAGTGAAGGAGCAGCAGAGATCATCGTGTTGTGCTGGAGTCAGCCAGATAGATCGTCATAAAAGTCAATTAGTTAAGGAATCGTAACTGGAAGTGAGCTAACCCCTGCTAGCCAGCATAGCAATAGCATACAGGGCGGGGGTGGTTGGAGTTGATGCAATTTGACTGCGTCACGACGTCTCTGTCGCGCAGTCGTGGATAAATAATCTTCACCTTCCCTGAAAGGTTGAGGGACCTTGTACGCTGTACAACGAGCCTTGTTGGCTAAATCAATGACACCAAGACACCGTTATGCTGGCGCCTTCAAGCTAAATCGAGCTTTGATGCCTGCCAAGTGCCGACAAGAAAGCCATCCAGTCGATCTTGTCACGTGGCGTTGCAGCTATTGATAAGCACCCGTCCTTGAGTGAACGAAACAGTCGGCACGTGACGTCCAATTTGGCTGTCTGCTCTCACTGTCTTGTCGCCTCAGACCCAAAGCCCTCACTTGCTTCTCCATTCTGACCCAGCCTCAACAGGATGGCGCTGTCGGCTCTGCAGTGTTCCGCCACAGTCTCCACATTTCAAGTCTCGCCCTCCCCGCACGCAAAAACACTGCAGCAGCAGCAACAGCCTTCCGACAACCTCGAGCTATGGCAAAAACGACGCCAGGCGGGTCGTGCGGGCCCCAGTCGGCCGTGTTGGGCCTCCCTCCCCTCGCGTTCTACCCGGTGTGGCTGGTGATGCTTGGTTTCCACGCGGCTTGCATCCTGTACCTCGTCGTGACAGCAGGAACCTACTTCGCCATGACGACAACGGAGAACGCGTCGTACGCCCCACTGTGGTCCGACACGGGCTTCAAGCACTTCAAGGCCTTCGGTGCCGTCTACCTGGCAGTCGCAGCACTGCACGTGATCCAAACTCTGCGCATCTTGTACCTGTCGATCCGCAGCAAGCGCCTCGTTCTCCAATGCTCCAAGTCGGGCGACTGCAACTCGAGCAAGTGGGTCTGGGCCTTCGACTTGGCGTTCGCAGCTCGTGAGATGGTCGCTATCGGGTGTCTCTCGTTCCAGGCGTTCCAGGCCAGCAAGTGGGTGCCGCGCGTGGGCTTCAATAGCCTCAACGCGGCCATCCTGATCCTCGCGTGCTGGTTGACGCCGTTGACGCAGATCCTGCTCCGCAAGTGCATCGCGCTGAGCCGCGCGTTATCGCTGTTCACCAGCTTCGTGCTCTGCACGTTCCTGGCCAAGGTCATGCAGTCTCTGCTCTTCATCCAGTACGCCGACGTCTTCACCATGGAGAAGCCCGTCTTCGCCACCAAAATGGTCTACGACCCGGCCTTTCTGGCAGTGCTCGCCCCGGAGAACAGGATGATGTTCGCCACGACCGTGGGGGACTTCATCTCAAGGCTTCTGCCGCTGATCTGCACCTTCGTGTCGCTCGTGATGCTTGAAGGGGTCATCGGACGTCGAGACGACAAGGTCGCACCGAACAACTGCGGCACAGCGAAGGTCGACCATAACCAGAACGTCGTGGTGGAGACGTTGGATACCCCTGACGGCGCCTCAAACACTGCTCTGTTGGAAGCTGGTACCTCCACAAAAGCCTTGGGAGAGTCCCGAACGGCAGAACACACCCAGGCAGGAACTCTGACGACCAACCCCGGATGTGCGTGGCCGTTTGCCCTCGTCAAGCTAGGCATCATCCTCTGGGGCATCCTCATCCTGGCCTTCCACCTCAAGGCGCAGTCTCAACACAAGACCATGCCGACGGGTTGCTTCTCGGCCACTCGGCCGTGGTTCAGCTCCAAAACTTCGTGTCTCGCGTTCGTGTTCGACTGCGCGGCGCAGAAGGCCGTGTCCCCCACGAACGAGACCATGGCGGCGTTCAACTTCGACCCGGAGGCGCTCGGCAGCCTGAACTTTGTCAACTGCCCCGCGCTCGTGGTGCCGAGCATCATCCAGACGTACCCGCAGCTCCACAGTGTCCACGTCTTCAACTCGGCCCTGTACGCGTGGGGCAGCGACGCTGCGCTCGTTCAGGAATTCCACCCACGCCTCAAGAGCATCGTCCTCATCAACGTGAAGCTCGCAGCCTTCCCCGAGGGCCTCATGGGCGTGCTGCCCTATACGTTGGTGAACCTGCAGTTCTTCATGACGACCTTGGTGACCGTGCCGACTGACCTGGGCACCAAGTGGGGCGGAGCTACGCGCAAGCCCATCGCGCGAGTCGGCTTCGAGTACGGCTACCTCATGTTCGTCCCCGCCGAGACGTTCCAGCTGCCGGTGCTCTCCTTGTCGCTCGCCGGCAATCCCATGATCACCTCGCTTCCAACGCTGGCAGCCGTACCCGCGAACACGTTCCTGCCGCAACTGACGCTGGACGGCGTTCCGATCACTGAGCTTCCGGCCAACATCGACCCGACCGTCAAGATCGGAGACTTGAGCTTGGAACGCACCCCGGTGGCGGTGCTGCCCGACTGGACCAAAACGCAGGTCTTGACCAAGATGCACTTGTACGGCTCGGCCTTCTGCCTCACGTCGTCGGACGCCCAAAAGGAAAAGGCCAACGGCATCTGCTCCGTCAGTCGGTGGGGCGACGTCACACCTCAAAACCCCATTGATCTTCTGAACAGCGCGTACGGACTGGCATAAGTCGCAACTAACTACAAGAGGTAGGTAGCTGAATTCGTAAGTACAAATAATACACAGCGATAGAATTGACATCTCGTTCAAACCTTCCAACGGAGCTTCCTGTCTACTGCATAGATAAGGTAAAACAACAGAAGACCGGCTCGTTCCGTCACAAGAAACCCGTATTGAATACACGTCCCGAGCCAAAATGAGTGCTCTCACCTTCCTTCCAGTGTCTCTGTACAACGATCGACTTGAACCTACTGCAATCTAACCGACGGCCGGTTAGAACTCGTACGACTCTCTCCGCGTGTGCGGGGACGGCGCCACGCCGCCCATGGGCATGTGCTGCATCTGTGCCGGCGGTGCCTGACTCGCCATGCCGACACCCGACGCGCCCAGGCCGCTCGTGACGCCGAACCCTCCCGACGCGGCGAAGTTCGGGTTGCTGCCGTGCGACCGGCCCATGCCACCGACAGGCTGCGACGGGATGGCGCGGCCGGCCACGCGCGGCGACGGCGCGGCCGAGTTCTGCGGCGGCTGCTGGTTGTAGTAGCTCACGGCGTTCATGGACACACCGCCGCTCTTGCTCATGTCCAGACCGATCTCGCCGCCAGTGCCGGAACCCATGCCGGCAGGCCGGTTGGCGCCGCCGTAGCTGGCGTACGTCGTGGCGCCCGTGGTGCTGTGCGGCGCCTGCACCACCGGGTTCTTGGCGAAGGCCGGCGGCGTGTTGGCCATGTCGTCGTCCTCGTCCTCGTGCGCGGCCTTGGAGCGTCGAACGAGCGTTAGGAAAATGACGGCAACAGCGATGACGCCGATAGCGGCGCCGATGATGGCGAACACGACGCTCATGTCCGAGCCGGAGCTGCTCGAGTCACCGGCGGAGGTGCCGGAACTGCCGGACGCGCTGGATGTCGTGGAGCCGGACGAAGTGCCGGCAGTGCCGGTAGTGCCGGTACCCGAGGTGGACGACGTGCCGGCAGTGCCGGTCGTGTCGGTATCCGACGTCGTGCTGGACGTCGTGGTGGTGCCGCTCGTCGTGCTGCCGGAGCTCGTGGTGGTAGAGGTCGTGGACGACGTGGAGCTGCCGCTCGACGTGGTGGTGGACGATCCCCAGACGGACGAGCAGTCCACGCCGAAGGGGCAGGAGCCATCCACCTTGACGTAGCAGCCGTCGTCCGAGAAGGTGATGCAGGGCGGGCAGCCGCCAGTGGACACGGTGCATGGAGTGGAGGACGCGCCGCCCTCGTAGCACGTCTCGACGGACGAGCACTGCGACGTGCTGGCGGCGAAGACGGATCTAGCGGCGCTGACGGAGCTGCCGGAAGCTGCCGGTGGTGTATACACATGTGAGTTAGAGATCATTTAGCGCATCATTCCGACACTGTCGGTATCCGACACGTTATGGCGGACTTGAGTATGGTGCTAAAACGTACCGGCAAGTGCCGCGGCAGCGACGACGAGCCACGAAGTTTGCATCGTCGTTCGGTGAAATCTGGTTCAGGTTAGAGAATCTCCCCTCTCTCTAACCACTCGAGTTGCTTGTTGCCTGTTGCTTTTGGGCTGTTTGCCTGTTGCCGACCTGTGAATCCCGGCTTTATTTCCTGTTTTGTGTGGGGCTCTCTCAGCTGTGGTGCGCGGAGGCCTCGTTGCTGTGGTGGTTCTGGTTGGTACGCACGACGATGCCAGCGCGAATGGAGCTGGCCGCGAGGTGGTGGGCTGCGACTGACTGCGGTTAGTACACTGGAGCTCGTCGGGGGAGCCTCTGGGAGTCCCGCTTTGCCAGCCTATACCCGTTCGCACGCTCGTCCGTCTGGCTCGAATCCGCGCGCGCCCATTGGCCGCCGCCGGGGCTCGCAAGCCAGTTAGCGCAGCGTTTATGCACAATTTCTCTTTAAAAGCGCTGGTGATTGGTCTAAAGTCGGCTGGCGCGGAGACGTAACGGCAGAAGAGACCGGTACCAGCAAGTGCAAGGCGAGAGCCTGCATGGCCACAGACGCACTGTGGGTGACTCCGAACAGGGACTGCAGGATGTTCTTGTCCCTGCGGTCTCCGCGGCATGACAAGCAGCTCGGTGCTTGATTTGATGTAGAGGCAATGGGCCTGACACCAGTGGCCTTGCCATCCTGGTGATGGATTTCAATGTTCCGGTCTGGTCGCAGCGAGATACACAAATTCTGATCCGACCGCAGCTTTCGGTGTGTGTGCTTGCCAAGCGCTGCTTGCAGTCTGCAAGTTGCAGATCGTGCTTTCGGCATGCATACCTAACGACACTTTGCTCAGAGAGTCAAATGATGGTCGACGTGTCGAACGACAACGCACAACGCGTTCATGACACACAGTTTATTCGGGTACCTGCCGGGCTGACCGGTCCTTGACTGGATGGTTTAGAGGGCCCTATACGAAACTACCTACACGGACACGGGCTTCGACTCGCTCAGGTCGGTCCCTATTGCGCTACGTGCGACTACGGCGCCCGCGTCGCGTGAGGTGCCGTTGCTCGAGAAGCTAGCAGTCGTCTCTGTGGCGAGCGGCGACGGTATTTCCTCCTCGTCGGCGTTCTGCTCGCTCGCAGCTCGAGCGCGCAGGAAGAGCTTCCGCACGACCACACCCAAGACAACGATGACTACGGCGACACCGAGGATGGCGACTATCAAGACCGTGCTCGAGCCGCTGTCGGCAGAGTCCGTCGCCTCAGTTTCGGACGATGGTCCACCCGCACTGTTAGCCTGGGAGAGAAATGACCCGGCCTGAGAGGTCGTATCTGCGGTGGCTGACGTGGTTGAGCCCTGCGTGCTGCTGCTGACAGTGGTGGAGTTGCTGGAGCCGCTACCGCTTGAACCGGAGAAGAAGACGCCTGTGCAGTCGGCGCCAAATGGACACGAGCCGCTCGCCCTCACGTAGCAGGAGTTGCTGTCGAAGATCATGCACGGAGGGCAGTCTTCCTCGTTCACGGCGCAGGGCACGGACACATCACCGCCCATGTAGCATGTCTTGACGGTGGCGCACTGAGACGCATCGCTTGCAGCGTCGACTGCAACAAGAAATAGTGGAGCAATGTGAGTCCTAGGTCGTCCCATCCAGAGCGCGAATACTAGGTCGAACCTGCATACCTGCGGTGGTGAGCGCGACGATGACAACTAAAAGCCTTGCAGTCATCGGACCGCTACGTACGAAGTGACTTCAGGCTGAAGTCTTCAGCAACGACAGCATTTTTATGCTGTACCGGTGTACCCACAATTCCGAAAATTCCAACTGGCAAAATGTAGCCATATCAAGATGAGGGTCTTGTATTCGGTGAAATCCGCTGCTCTCCACACACACCTCCCTTTTCAGCCAATCGCACGCCGGTCTCAACAACCCATGTCATCAGTTCACTGTTTGCTTCCCTTCGCTCCTCCTCGCCGAAGTCCAGCACTGCACTCCCCTCCACATATATATATCCACCACCTTCCGCAGCCGAAGCAATGTCCACCTACGTCGTGCAGGGCCTGGCCTACTTCGTCACGCACCCGCGGCTGTGGCTCACGACGCTGTGCCCGCTGCTGCTGACGCTCGTGGTGGCCATCACATCCGTCGTGGTGCTTTTCTCCGTCGCGCTGGTGCCGCAGGCTGAGGGTCTGGAGGACGCGGGCGTGACCTCGTGGCTCTCGTGGCTGCTGGCCGTCATGCTGGTGCTCGTGGAGATCTTCCTGGTCACGCTCATCTACAACCTCGTCATCATGGGCTGCTACCAGGACAAGATCTTCGAGCAGGTCATGGTGGCGCGCGGCTTCAAGGACATGGTGGAGGACGAGGAGCGCCACGCCAGCTGCGCGCGCGCCTGCCGCTCCTGCTGCCGCGTGAGCCTCTGGCTGCGTCTCGTGCTGCTCATCGTGACGCTGCCGCTCAACCTGATCCCGATCATCGGCTCCATCATCTACGCGTGGCTCAACGGCACCATCCTGGCCTGGGAGTACCATTTGCTCTACTTCGAGTTCAAGAACTTCTCGTACGGCCAGCAGAAGACCTTCATCAACGAGCACAAAGTGCAGTACAGCTCCTTTGGCATGCAGGCGCTCCTCATGGAGATGATCCCCGGCGTCGGCTCGCTCTTCGTCTTCACCAACACGGTGGGGGCCGCGCTGCTCGCTGCGCACTTGGAGGAGGAGGAACGCGAGCGTGGGGCGCTGCAGGGAGGACTGCAGGGAGGGGGCGTGCAGCCCAACTGGAACCAAAACAGCAACAACAACAACAACGCCAACGCGTACAGCAACGGCTACGCGCCGTCCGGAGGCATCGTGTAGAAAGTATCTATTGTAGATAATGAAGAGAGCTCTGTAGGCTACAGCTGCAGAGCGCCATTCAACGAGGACGTCTGTGCATTGGGACGGAGGCAGCCACCACGAGCGGCGCTGCAGCCATCTCGTTTTCTGGCCCGATATATCGCTCTTCGCCCGATCGCAAAAAAGTATCCGCTCACGCAGTGCACTTTCCAGTTCGCCGAGTCTCAGCTCAAGCATGTGGACGTACGTGGCTCAGGGTCTGGCCTACTTCTTGGCGCACCCTGCACTATGGCGAATGACCATTTGCCCCGTGCTCCTGACGGTGGTCGTGGGCATGACGACGGTCATTGTGCTGCTGGGAGCCGCCATGTACCCGCAGGAGCAAGCGCTCTACGACGCTGGAGTGCCCGAGGGACTCGCGTGGGTGATGGCTATCATGCTGTGCCTCGTGGAGAGCTTCGTGATCGTCATGGTCTACAGCGTGATCTGCCTGGCCTGCTACCAAGACAAGGTGTTCGAGTTCGTCATGCGCCAGCAAGGCCACGAGGAGCTCGTGAGCAACAAGCGCAGGCACGCGTCGTGCCTCCGCATCTGCACCAGTTGCTGTCGCGTGAGTGTGCTGCTGCGCCTCGGGCTGCTGGTGGTCTCCGTGCCGCTAAACGTCGTGCCCGTGGTGGGCAACGCCACGTACGCGTGGCTCAACGGGCAGCTCGTGGCGTGGGAGTATCACTTCTTCTACTTCGAGCTCAAGAACTACTCGTTCGAGCAGCAGCAAGCGCTCATCAACGAGCGCAGCATGCAGTACACGCTTTTCGGCATGCAGGCGTTGCTGCTGGAGATGGTGCCGGGTATCGGAGCTGTCTTCATGTTCACCAACACAGTGGGCGCAGCGCTCTTCGCCTCCAGCATCGAGAGGGAGGAGGCTGCCAAGCATCCGCAAGTGCCGCATCAAGAAGAGACCGAGTCGTATCGCTCGCTTGTGTAGTTGATAGTGAGCAGAAGCCCTGCATGTACGTAAGCGCTAAAAGAAACCATCACCTCCACTTACTTGGGTGCCGCTGTCCAGCGGGCATTCCAGCCACCCCTTCAAATCACCCTGGTCTGGTCATTTGACATCCGACCCGCAGCCTCCCATGTCGACCTACCCACTGCGCGGCATCCTCTACTTCCTCGGCGACCGGCACCTCTGGCGCCTGACGCTCTGCCCCGTGCTGCTGACGGTGGCCGTGGCGTTCGGCGTGGCTGTCACGCTCTTCACCTTCACGCTGCATCGGCAGGAGCGCGCGCTGTACGACGCGGGCCTCTCGACCTTCTTCGCGTGGCTGATAGCCGTCATCTTCGTGATCATCGAGGTGTTCATCGTCACGGTCGTCTACGGCCTCGTGTGCCTCGAGTGGTTCAAGGACAAGATCTTCGCGCACGTCTTGATCGAGCGCGGGTACCGGGAGCTGGTGGAGAATGAGGAGCGCCACTCGCCCTTTTTGCGCGTGCTCACGTCCTGCTGCCGGGTGAGCGTGATGCTGCGTCTCGGGCTGCTGGTCATCACGCTGCCACTCAACATGATCCCGGTGCTGGGCAACATCACGTACGCGTGGCTCAACGGCACGCTCATGGCCTGGGAGGCGCATCTGTACTACTTCGAGATGAAGGCCTTCGACTTCGAGCAGCAGAAGGAGATCGTCGCTGCGCGGAAGCTCCAGTACTCGGCCTTCGGAATGGGGGCTATGCTGCTCGAGATGATCCCCATTGCCGGCGCCATCTTCATGTTCACGAATGCGGCTGGAGCTGCACTGTTCGCTGCGAGCATTGAGAAGGAACTGGAGAAGCAGGAGCGGCGCAAGAACAGCTGGGGCGGCAAGGGCAAAGAGAGCAAGAAGGAGAAGAGCATTGAGATGGACAAGGTGCCGCTCGTCAACAAGCTCGGTGCGTACGTGCCGCCCTACGGAAGCACTTCCAAGTAACTTGAGTGAGGAAGACGATCGCAGCAGGAGGTACCGAAAATGGTAATGGAGAAGTAACTTGTTCATTTCATGACCCGATGACATCGAGTCGATGCTCTTCTATCGATGCTTCTTGCGCTCCAGCCGCAAACCTGTTTACTGGACTGCATCCGTGTTGGACAGCGTCGCATCAACCACGCTGTGCGCTTCCAGGCCAATCGATCCGGCAAGCCGGTCTTCATGTTTAAACCGCAGACACAAATGGTAGCGTACGCGCTCCGAGGAATCGCTTACTTTGTCTTCCGTCCCGCGCTTTGGAAGCAAGTGGCGTTCCCGCTTCTTCTCACAGTATTGTTCGGCGTGGCTGCCACGTACTTCCTCTTCTTCCACACGTTCTCGCGACAACAAGATTGGCTCGACGACAAGAACGTCCCGGAGCAGTTCGCCACGATCCTGACCATCTGCATCGTTGTAGCCGAGATCTTTGCGTCCACCGTCGTCTACGGTGCCGTGTTCGTCGACGACTTCCAAGACAAGATCTTCGCCTTCGTGTTGAGAGACCGCGGCCTCAGCACCCTGCTGGATGAAGGCCGTAGACGCCATTCGACTGTTGTGTCGGAATGCACGTCGTACATCCTGTCGAGCTGCGCGCTCAAGCTCCTCTCGATGCCGCTCCGGTCTTCGGCAGCATCGTGTATGCCTGGCTGCATGGCGGCGTGCTGGCCTGGGAGTACCGCCGCTTCTACTTCGAGCTCAAGGACTTTGGCTTGAGACAGCAGCGCCGCTGGGTGAGCCGCTACAAAGTGCAGTACAGCCACTTTGGCATGTCCGCGCTGCTGCTGGAGATGGTTCCGTGCGCTGGCCCGCTCTTCATCTTCACCAACACTTGCGGCGCCGCGCTGCTGGCTGAGGAACTGGAGCGACACAGTAGCAGCAGCAGCAAGCACGTCGATGAGGAGGACACGCTGGTCAGCAGCGCGAGCGTCACAGTCTAGCGGAACGTTCAACGCGCAGGGGGCATCTGTGACGTGTGAGCCCGAATCTGATTCGATTGCTCCCTCTTGACATGCAAATCATTTTTGGAGCGTGATCAAGCGAAAGTATCCAGCCAAAAAGTATCCTGCGTCCAGCAGCTCCGAATCAATTTGATCTCTCACCCACGCACGGCTGGTTCCAGAATGGTCTCGACGCTCTCCACTCGTTCAGCTCTTCAGCGAACGCTGACAGCGTGGCGTGCGTCAGCCATTCTCCAATTCGGCGGCTGTAGTGCACACCTCCTAAGACAAGACAATGCCGTTCTATGCGTTGAAGGGCGTGGCGTACTTCCTGGGCCACCCGCACCTGTGGAAGCAGGCGGCGTTCCCGCTGCTGCTGACGCTGGCCTTCAGCATCTTCTCCGTGTTCCTGCTCTTCGCCTGGACGCTGCGTCCGCAGGAGAGCTGGATGGCCGAGAAGGGCCTGCCCTCCGTGCTGTCGTGGATCTTCGCCGTCATCTTCGTGATCGTCGAGATCTTCCTGGTCACGCTGCTGTACGCGTTCCTGGTGCTCGAGTACTTCAAGGACAAGGTCTTCGCCTACGTGCTGCGCGAGAAGGGCTACGCCGCGCTGGTGGACCGCGACACGCAGGAGTCGGCCGTTGTGCGCGTGTGCACGTCCTTCTTCCGCCTGGACGCCATCTTCCACGTAATCCTGCTCATCGTGTCGCTGCCGCTGCACCTGATCCCGGTCATCGGCAGCATCGTGTACGCGTGGCTGCACAGCACCTTCATGGCCTGGGAGTCGCACCTGTACTACTTCGACCTCAAGGGCCTGGGCTTCAAGCAGCAGCAGCGCTGGATCAGCCAGCGCAAGTTCCAGTACTCGAGCTTCGGCTTCCAGATGCTGCTGCTGCAGATGATCCCGCTCGTGGGCCCGCTCTTCATCTTTTCCAACACGTGCGGCGCGGCGCTGCTCGCTATCAAGATGGAGCGCGAGGGCGGCGACAAGTGGGTCGACGAGGAGGACGACGAGGCCCTGCTGGCCAACAAGAAGGCCCCCTACGGCACGGTCTAAAGTGCAAGTTTTGTGCAAGGGTAGAGCCTGGCAGGCTGGACAGTAGGAAGGACATAATTGCCAGTGAATAATAATTCCCATTAACTCTAAGTAGCTGAAACCCAAGGGTTTGTGGAGTCTTAGACTACTGTACAAGTCTCTGCAGTGCATGTTGGTGTCTTCAATGACCAAGTCCAGGTTGGCGATCTTCTCGCAGCCGTATCCATGTCAAAATTTGCGTGATGTCATTGGTGAGAAATCCACCTCAAATTTCTAACCAATGGGGACAGAGGTATTCCCTGATATTCGCCAGCCAATCGCGAGACCCGCGGGTGTACCCACCCGCCTGATTTGTGAAATAGTCCCTGTTTTAGTCCCGATGACGGGACACAGAACGCAGTCTAATCGCGCAGAGGCAATCAATTTCCAGTAGCATTGCCGCGCTGTCTCAAGCCGCGGTCCCGCACGGCAGCGCCCCACGTGGTTGCGCGCATTTTCCGACGATGAATCAGATGGCAAAGGCGATAAGGAGCACTCACTTGCAGCCTGCAAGTTGCAGGCAGTGTTGCCCTTGGCAAACCATTGCCATCGTTGTTTGATGTGACACCCAAGAGAATCTCGTCAGCGGCGCCTTACACCGCGATCGTTGATTGGCCCCGCCGCTTTTCGAAGCCATTTTTCGCCAATCCCGCGCGAGCCATCATTTTGCAGTTGGCCCCCATCCCCCTTCCCTTGAAGCCGGCAGCATAGTGAAACCAAGAGAGATCGGATAGATAGGTTGTCACCCACGCCGACTTGGGTATCCGTCCAGCAGCGGCACGACACATTTCCCACTTTCGATTTTGCCTCGCGTGAAGAAGTCCCCCACCAGCTACCAACGCTAAGATGCCGATTACCTGCGGAGACATCCCTCGCCTGATCTGCTCGGTCATCATTCCGCCCGTCGGCGTGTTCTTCCAGGTCGGCTGCACCAAGGACCTGGCCATCAACTGCCTGCTCACCGTGCTCGGGTACGTCTCTGTTGCACTCCACCCCTGTCGCGTTAAACACCACCTAACCGTGTTGCCTGTTGCCTTTGCATCTCAACAGCTACATTCCCGGCGTCATCCACGCTGTCTACATTCTAATCAAGGAATAGGCAGGCGCCACATTGAAGTAAAAAATGTGGCGCTGTTCTCTCTGTGCTCGTCCGTGGCAAGCGGCAGCGGCCTCCTTCAGTCGGCGCGCGTGAATACCCAGAAAAAAGCTATGAGAAACGCGCTTTCGACGTGGATGGGGGGACAAGAGCGTCGTGCAGCCGGGCGGCCAACTCAGCTCGAGTCTACACTCTCGTACAGTGGCGTTTAGCACTTGCTCCTCGTGGTTAGACACTTGTGTTGCCACCCGTGCATTGAAGAGGAGTGCGAGTCTTTATCGGCTCGCTCTCTCGCACAGTGGCGGTGTGACACAGTGTCTGACTTGCGAGTTGCAAGGTGGAGGACGTGCATTGAAGAGGAGGGTGGACAACGGCAACACCTAGCCGTCAGGTGCTCGACGTTCTCTTTCCTGATATCCGAGGAGGTTTCTGGTCTTTTGACACGGATTCCAACCGTTAATATAGAGGCCGACATTGTTCGGTCTTATTCTCCTTTTCTTCAGTTTTTGTCTCTCGCCAGTTGAGCCTCGTCACTCCACGTCAACGATAACTGTCGGATCCGAGTCAGAGATCTTTGTGCCAGTTGCAGTTTCCATCTTGAGCTTCTAGTGAGAAATGGGGCACGTCGTAGACGACGCCGACACCTGGTTCGAGGGCGACGAGCGCCGCTCCTCGTCGAGCGCTTCCGACTTCGACTGGGACAAGACTGCGCGCTTGATCTGCGCGGTGCTGCTACCGCCGCTCGGCGTCTTCCTGCAAACCGGTTGCAACAAGGACCTGGCGATCAATGGGCTGCTGACGCTGTTCGGGTAAGTTTTAAGTTAAAACTGAATTCGTGGTGGTGACTGATAGTGCTGCTTTGACTTGTGCTACATGTAGTTACGTTCCCGGGATTATCCACGCCGTGTACGTCATCTGCGTGAGTTAACTGCAATACCCGAGCAAGACATTGCAGGCTGATTGCCTGCACTGGCAAGGGAAAGATAAGCAGAATCAAAATTGAAGTTACCACTCATGTTGAAGTTGTTGGATCACTCCATTGATAATGCACTCGATTGGACTAATGTCTAAAACCCGCAGAGGCAGCCAGCGAGCTTCTTCTTCACCTCGATGACGATCAACTCAGCGCGAGAGGCGAGCTCGCTCCACATGCTCAGAACAGACGCCGGACCAACGACAGAGGCAACGGCGTACACTTGGTCTCCCTCGACATCGTCGGGACTCAGATTTAAAGCGTAGAGCAGGAGAGAGCCGCCGCCCGAGGCGTTCACCTCCCGCACCAGCCGCTTGGTCAACTCGTTCATGTCCACGTGATGGTGGTGACGAAGCATCGTCTCGTCCAGCGTCGAGGTGGGGCACGTAAGGCGGAACACCACCGTCGTAGCTTGGCCGGACGAGGCCAGAGTCTCAAAGCGCTCGTCAGCTTCCAACTTCGCAAGACAGGTGGCACTGGTAGACTCGACTCCGCTATCCAAATCGTGCACTGACCTCGATAGGCACGTCTCTAGACCTTTGAGAGCTTGGACCTCGTCAAAGTGCTCTCCGTTACTTGAGCTGGGGTTGTTGAGGCCAATCACGACAAACTGCGTCTTGGGCGTCGATTGCCAAGCGCCAGCATTTTCCACCTCCAGTCGCCGCTTCCCGCTCAGCTGTACCACGAAGCGATATTTCGGCAGCTCAGCAATATACATAACCCCCTTAGCACGCAGCGTGCCTTTCGGCAAATGATGCTGGATCCAGTCGTGAACTGCTGCCAGCGATGTAGGCGCTGTCCGTTCATACGCCACAGAGGCAAATGCCTGCGACGGCGTGTTTACCTCCTGCTTCACCGCCACTTCCGACCCTCTATCCACACGCAAACGGCTCGGAGCGGGAGTCACCGCGCCGTTCAACGCACTCAACCCTGTGTTCCATTGCGCTTCGACCTTCTCATGGCTCACTCCGCCATTAAACACATCCTCGGGTGGGGCAATGTCCAGCACGTGCGGCAAGTACACTTGGCCATGATCCGTCTCGTACACGCGCGCACAGGGCGCGTACTTCTGTACGACTCGCCTCGCAGCCTGCAGCTTGTCCTCATCCATGAGGTCCACCTTGTTCAGCAGCACCACGTCGGCACACTGGAGCTGTCTAATAGCCACTGCACAGGGCCCCACTCCATTGGCGGCGTCTTGGGCCACTGCGTCTCCGTCCACCACCGTCACCACCGAGTCCAGCCGCGCGCGCGTCATCTTGCCGAACTTCTCCTGCACGGCCGCCACCAGCTGCGTCGGGTCCGTGGTGCCGCTCGTCTCCATCACGAGGTAGTCCACGCTGCCCAGCGCCGCATCGCCGTCGCTGTCGTCGTTGAGCACCTGCCACACGGCGTCCTTGAAGGCGGCCAGGCTGCTGTTGGGGTCGGCCCGCAGCTGGAAGAGCTTGTTGCCGCCGGCCGTCAGCTGGCCGCCCACGAGCAGCGCGTCCACGTTGATGGCCGCCAGGTCGCTCACGGCGCAGGCCACGCGCAGGTTGAGCTTGTGCTGCAGCACGTGCTGCAGCAGCGACGTCTTGCCCGCGCCCAGGAAGCCGGTGACGATGGTCACGGGCAGGCGGCGCTTCTGGGCGTTGCGCGCGAGGAGCTGGCGCTCGGCGCCCAGGCACAGGTTCACGCGCGTCGCCGCGAGCTCCAGGTCCGATGGCATGATTGTCTTTTGGGCGATGTGATTGGGCGGAAACCGCGTGGCCAGTCTGGGAGTACAGATTTAGAACGTGGTTGAAGCTGTTTAGAATGGGACAAAAAGTTGCCGCCGTTGCCGCGCCGCTGGTTGCGGATGATTCTGCTCCGTGTCCCGGATGGATGGGAAGCGCCCACTACGCAGCGCCCACTACACGGTCGTTGGACGGTTGAAGAGCTTGGTGTGTGGTGGTGCACATTGCAATTGGCCTTCTTCTCGTCACGACTCACGACCAACAAGAGACTGCAAACGCGATGGCCATTACGTGGGGAGACTGTCCGCGCTTGATCTGCTCGATCCTGCTGCCACCGCTCGGCGTGTTCTTCCAAGTTGGCTGCAACAAGGACTTCGCTATCAACTGCTTGCTCACACTGCTCGGGTGCGTTGCGTTGTCGCAGTTGTAGCATTGCCTCCTGTCTTTTACTACTAGTTGTTTCGAGTTGGCGTTAAATCTAATGACGAGTGCTGCCTGCAACTGCAACTGCTGCTGCATGCCACACTAGGTATATCCCCGGGATCATTCACGCGGTGTATATCCTGGTCAAGGAGTGACGGAAGCGAAGCGATATGGCTGGGGAGTGACGGCAAGCCGGTAGACTTCCCTAGGAATATTTTTGGCGTCGGCTGGCCATCCCGCTCTCTCTGCACGAAGCTTTCTCACCTTGAAGCGTAAGTATGAATACAAGCAGCGTCGCAACCAGAGCCACACCTGCCTAAACTTGATCCGCTGCTTGTCAAGCAGTGCTTGACCCACGAACTTGCCTTTTTACGTCTGCATACAAACATTCCTACTATTCCTACTTTCGTAGCGCTTCGACCGTGTTCACCAAGGTCTCAGCAGGCATTTCGGTCTCCGACCGACTTGTAGTAATCTCGGCAGTGTCCAAGTTGTCTTATCTTGAGCTTATCTATTCCTTCTGCCCGACACGCACCTCGACACTATGGACGAGCCCTTGGTCTCCGGCGGCATCATGCTGCTCATCTGCGTGGGCGTGACGGTCCTGATGCAGTGCAGCTTCTTCGCTGTGGCCTACACGTGCCAGTTCGACAAGGTGACGGACCTGGCCGGCGCGCTCAACTTCATCGTGCTGGCGGTGCTGTCGCTCGTACTTCAAGACGTGTACGACACGCGCGCCATTGTGGCCACGTGCATGCAGGTGGCGTGGGCGCTGCGGCTCGGCTCGTTCCTGCTACTGCGCGTGCTCAAGCGCGGCAAGGACGAGCGCTTCGACGAGATGCGCGCCAACTGCCTCGCTTTCCTCGGCTTCTGGGTGTTCCAGATCCTCTGGGTCTTCCTGGTCTCCCTCCCGGTGGTGCTGGCCAACTCGAGCGGCGAGCAGGTGGACGGCAGCTTCGGCGAGGCGAGAGACGTCGTGGGGATCGTCGTGTGGGCCGTCGGCATGGCGGTGGAGTACGCCGCCGACGCCTCCAAGTCGGCCTTCAACGAGGACCCCAAGAACAAGGGCAAGCTGCTGCGCTCGGGCGTGTGGAAGTACTCGCGCCACCCCAACTACTTCGGCGAAATCCTGTGCTGGGTGGGGGTGACGGTGCTGGCCAGCGCCAACTTCGGCGGCGACGGCGGCGAGACGTGGTTCTACTACGTGAGCTGCCTTAGCCCCGTCTTCACCTTCCTCGTGCTCATGTTCCTCTCGGGCGTGCCGCTGGCGGAGGAGCGCTACGACGAGCGCTTCGGGCTGGACCCGGACTACCTCGAGTACAAGCGCTCGACGAGTCCGCTGGTGCCGCTGCCGCCGGTGCTTTACCGCGCCCTGCCTGAGCCCGTCAAGCGCTGGTGCTTCCTCGAGCTCAAGCTGTACTCGCGCAAGCTGCGCGAGCTCCAAGACGCGGACAAGGTGCCAGCTCCCAACTATCAGGCCATTCCGTAGTGTAACATGTCTAACAATCGAAAGCTGTTGAGCCAGGCTACGTGTATAATGGCGCCGAGTGTCCCTGTTACTACGGTATATGTCGGACCTGAAAGCTCCTCACGGCAACTTCGGCTTTCTGCGACGTGGTGGCGAAAGATCCAGTCGCTCGACCCAACGACATTGGGGGCGCTCCTTCCTCCACGTACAGCAGATAACGGACGAATAAGAAAATCAAGTTCCATTCCTAAGAAAAAAAAAGAGTGTAGCAAAGAAAAACTGCATGGATGGCGAAAAGCTGGGCTAAGCGAATCTCTGGGAGTCTCTCTCTCGTGGGCCGCGTTCGGTCGCTGGCTGGCGCTTCGGGCCTCCGTCCTAATATTACATCCACCAAGCAACGCGCCGCTCGCCTGGCCCCAGCGCGTCCGCTCGTCATCCGTCTCCAGCCACTCGGTCGTCGATTCGGGCGCAAAGAGTCGTTCCCCGCGCCGCTGGCCCGCGAAGTCAGCACTTGACTGATCGCGCACCGTCGAATCCTGGCAACCTCCTGGCCCTCTCTCTCTTAGCAGAACCGCTTACAGCTTCTCCAGCTTGCCGAACTGGCCGCCGCCCGGGTTGCGACGCGCCAGCTCGGCGCGGTCCGCCGCCTTGAAGTCGAAGCTGCAGTTGTGCTGGTCCGCGTACCGGTGGCTGCTGCAGAACACGTAGCCGCAGCGGCACTCGATGGCCGTGAGGCCCACCTTCTTCTTGCACTCCCAGCAGCGCTTCTTGTTCTTCTGCACGAGCTTTTCCGCCGGCCTTTCCTCCTCGGCCGCCGCCACGTCCCTGGGGGCCACGCTCTGGTTGTCCGCGGTCTCGGCGGGCACCGCCGTCTCCAGCTTGGCAGCCTCGTCCACCTTCTGCTCCGCCGCGCGCGGGGACTGCGCCGCCGCCGCCTGGCGGTCCGACATGGTCTTCTTCCAGCACACGGAGCACATGCCGCCGCTGCCGGGCGCGCCGAAGAAGCCGCAGCCGTTCAGGCACAGCTCCGCGCTCTCTCGCTCCTGCTGCATGGCTGTCTGAAGTGTCTTGTGTGTCTTGTGTCGAGTCTTGGGAGTAAGCGGGGAGTGGCCCGCTTTCGTTCTTTCTCAGATGCCTGTAGCTCGGACGCCCCGCAGTCGCCTAGCTTGCTTGCCGCCAACCCAGCGAAAAGATGAATGCGTCGGTTTCGGGGGCTTCTCGACTCCCCCTCTATCCCTCACGACCTTTCCACGCGTCCCCAGTTTTATTTAGCTTTGAGTATGAAAACCCTACCCGCGTCTAGGTCCGACAAAGGTTCAGTTGGGCATAGTGGAACGCAGTCAAGCCTCGAGTTCTGAGAAATGAAAGTTCCATTGGACGAAAATCGACCTAGAAGAATCTAGAAACAGATGCAGATCCGGGACATCTGCCAATCGTCCTTGCCGCCGCTATTAGCGACTGCACGCTAATACAGCGTGCAGTCCCCGACGACCGTAGGCCAATCGGCTCCGTGCTCGCCAACCAAGTACATGTAGTCGATAGTGCAATTGTTTCCGCTTGCATCAACCGCAGGTCCCAGCTCGGTGCAAGGAAAACACGTAGAAAAATCCGTCGCGTGCTTTGAATATACGGACCATCGACCGTTCAAGCAGCTAGATACATACTTTGAAATGTGCGTCACAGCAAGCTGTTAAAAGTGACGAGGGGGTGCTAACAGCAACCAGGTGCTCTGCTGTTGCTGTTTAGCAATGCTTACTAGGTACTGCGAACAAGTTGCTCAGGTGGCAACCTATATTTTCAGATTACGCTATCTGCGGACCGCACACATTTTCTCGTGGTTGGCCAAACTGATAGGCAACATTCTCTCTTTCTTGCATGAAGGCTGAGATGACCGTTGAAGGCTTCGCTTTCTCGTACTATAAACGAGTCTGCTGGCTTCACTTCCTCGATAGCCTTATCGTTCGCTCTCAAGAAAAGCGTCCCGGCTTTTTGTAAAGTTCTGTTTGAAGTTGTGAATTTCGGCTAGGTACGAGTGATCTTGAAGTTGAAGGCAACTCTCTTACATTTATTTTGTCGCGATCCTCCCCAGCACTGACTCAGCTGTATTGAGGCCCACCGTTTTCAGCTGTACATGCATACATGCATACTGTATGCTATTAATATAAAGACTTATATGGCAGAGCATCGCAGTGCGCACCGTCAGCGAAGGTGGCACAGAAGAGGCTTGCAAAGGCAAGACCACCTAGAATCGACTAGTGAAAAGAGTCTCATGCTGCGAGTCCACCCAATTGTTTTTGGCAAGAGGTAGAGCGGATATGGATCTGGTCTACAACACTTTTCATCTGTAGAAAGCGTGTGATCAATTCCTCAATTTGAAACAAACATTCATTGCGAAGTTGTTGCGTTGCAGTCCTCAGCATTGATTCAACAGTGCTGGAACTTACAACTTACATGCTAAGCTTATCAACAATAGATAGGAGAAATCACACAGATATGGCTGCCGGCTGCAGGTCGATAATTGGTGCTTGTCACCGGCAGCAGTGCTACTACAGACAGAAGAATATCTTATCCGCGAATCACAACTAACGTGGTTTACCAATTCATGACCCGCCAGCAGCACCTCATGCGAAATCGTCGATGACGACACCAATATTTGAGTAGCGATGCTACAACGCTACATGTATCATTTATACTGGGATAGGAAGCAACGTTAGTGCTGCTATCGCAGACCAAATAGGATTATATCCGTGGTACGTCACGTCAAAGATGACCCCTCTTGACTGTGCAGTTTGAACCGGTAGGATACCCATCACACCGGTACGACCCCGGCGCCGCACTGGGCCCTCCAAAAGGTTTATATGCGTGGGCAGTTTGAACCGGTATGAGTCAGTAACATATATGGAGTGAAGTAAAGCGAATGATTGAAGCGGACGGACTACCCTAGTAGCATACACAGGCAAGTATTTTCATTTCTCTACTAGCTATAAGCAGATCTCGAGCAAGGTTCTTTTCATTACTGTGTATAATTACTGCCAAGTCGTATCTTGCATCTTCGCCGTTGAGGTATGACGCACTGACCAGATGTTGGACCGACGCGATCCCACACAAAGTGTCATACCAAACTCAAACCGTCGCGCTCTCAATGATGAACAGCGGCTCCACTGCAGGCACTTCGGCGCCATTGTTGTCACGCGCTTGGAGTGCAGCTCCTGCACCATTGCTTGTCTTTGCTTTTTTTCGCGTGGCGGGGTGATAAGCAAATCGCGCTTGCGCAGGATCTGCTGGCTCGCATCAGCTGTCTTACGCGAGCCCGAGAGTCGGCCACGGCTGCGAGCTTCTCTCCCAGAGGTTAGGATAATCGACAAATCACGGTATAAGTATTACTGGCCCTACTGGGGGTCCGGTATAAATATCTGTTATACAATACTTTCGTGTAGAAATCTAGTATCAGTATTAATACAGTTTGTATTAATACTTTAGGTAATACTTTATACTAGTACAAATTTATGTGGCCCACATTAGCTCGGCTTCGCCAGTGGCGAGTCTATGCTGTGAATTATCTCCGTGCGAATCGCTCGGAAGGACTGAGCCCAAGGAATAGTTTAACGTCTGAAGCGTTCCTATCACTTGACGATCCGAATGGCGTTGAAGACCTTCATAGTATTCATACGACGGTCCTTATGTTGAAGAGGCAGCCAGGAACCAAAGGTGACTTCACTGGCAAGGCATGCTGCCCTGCGGTTCGGCATGATCATAATCTTGGCATTATACAGAGAGCCCTCAAATTGGAAGTGTAAGGCCGCGCTGTGCCTCATCCACTCGGAGAAGCGGCGTGCTAAGCTGTGCATTGCTCTGCTATAGTATAGTGATAGGCATATTGGTTTTATACTCGGATGGTGATGTAGTGAAGGGCTGCCTATACTAGCCGAGTATGGGAGACACCCGATGCAACGTTGATATCTACTGCGGCGAGGGTGGTGACGGCAGCACCGGGTACTACCTAAGCTCGACGTGGCCTCGGGCCTTGTGCGCGACCCGTCGTGTATGCGATCGGGTTGAATGAGGAAAGTGTAGGCGCCGCAGAGGCCAGAAGCCAAAGGCCAAAGAAACTTCTATCTAAATGCAAAGGGGTAGTTTTCATTATGACAGTTTAGTATTCGGTTGCGAACATAAAGTCTGTTTTGGTGCGAAGTCTGAGTAACCAAAGTCTGATTTAGAGCTATGATGAAGTCTGGATAAGCTGACTAAAACGGACGGTATTCTGCGTGCAAAGCACAACAATACTTATCTAAATAGATCTTTATGGCCGCCAACTACAGCGGTGATACCAATTGTTCTCTGAAATTTATTTCAGAGTTAAGGAGCGATTGGAATTCCTCGTCTAATTAATCCTTCATATCTGTTCATCTTCATTCAGGAGTAAGAGCATCTCCACGAACCTCAACTATACATTTGGGGTCTCAAAGATCCTGTTACGTCTAAGAATAAGACCTCACCTCAGGAGATGCTTCGAGGTATTTAAGGGTGTTAATGTAGCGTATCGATAGGATTGTGTGTTAGGGTAGCAATATTAGCATCAGCTTCTGTAAATGCGCACATTCCGAGCCCGGTAGCCTCGACTGCAGCCTCAACCGCGAGCGAACGAATGTACAGTGCCATAATAAGGTAAGCTTTACTAAGAAAACAAATAAGACTTGCGACTGATCCTAATAAAAATTAATCAACATTTTCACAGACCACCATTTATCTTGCGGTGCGTGTGCTGGGGCTGCACACCCAGACCCCTGCACTCTCCCTTTGAGGTAAAACGGGACTGTGAAATGCTAGGACCACTTCTTATTCGAACGCTGCTAATGTAGTTAGGGTCAATAGTTAGAAGCACCGTTTAAACGGTATCGAAAGGCTTTTTTCATGTTGCCACGCACGCCCAGTGAGCTCTCATACCGTTCATCTAATTTCAAGTAAAGAAAAAACAATCTAGAAGTCAAATCATACCGGGGCAAGTGAAGGCCTTGGCGGTCGTGGAAACATATTAGTGGGCGCGCGCATGTTCTAAATGCACCACGTGCGTATCATCAGCCATGCATGCGGATTGATACGGGGTCACTTAGGCTAACCCTGGTCGATATATATATATGAATCGACCAGAATGCCCAGTTGTCCGTAGGTGTTCTGAAGGATTTACATATATATCAACCAGGATTTGGTGAAGCCAAATCCCTTGAGAGCGTGAAAAACCGAGCGGACAAAACGCTTGGCGGCCACAATATATATAAAGATTACTAATTTACACTTATACCATCCACGAATAGTAGCAAGTTTGGAGTCAAGTTGGCCCGGCTTCTGGAAGTATAACCGTAATATATTACTGGTATTACCAATTCTGAGGAGTAGTATTACTTCAATTATCCTTATACATTCGCCCAAAAAGCGAGTATAAGTATTAATACAATCTGTATTAATACCGAAATTGTATTACTCAGTAATACAATACTTTGAGTTATCCTAACCTCTGTTCTCTCCTGCGAGGACGCGGTCGATAGCTTCTTCTAGCTGCTTGTCTATGAAGGCCGCCTTCATCTTACGCTCGACTCGAGGGGGGGGGCTGGATATCTGACGAGATCAGCGTAAGGAAAAGTGAGGGCCAAGATCTGGTTAAAAAATATTGAGCTAATAGAGCACTTAAGAGCACTTTGCACCTTGCACTCTGTAGCCACTTTGCAGCCAAAATTCGTACCTAAACGAATTTCGAACTTAGCGACCAACTTTGCAGTACAAACCCCACCGCATTGTCAAATTCCTTGTAGCGGAAACCCCAGCTTTGCCTCCAACTTTGAAGGCAACTGTGCAGCGGGAGCGGCATGCGCCCAAAGCTCTCACAACACAATCAGTAGTGCAGCCCGCGCACTAAGCCAAGGCAACTGAAAGCCGTCGACACGCAGACCAAGTGCAGAAAGAGCAACGCAGCCAAGGAGCCGCTCACAGCGCCAAGCGACGTGCCCATCAGAACCACTACGTCGTGTCGTGTTGGAGAGATCGCTTGAGCAAACCCGCACGTGGCAGCTACGTCTGCCCTTCACAACGCACACGATGGCGGGAAAACAGAAGCAGCGCTCGGCAAGCAAACGCAAGCGGGCGGCGGCGTGCGATGAGTCGCCGGGCCAAGGACACAAGGGGAAGCCATCGCGCACCAGAGCCAAGAAGCGAGCGCAAGCAAGCAACGACAAGGTGCCTCAACCGCGAGCTGTCCCAAGTCGCGCCAACATGGATTCAAACAAGACACGCAACCTCACTGGCGACGAAGCCACCCGAGCAGACGACCAGGATGTTCAGAGTATCAACGATCGGCCATCTACGGTTGGTCTACTCGTGAAGCACTGGAGCGATAGCGATTCGCCTCCTCCTTTTCGAAAGCCTGTGGCACCTCGTAAGGGACCAGCAGGTGCTCGCTCTATCAGAGTGCCTACTTCGTCTTTGGACGGGGCTGGACAAACCACCAGCGGTGTCGCGTCGCCTGCCAGAAGTGATGGCAGTTCATCAAGTGTTTCGACGAATTTATTCTCTGGTGATGAAGATCCTCGTGGTGATGGAGGTGCTGCAAGGCAGCAGCACGTTCCTGAAGAGCATCGCCAGCCAACTGAAAGCCACGAATCACCGCTAAATGCCCAGCAGCAGGTCAACCATGCTAGAAAATTGAAACCAATAAAAAATTGGTCATCGAACTTTGAGGCACCGGAGGCTGTGCTCGATAGCTACTACGCCAACGAGGTGCACACAGCGCCCTACGGAACAAATGGGGAACGGCTTGAGCGCTCCGTGGAGTACCTTAAAAGTGTTTGGGGGCTGACCGCTAACCCGCGTACCATGAAAAAGTATGTGGACGAGATGCTTGACGCCCATGGGCCTGAAGAGAATGCCCTTGACGCTGAAACAGGTCGCGAGTATGACCGCACCCTAATCGAGGTAACATCAAATTGCAACGTGCGGATATGATACGCACGTAGGCTAAACGAAATGATGTTTAAACAGGAGCGCATCCGTGAAAAGCTGAACCTGATGGTTGAAGAGCGACGGGATTTCGTAGAGATGGCTGAAGCAACAACTGAAAAGCGCAAGCGAGAGGAGATGCTGCGCCAAGCCGGTCTCCGACACCGCGAAAATGTCGCCCGCAGCGTCATTGGTGATCGTATCACGGAGCTCGGAGGAAGACAGCAGCGACTCAGCAGTGACGGCGTTATTGAAGGTAACTATTATGAGATAGACATCGTAATGGAAAGGGTTATTAATGATGCTGCTCTTAAAATTTTGTAGATGTTCCAGGTGAGGAAGCCGACAATGACCAAGGCGGCCGTACCCAACGCCAGCGTAGAACCCCTCGACACCAGCAGCGCATCGAAAATATGCTGGAGGAAGATTTATCCAGCAGAACAGACCTTGAATCACCTCAGCTAGCGCTCGAGGAGAAACGGTTTGCAGCAGATGTTGAGCTTAGTATGCGCGTCTTGAGCTGCAACGTGAAGACGTAAAGCTTTCGCGTGAAGAGCGCCAGCAGTCGATTGACTTGGAGCTGAAGAGAATGGCAACACAACAAGAAACATTTCAAGCTGAAATGCGAGAGCGAGCTGCGGAAAGAGATCAGCGACGAGATGAGTTCGAAAAACAGTTCGAGCTAAAGTTTAAGAAGCTGGAACTGATGCTAAAGGGTAGACAGAAGTAGTGATTGCGCTAATGGCGCACTGGATTAGCTTAATCAACGTTAACATGGACTCCATCTAAATACTCTTCCATCGTTGGTGGGAAACTGTTGAAGTAGTCCGATATTTGATTGCGACCCCAGTGGCACGTCAGGCAATTCGTAAAAAACACTGAAAGCAACCAGATTGCTTCAACTGGCATCGACTCGATGCGAAGCTGGCGATCCCAGTCAACGAACGCGAGATTTTGCGTGACTTGAGCATATCCCCACTCAACGTTGACGCGCACCTTAGCCATGCGCTTGTTGAAAGCCGAAGCCCACGCTGGTAAATTCCGGCCTCTAAACATGGTCACCATGACGTTGTTGTTGGGATAAGCTGAATCGCCGAAGACAACGTTGCGATTCTGCACAATATCACGATTCCCATTCAGGAACGCTAGCAGATTAGAAGCTCGTAGGATGTAGCCGTCCACGCGACGGCCGTCTGCGCACCTGTAGCAATGCACAATTAACCCTAGCTGATCATCCATTTTGAGTATCATAAAACTGAATCTAGGAAAGCACTTTTACTTATCATCGGGGGTCTCCAGCGTCTGTCCTCCAGACGCGAAGTAGCTCCGGGACACCTCAGCGCCGAAACGCACGGACGTACGGCTCCATCCGTGTTGGCGTCGATGTATCGGAAAACAGGATCTGGGATTTTGCTGCCCCGAGGACCAGATGAACCATGCATGTAGTAATTCTGCTCAGAGCAGAAGGAAAGCGATCGTAGCGTTGTCTCAAATCAAGCAGGGACCGTGGGTAGCTCAAACGGTCGAGGAGGAGGCAGATTCCTGCGCAAAAGCAACTCAGCGTACTATTATACTACAGGATACAAGCACAAAACACTTACCTTCTACAGCAGAAAATCTGTCGCCATGCGGAGCTGGCGTGGTGAGTACGGCTGGAAGCTGTAACAAAACGACCAGGTTCTTGATCCCAGCGTGATCAAAGCCAAAGCGGCTTCTGCAATCGTTATCTGACATCGCATTTAGGTCGAACGCCATCATAGGCAGCACAGGCAGGTCTCGATGCAGGAAGAAGCCGGACAACACCGCCATTCTCCACGCCTTCTTTGCACCCCAGCGCTCAATCAACGTAAGAAGTACGCGTGTGTCGGCAGGCCGAAGAACGCGCTCGTTGTCGCGCCATTGTAACGCGATCACGACTGCGGTCAGGGGCGGATAGGAGCGAAGTAAGTAGCGCATCAGCCGCGCTGCGCAGCACTCTCGGATGGCGGGTACGTCGTCGACAACGATGTCCTCCACACATAGATCGCGTAGCATCGCTGGCTACAAGGACCAGAGTGCAGAATGCTCTTCACGCCTCTGCAGCTTTGCACTGCAAATTGGCGCGAACTTTGGAATTGATTAAAAACGGGACACTACCTCCCTAAACTGATCCGTAAGTCCGCTGCAAAGTGCCTACCGAGTGCTAGGTGCAAAGTGGTCTTAAGTGCTCTAATCAGAGCAATATTAGTCCAAATAAGAAGGTTGGATTCCCGCGAAGCCCTAGTACTTGACAGGTAAGAAAGTACAACGCGCGTTTTCAGTGCTGCACCTTCAACCGAACATACGCACCAAGTACGGGCCAAACGATCCGTCACCTCTTTAACCCCCCCTTACACTCAAGTGGATTTAGCACTACGTTGCTGAGGTGGCTACTAAAGGAATACAGAAACAAAAGTTTGCGCCCGTAAAAGATGATAATGGTCGACGGGCGAAAAGCTCATAAACAAAAAATAAATCCTGATAGGCGTGGGCGACGGGTACGTCGCAAGTGCGGCGCGCCTAAATCGTGTGCGCTGTGCTTTTGAATTGCTGCTTTGGTTATAGCGATAGTGACTGCGCGGTCGCGGTGAAGATGCTCACACTAAGTTATTTAGCTATCCCACCCAGCCTACGCATAGCTATCGTTTCGCGAACATGCATCTAAAATAACAGGTTTGTTCGATACAAAGGGTTGCCACAATAATATTATGCAGGTAGAATTGGTGAGTGCAAACAGGAATCTGCGATTGAGGCGATTCGCGCTACAGGAACGGATGGAGTATATCGATGCAGTAAAACCAATTCCATGCATTTTTGAAGCCATTCTAACAGTGCATTGGCAAGGCCAACCCGCATTATGAAGCGTCGAACAAAGCAGTCACCGCACCCGACGGCGGGAGTGATGCTTGGCTACAGTACCATGCCAAGGCCCGCATTGAAGTCCTCGCTGTTCGTGCGCGTGCACATCTGCGGCAGCTCCTCGGCGCCACCATGAGGAAGTGAATTCGTGCGTGCAGCGTCGCCAGCTGTCCGTTGGGGCTGCAGACCTCGTCAGAAGACGAACACGGACAGCGCCGACTTGCGCGTATTCTCGTCGAACTGCACCGCGGTTCATCTAAAGCGTACAAGACATTGAACCCAACAGTAGTCACTACCAAGATGCGCGGTCGGCAAGCTCTGCAACCACGACAGCAAAGTATACCCCTCAAAAAGGGTGGGGGTGGCTGCCGCAGCGTCAGAACTCACCAAGAGCGTAAATTGGGTAGTGATAGCGAAATGTATGCTGGGGATAAGTTGACGAAAAGGGGTCTGCGCAGTTCTATCGACTTTCTGTAGTGTTCTAGTTCTACTGATTGACACGGTGCGACCACACACACCGTGCTTCAACTTTCATTCATTTTTGGTTTCGGCCCGTTCCGTGGACATCGCTGGTGCGACCTATGCGGTACAATGTACTTTGGTGCTGACCCTGTGCTGCCCGTTGTGGGTTGCTTTCTATATCGGTGTACCTTTTTGATCGATTGAACTTGTGGATGCTGCTGTTGCTGTCAGATAATAAACGCGATGTGCGCCGTGATATGTGTGAGTAGTATTGTTTGTTGTTGCTTTAGTGATTCTTTGAATGGTCTGATAAACTGATCTAGTGCACTGGTGATTTATAACTGTGGTTGATTCTAAAGACACGATATTGACCACCGGCGCACTTCGGAAAAAAGGACCAAGCAGCTCGAGACGACAAGGATTTATAAATAAAAAGAAGTCGTGCTTACACAAGCATTTGCGATGCACAAGTAATTCTTCGAGTACGTGCTGTCGGTACTCCTGATTTAAGGTTTAGAGAATTCGTTGTTACCCATTTTTTATTTGAATTTGTTGCAGTTTAGACGGGTATCTATTCCCGACGCGCTGCTGCCCGAAGAAATCTGTGCGCTCATTTGTTGCTCGTCGCTGACGGGTTTAAGGCAGAGCCTTTTAATCATTTCCCGGGTGTGAGGACATTAATATCGTTGTCATTAGTCTGGTGCGCGTTGCCCGCGTAGTAACTCTGGACAATAAATATACGTTGCATGATTTTACTGGGATAGGAAGCAACGTTAGTGCTGCTATCGCAGACCAAATAGGATTATATCCGTGGTACGTCAAGTCAAACAATGACCTCGCTTGACACCCAACTGGTACATTTCCAGAAACCAGTACGACCCCGGTGCCGCACTGGGCCTCCAAAAGGTTTATATGCGTGGGCAGGTTGAACCGGTAGGATACCCATCACACCAGTACGACTCCGGTGCCGCACTGGGCCTCCAAAAGGTTTATATGCGTGGGCAGTTTGAACCGCAATGGGTCAGCGAATCGGATGGAGTGATGTAAAGTGAATGATTGAATCGAACGGACTACTACAGGACTGTAGCAGCATACAAATGCAAGCATTTTCATTTCTCCACGAGCTAGATCTCGAGCAAGGTTCGTTTCATTACTGTGTATAATTATTGTCTAGTCGTATCTTGCATCTTCGCCGTTGAGGTGAATGACCGGGCAGATGCTGCGCCTGCTTCGCAGCCGCAGGAGATGACTGTGGATCGTAAAAAAAGTAAGAAAAGCGTTTATCCCAAAACCTCCTATCCCAGCCTTCGCGGAGCCCTAGTTTTTAATGTGACTAAATACTGTTGGCTATACTGTACTTGTTTGCTCTTTTATAATACAACAGAGCAAACAAGTATTCAGGTATTTCGGGGGTGCGTCTATGATTTTTCCCCAGACTGTATATTATACAGTCTTGGACAACATTATAGCCAAAATGCCTGAATTCTAAGTACCGTCGACACCGCATGAGTTTGCATATCGCGACGTGCATACTTAAGTAAATGATCAGACGACAACAATGATGCATTCCAAAACGCCGATAAAACGTATCAATACCTTCAACCGGAAAATGTATGGAGTTATTAGAAATCAACAATATAATATAATAAAAAAAGCATGAAAGCTGGTAAACGTGGCATGCATGGTCTAACAGAACCCGTGCTTGTCATGAACACCGTTAAGCACTTGTTACAGTCACGCTATGTATACTTGATCAAATGAAGCTTAGAGGTTGACTCGGTTATCAGTCTCTTTTAGATGACCTTTCGCAAGTGCAGCTTGCGATTTCCTGGTCGTGGTCAGTAACGGAAATTCACGATTAATACCCTCTACCCGAATAGTACCCCCTGAGAGTAACCCAAGGGTAACCCGATAGTAACCTTGCTGTAACTCACGTACCCTACCCTGCTCTGGTGGCCAGCCATCTTGTTACACTCATTTCACTATAAAACGCAACGCCAGCCATTCGCTAACGCTGTCTGCACGCAGTCGCAGCACGCCAATATCGCCCCATTCGGCAAAATGCCTTCACGAATCCCCATCAGCAACTGGCGCAAGCAGCAGGTCCTCCGCTGGATCGAGAGCGAAGGCGGCCAAGTTCCTACTCGAGCTATCAGCCACTTCCGTGTGCAGGGTTTGAAGCTGGATGGTGGCAGCGTGCGGCGGTGGTGGCGTGACCGCGAGAAGCTCCTAGCGGCAGACCCAAGCATGAGCCGGCTTCCAGGCGGTGGTCGTCGCCCCCTATCGGCTACCATGGAGGACGCCCTGTACGACGAGATTGTTGCCAAGAGGCTACAGAAGGAAAAAGTCACGCGCGCCTGGATTGGCCACATGGCCAGGGTCATCTATGCCTCTCACCACGATGACGACGCTGTGTTCGGTGGCTTTGCAGCCTCCTCGCACTGGATCACCGGCTTTATGCGCCGCTACGGGCTCTCCTTGCGGCGACGACCACCCTGACGGACGAGACCCTCGTGTAGCGCGCGGTTACTTACATGAAGTTTCTACGCAACGCTGTCCCCGCCATGGACTTGAACCGTACCATCCTGATGGATGAAACGGCCGTGTACTTCGAAGATGCGCGTAATCAGGCGGTGGACATAACCGGCAGTCGCCATGTCGTGGTGCGCTCCACGGGGTTTTCGTCCATGCGGATTACGGCGGTGTTGGCTGTATCGGCCACAGGGAGAAAAATTCCACCTCTTTTGATCTGGAAAGGCAGAGCCTCACCAACTTTTGCCAAAATTGGCGGCGTCTACGGGGCCTACCAGCCGCGAGCGTGGGTTGACAGCGCGTTGCTCAAGCGCTGGATTGATCTGGCTTTTTCGCTGGTCGACATGCAAGAAGGAAAGCATCTGGTTTGGGATTCGACGCGCGCTCACATCTCCAAGGATGTGAAGGCGAAGTGCGCGGCTCGCAAGATCAACATGTGCGTCATTCCCGGGGAGCTCACGCCCTATCTGCAAGCAGGCGACATTGGTATCTACAAGACGTTGAAGGACCTACTCTACATGAAGATCAATGCGTGGAAGGAGAGCGACAAGGTCGAGTACACTCGCTTCGGCAACCCGCGTATGCCATCGGTGGCTGTGGGTTAAGAAGGCGTGGCGTGATACTGACAGCAACGCTGTCATCAACTCGATCTCTGCCGCTGGCTTTGCAGACAGCTCCCTGGACTGGCACGTAGCGAAGCATGACGTGTACGGTGAGCAATTCTGTACAGGCTGGGAAGGCGCTGGCGACGACCTCGAGGACATGGACAACTTTAACCTGGACGAGCTGCACGACGCTCTTGATGATGCTGCTCTGATCGACGAGTAAGTTGCTAAGGTAGTGATGTAACCTTTTGGTTATACATAGTAAACTTTTGGGATTTTGAGAGGGTACTATTAAATAGTGCCCGGGGTATTATTCGGTAATTTACGTTAGAAGAGAACCATGGACTTGTGGTTATACTTCTGTTTGGTATTCAACACCAACGAGATGTTTAATTTACGCTAGATATGTTAACCCTCAGCGCCAACTCGTTGTACATACACCAAAAAACATGTTGTACGTACAACATGTTACAAGTTGGGCTAAATTGCCACATAAGTCGGACGCTCTTGAAAATGCACAGGGATTGGGTTAGATAGATCATCCAATCGGATATAAACAGCGCGTAGCCCTCCCTGAATCAGTGGCTCTGCGCTCATTCTCCAAAAAGACAAGAAGGCGTGCCATCAGAATGCCCCCCCCCCCCACCACACACACACTCCTTCGAGAAACGCGGCGGCAGCATCAGCGCTTATGGAGCGACTGGATGGCCGGTGTACAGAGGACAGAGCCCGCCTCCACCAACAGCACGCGGCATACCTGGCGGGAACGAGAGAGGCTGACGCTGACTTCGGGGACGTCCAGGATCCAGAACCAGCGCCTGCAGCTAAACCCACGACCTCCCGCGAAGCGCTGCGATCCCCCGTCGGCAAGGATTCGTCGTATGGAGGGCCCAAGACAGCGTGTGTTGTAGACGCAGCGGGCTATTGCAGCGAAAACGCTTGCTGGGTCTGGAAAGAAGTGAGTGACTGGTCTCGCGCAAGAAGATGGACGGCAAAGAAGATGGCGATTATACCGTTCACGCTATTTGGTCGTAGTCCACAAATAGTCGTGCTTCCGAACTTTTTCGTGACACACTGCGTAACCAAATTTACCCCAGGACCTTAAAACATCACACAGACAGCGGATTTGGATAGATCTCATTAAGCCGAAGCCAATCATGGTCTTCGATTTCTGACATATTGAATATTGACGTCTCCCCTGGCGAAGCGAAAAGCTGTACCAACCAAGGTCCAAACCCACCCATCCCAAGAAGCCACGGAAACCAAGCCCTGCGCGCCTTACCAAGGAAAAAGAAGAAGGAAGAGCGACGGGCTGCAGCTCTCCAACACTGAACGACGTCTGCGGCCGCGGAGAAGCAAGGCGAAGCAGCACTAGCAGAGGCGAGGGCGCAACTGGAGGTGATTGCTGCAGCCAAGAGAAGGAAGAAGACGACGGACGCCGTGCCCATGAGAGCGAAGAAATCATCACTGAGGTACGACATGTTACAAGCTGGATGATACTACATCTTCTAATCTATCATGTGGTACGTCATGCAGGTACATCCAGCAAGTTTGGCCTAGCATGTGTACAATATCATGATCTCTAGCATGTGAGCAAATGCTAACCTGTGCTGTGTTTGGGTCACATCTTCGCCTGTAGCTATTGGAAAATTGCAGCCACCCACACCTCGAACTTCTCCTGCTGTGTTGGCTTGACTCCACCCCCGCCTCCAGCGCCGAATGCTGATCTAACAGGACATGTATGAGGCAAGCGTTAGCAATGATGATGGCAATTTTGTATTGATTGTTGTTATATCTGTTCTGGTTCGGCTTCCTTTGCTGTTGCAGTGCAATCGCCACCTACTGCTGCTCCTACGACGGTGTAACCACATCATATTGCTGCTGCAGCAGTCGAGCCGCCCCGTGCAACCGGTCCTGAAGCGGAGTCGCCTCCTGTTGTTGCTGCTGCGCCAGTAGCAACCGGTGACGGATTCGAAGTGCTGAACTCGGACTGTGACGAGACAGAAACAGAGGTATGCTTTTACAATGATGCCGATGAGTGGACGAATTCGAGAAGTATCGACTACGAGCCAGGAAACGATGCTTCGAGCGGAGATGAAAGTGGTGATGAGTCTTCTGGCGAAGTGAGAGAAGTTGCCGGCGACACGGAGGACCGTCATTGGACGTCCTGGAGGCTGCGGAAATGGCCGAGTTTACGCGAAGCGACGAGAACATGGCGGAGATGCGGGAATCAGGTTGGACGATCGGTACGGAATTATTGTTGTTGTACTATGATGACGTATGATACTACATGTTCAAACTTGTTTTATGGTGTACTTACAACATAAAGAGCCTGACCACTTTCCGCCTGACCAGCACTATCCAGGGTTGTTTCCCGGGGAATACGGACCCACCGATAAAGTTTTCGCTTTGACCGATTCTCCGCTAAAACTGTTTTTTTCTTCATGCCGATAAGTCTGTGTAGGAAAGTGGCTGAAGAAACAAACCGCTATTTTGTCCAGAACCTGACGTCGCGTGTTGAACGCATGTTCAACAACCAGAAGCCCCCGGAAAAAAGTCCAAGGAGTGGTTTATGCAACGCAAGGCCCAAAACCCCGAGGTTGAACCCCATCGAATCCTGCAAGTGGTCGGTCTTTTGATCGCGCCAATATTGAATCCTCATCGGCGAAGATTTGGTGATCATTGGGGTACCAACGCCGTGGGCGCGATTCCGCGTGGGACGTATAGCGACTTTATGACTCGCAACCGCTTTGAGCACAGTATGGCCAATCTACACTTCACGAATAACGCAGATACCAAGGCTGCTTCGGACCGAGCGTGGAAGATCAGATCCGTCGTCGAAGTGCTCCAGAAGACGTTTCTTTTTCCATGTTGTATGTGATACATGTTGTATGTTGGCGGTGGCTGCACATGCTGTCGGACGTTCATGTTGTATGGTTGTAAAGCCAACAACATCATGCACGTTCTACATGTTGTATTCTTGTGAGGCATGCAATCATATACATGTTGAATTGATGTCATGTTGGAGGTGAGCTAACAAAGTGATTGCTTGTAGCCTTCCCCACACGAGCCTGCAGCTGGTGATGTGCTTCCTCCGTTACCACCGGGCCACGAGCCCCAAGAATGCCCTGAGTACCAGTTTGTCAATGGGGTACTCAAACGTCGACAGCGTCAGTACAAAGTCATCTCCGTTCTAAAGCGCCGGGTTGGAGAGTGTCGCGTCACGAAGTACTACTGTGCTGCCTGCAGCAAGTCAGATAAAGCTCGGTACGTTGATGAGTGGTTGTTTGCAATTGTATAGCAACCTGCTGACTACTCTACTGTTATCTGCAGCATGTATCTATGTAACAAAATTTGGCCACAACGCTATCCTGGAAACGCCATGAGCTGTTACCAGATCTGGCACCACAAGTGAGAAAATGGAACGGCGAAGCCGCGGTGCGGGCGAGACTTCCAAAGTCGAGAGGGATATGCTAGCAAGACCGCCGGAAGCCGCAAGCGTCAGAACCAAAGCAACGATGAGGAAGATAGCGAGGAGGCTGCTGCACACAGCAGCAGCAGCGACGTCGTCGAAGGAGATGGAAGTTCCGGCGAAGGTAGTGACACTGAGTAGGAAGATAAGTGTTTGATGATGAATGTTGGGCTGGCCGATGAAGGTTACAATTTCGTGCGGTTCTTGTGTGTATTCATTTGATGCGTTGTAGATTTCGCACAAGCGACATTGAATACTACCTTGCTTTACGCACTTCAGGCTGTCCTCGTCCAGTCTCTGGATAAAAAGGCCGCTAGTCGCTCATCCGAGGAGCGCCATCATTCTCTATCTACCCCATGTACATGCTGTAGGTACAACGTGGAGGAGCGATTTGCTGAAATGGTCATGTTGTTGTTGTACCCAGCCCGGCGTCGGACTTATACGAGAATATAGTAAAAGTACGTGTTGCGCGACTTTAACATGCTGCATGAGTAACATGTTGGGCGAGTACCGTAAAATTAAAAAAACAGGTAAAAAAAGCTTGGGCGCTGAGGGGTTAAAGTGTTACAGAAGAGCTCGCTTTTATTATGCGGCTATAATTGTGGACCAAACTGTATATTGTAAGGTTAAGCGTGCGCGACACAATGACACAATATCTTCGAGACGTATTCATTCAACCAACTTTATCCTGCCGCTATATTTTCTTCTTACGTCTTAAAACGTCCCTGCAGATCGGACTATCACCCGATCCATCGAGTAACGCCTTTTGATCGTCGCAATTGGTCACACAAAAGATGACGATGATCGAGCACTAAAAGTTCTTTCTCTTCGTAAATCAGTGCCACCGTAGCGTCGTTGACTTTCCCGCTCTCGATCAACCTCCCAAAACCTCTCAATCTTTTGCATCTTTCACAGTAGGCTTGTTTCGACGATTACCAGCGTTTCAACGCCCTTCCGCACCAGGATGGTAGCGCTCAGGGTCTTTCCGTCGATATTAGCTATGATGACACCACCAAAGGTCATCTCGAAATTGTACTGCGCTCTGATCTGTTCCAGAATTTTCGTGTGGGCGCGGATGGTTTCGTGGTGTAGTCGCCTGTTGGTTCCAGCAACTATAACTTCAACCGCTACATCCTGACATACGACAAGCCTAGAAGCTATCGGCCAAACATGCTATCGGGAACGCTGTGCTGCTTCTCGCCCGGCTACAGCTCCTTGTACGGCGCAGACTGGGGCTGAGTGGTTGGGACAGCGGCGTACACCAATAGCACGCCTGTAAGTGACCCGACTTCGTCCATATCGTGCACATCACGGGTGTTCCGAATCTGGTCTTAAAAAGCTTGCGCATTGTATCCCAATCGCTCAGTAGTTTTAAAACTTTCAATAGTTTAAGATCACAGGAAAACGTTGAACCGGTCGTAAGTTTTGGAACGGGCTGGGAGTATGCACCTATTTGGTCATCGTTATCAACACGGTCTACAGGTGCTCCCAGGCGTTGGCCTGCATTGGTGCGCTCGCCGACGGATCGAAAATTTGTTGTGGTGAAGGAACCCCACCAAGCCTGTGTGCGACCTCGCTCACTTCCTCTCCGGTAACCCTGATGTAAGATAACAAGCTTTATTCCCCAAGGTAGTTGATCCAACGCACTGTCTACTCCCTCAAACCGACGGTCATCAAATAGCGGAAATTCACGATGCACGAGTCGTTAAAGAAGCCCGTGAATTCAGGGAATGGTTGAGGTCCAGATTGTCGGCCTTGTGATTGTTAATCAGCTATTCAACGGACGATGGGTGCCGGAGGAAGCCAGACGCACCACCGGCAGCCGACGGTGGGCAGCGCCACAGTCGGGCCAGGTCAGGTATCGGTACCGTCGCCCCAAAGCTTCAAAGAAGTCTACACCAGCCCAGTCTCGCAAATGCTTAAAAGGGGAGACCTGGCCCATGATGTATTTCAGATCAATGTTCCCTTGTGGGTGCGACAGAAGGGAAGGAACTCTACGACAAGAACCGTAAGGCAGGTAAACCGGTCGGTGTTATCGAACTCATGGCGGACCCTTCACGCCTGAGACAAGGTGGCCATAAGCTACCGTGCCTAGTGAACCGTGTGTCCGTGGCCTGGGCAAAGCCTGACAACGGAGCGGAAGTGTCAGTCGTGATACCACGACTGTTACAGGCGTTCATGGCGAAAACCCTGTGACTACAGTACCACGATCTCAAACATTGGAAGTCCATCAAGGGAATCACCGCGGACCCAATGGTGATCAAACAGAAAGTCAAGCTAGACCTTCGTTTTAACACAATTAATGGAGGATTAACGCCGAAACATCTGACCTGCTGGGTGGCCCCAAGCGGCCGACCGGCAGAAATGAACGATATTTTGCTAAGGGAAGGTGCGACTGTGGTATGTTTGACAGATTCAAATATATTGTACGCACGTGATGCAACATCAGAATAGGATGTCTGAGCGTATCTATTCAGCCAAGGAATCGTTAAAGTGCACCATAAAAGAACTTAACTGGTCACAAACGAATGATGGTGGGCTTGGATCACTGTTTTGTGGTTTTCTTTGCGTATCTTGCAAAAAGCGAAGGAGAACATTCACGCTTCGAAAAATTCCAAAACGGACAGGTTTATTTGTATGCTAGTTAAGCAAATGTTAACCCATGTTGTTTTTTATTGTAGCAGCACATTACCAATATCTTAAATACAAACGGTTATAGCGAAACGGTGTGCAGTTCGGCCGATGATCCGTCGGAAGGGTGAAGAGCCCTGGGAAGATGAAAACCCAATTACTCTCGTAGTTATGGAATATGGTACGGTAGCGGTACGAACCCTGCATAGATTTTAAAACCAAAGATTCCGCGATTCCAGATCTAGCTCACGAAAAACGTTGCTCCAACATGGCTTCGGGGCACAATTGCGGTGGGGCTACGTCGTCAGCAAACGGATGTGCAGGTGTATGTCAATAATGCCGGGTGGCGAAACAGCGATCTCACTGTGCAAGTTTGCTTGACCATTTTTAGAATCGAGAAGGCATGCATACCTCCTTTTTATTGCTGCTTGGTAGGCTCTCCGAGTGCCGACGACAAAACATTTAAATTCTCGCGCAACTATTACATGCGTAGCTTATGGGCCCTGGCCGTGTACACAGCAACCTATCAGCCAGTCCATATTTCGTTGAATAAACCACTAATGGACTTGATGTGAAAAACCTGGGTAAGTTGAATCCTGCAGCAACTGCGCAATTCCACCCTACTATCCCGGTTAAGCTCAAAGCCGCGAGTTGTCAGCAGCTTGTTGTGTGGACGAAAAGCGCTTGGAATCTGTTCTCGCCTCGGGGATAACTGGTGGGTTCCGCAACCCTAACAGCCTACCCACGGAACAAGCATCAGCGTGTGAAAGCAATCATATGCAAAGCCTCCTTGACGCCGAGCTGGTTTAGGAGCTGACTTCTGCCAGTAGAATCCGTGGTGCGGCATGTAGTTAACCGTAGCCGTGACACCACGAAGTTGATCACCAAAACTGAGATAATATGTAGCTTCTATACATGTAGCCGGCTTCGCAAAGGCGACAACGCACCCAAACACCTGAAAATTCGTTTCGTGTCTAAATCTAACTGCGGGCAACCTAATTCAGCCCCCAACTCTGTACAAAGACCGTAGGGTGCCCAAAAGAACATATGCGCCACCATTCGGTCGCGCCTCACTGTAGAATGCTCGGTTTGTAGCCACGGCGTTGTAGCCAATCCCATTATCACAACTCGCGTATTTTAGCAAATAGGATGCTACCTCAGCGATGAAGTTACTTCTGAATCTTCCCAGAAACTCCAACACTTGCTACTTCGTCCTGAACACCCCACTTCATGTCCCGCAACATCGACTGGACGCCCCGTGCCGAAGGCTTTCTCCTCGAAGTTACTCTGACTCTTCTGGACTCCTTCAAGCGTTTTGGAATGATGAAGGGCGGTCTAGCCCCGTACCGCCTTGGCGCTGTCTCCATGCCGCACAGCATGCGCGAACACTTCCTATGCTGCGGCTGTGAAGCCTGCAAGGATGTAGCCTATCCTACCCCCTGCGCCTGGCGTGGCAAGATGCAGCAATGCTGCTCGATCAACGTTGTGAATGCGTGGGACGTGATGACTCATCTCTCACCCCGCCGCCATGCGAAGCGCCCTTGCTTGACCGCGCCTATAAAGGAGGTCGTAAGAGATATGGCAGCCCACAACCACAAGCCTGTGTGTATTCGAGGTACTTTAGTTCGCCGGTTTCGGCTGAACAAAACGAACATTCTGCCGCTGCAATGCGTGCAATACTTTGTCCAAGGCTACCGGACGAAGCATCTCGGTGGCAGCGATTACGTCGATGACGTGCGGGCGAGAATATTGGCAAAAGGTTTCTAAGGACAAGAAGACTAGCGCGATGCGTTTACGTTCGGTTGGAGGACGAATCGCGACGGTCTATTCGTCGTAAGCAACGGTAGTGACAGCAGCCCTTTTATCGTGTGCGTGACCACCAAGCGCCTGCTAGAGCGCATCAACCGAGATCCTACTACCTACATGCTACATGTCGACGCTACCTTCCAGCTCTATCCTTGGCCATGGGAAGTTTGGACTGTATGTGCCAGTTTCATGTCGTTGCCGTCTTTATCACGTCACAACTGACGGAGTCGCATTTCACGGAAACCTTCTCGGCATTGAAGCGCATCTACGCTACTGTGATTTGCGGACAAGTTGCGGTGAAGTATGCAATGACCGACGCCGATGGCGCTCTACTCAATGCACATAAACCGTTCTGGGACGGCCCAGCTTGTACCATTGATGGGCTACTGTCGCGTCGCAGCAAAGGGGTTCGAACGCTCGAATGGACTTCCACTGGAACTCGCTACACGTGTCCTGCAAGGCCTTGGTGACATGCATTTTGCTGGGAGTGCAGCGGAACTTGAGCGCTTACGAACTTCAATGACAGAATGTTGGTCCAGAAATACCTCAATAGCATCATTGAGACCTATTTTACCACCAAGTGACTAAACGGCCGCTTTCTTCGCTGGCAGGTATTCAACTCACTCCCTGTATTCACGGCGACGCACAACCTCGTTGAACAGTACAACGGCGCGATCAAGCGCAATTATACTTTAAGCGCGACCGGAAATTGTTGCACTCCTCGACCAACCTCTCCAGAGCTACCCGGGCGAAAGCATGAACTCACGCACCGTTGCTGAACAACCAGTATCAGATCCAACGCTACTGCGTCGTGTGCGTGCACTGAAGCAGACCGGAAAGCTTCACGAGCTGCAATTAGTACGCGCATCGATAAGGTTTTGCTTGGCGAGAAGCCCGATGACAAAACCGTCGTGTACGTGTTGCCCGAAAGCTACGAAAGACAATACTGAGGCGAGGCGGGTGAACGCTTGACCACCCAGGTGTATTGCTTGGCGCGTCCCGGGTGTAGACTCCCGAATGGGGTGCACCCAGAACAAACCCTAGCCGGAGATAGTACACCTAGATGTACACTCCAACCGGGGTGGCGTGTGTCCTTGTGAACAATGCCTGTGGGTTCGTTTGTCTTCGTAACCACGGGTCTTCAACCGTGGATGAGTTGTCTTGATACTTGTAGGTCGCTAGGTAGCAGGGCAGAACGTAACCTTCCTGGACGTCGCCTCTGACAGCCCTCAGATAACCAAACAATACAAACAGATACAGAGTTATATACAAACACGTAGCCCTTCCTTATTCTTTTGGACCGTGAAAGGGTCGGTCACTACTCCAGTCAACTCCAGCCGGACTCCGGGATACTGGTCAATCCCGGACGGTTTTGGCTCACGCGCACCACCCCCAAGTACGGAGGGAAACAAACACAATCAAATACCTCCTGTCACACTAGAGCTCTTAAATCAATACTTCCCACCCGGGGCTACTCCAACCGGGGTGACAAGGTAATCGGTAATATGAAATGCGGGGCCTTCCTGGTCTGGACGAGCTCAACCGCAACTAGGAAATGAAACGGGATGGATCAACCTCGGGTTGTCACCCGGTACTCACCCCAACTTGGACTGGACTTGGTTGCGGGAGCTCGACCCAGATGTCACAGTTGCTGGGCCCTCACACGTAGACTTAGTCGGTCCTCCGGGAATGCACGTCCGGTAGGCTGCTCCAACTCACTTGCGCGATCCTTGGCAAAACGAACTCTTTGTTTAGGGCTTATTCATCCAATTATCTTCTAGTTTTTCTGGGTTTTATGGGTCGTGTTTTCCCCCGTACGTCCAGGTTTCGCAGCATCAGTCCCTTGGTCCCCCAGGTATGGTCCTTCCGGTGAGCAACTCCAAAGTAACTTCAACTATCTCCGCCTGGGCGCGGCATCCGCCCCTTAGTCCCACAAGCATCGTTCTTCCTGCAGGCAACCCCCAAGGTAGCTGGACACCACGGGTTAATCTCTCTCAGCCTTGATGCCCCATGGTCCTCCGGGCACGTCTCCATCCGGTAGGCAGTTCCATGGTAGCTATCGCCGACGGGGTAGCACGAACCCTTCTTTTCCGAAGGGGAGAGTTGTCTTGCCTACGCGTGTAGCTACGGCGTCGGCGCCACGACGATCCAGCACGCCTACTGGAACTTCACGACAACGACGTTCCATCCGAGCTTACTTCCTTGATGCGCTCCCGGGCGTCCCCGGCTGCATGCGCTCGCAGTCACTAGCCCCGACGCGGTCCGGCTTGGCCACTTGTCTTCCTCCTACGGGGTGCGCTTCCGTAGGCAGCTACAAAGCGACTTGTCACCAGGCAGGTAAAACGAACTCTGTTTATCTGTTATCTGTGGTCTCTCTGTCTGTCTGTCTGGCTATCTTCTGTCGATCTTTACATGCACTCCATCTTGACTTGTCTTCACTATGGTCTTGTCGTCGTAATCGTCCGCGGTCCCTCGTAGCATACTTCCAGCAAGTATAATCATCACTGGGTACGCAAGCGAAGTTCAATGTTCCACGGAATCCGAACAGATCTTGGCTGGTCGGCTTGGTCGGTCGGAAACGTCTTGGACTTTGTATACTGGATCTTCACATCTGGGATGGTATCTTGGTATCTTGATATCTCCATCCGGGATTCGTGATTATCTCCAAACGGGATCACACTCCACTTGGGCTTCACGTCCGGGATGTCTTGGACAGCTTCACGGTTTCTGGGTCTTCACTCGATCCGGTCGGGCTCCTCTTGCGTTGTACAGTGCACCAAGAGCAGGCGGCCTCCAGTCGGAGGCACTTTTACGCTCGCTTGGGCTTTGTCTCGTTCGGTACTTGGTTCCAGCCGGGGTCCGCTCTTGGGGACATCTCCATCCGGGGTCACCAAACCTTGTACACTGCCAACGCGAGTCCGGCCGGGATCCGCTCTTCCCATACGCCACGTGTCGCTGCCTCCCTCTCCCATAGTGAGCCTCTGAGCCAACCAATCGCAGGCGCGGCTCGGGGAATCCTCGAAATCTCCAATTCTATCGTGTCAATACGACCCAGAAACGCCTGTCCGTGGCAGCTAAAGGGAGCGCTCATGCCGCACGGATGGAAGCCTATGGCGTGCCCGCTGGTGGGTGGAGAGTGGATGTGAAGCAAAAATGGTAACCTTGGCACATTCGTCTTAAGAACACTTGTTACATCCCCGGTGTGTTTGCGCTTGCGTCTCGAGGGCTGTTCAACCTATTCAAGGTAACCGATCGGCGTATCGGGGTCGGAGTAAAGCGCTTCGAGCTGCTGCGCAGAAACAAGAGGCAGCGAGGCCAGCTGGAACTGGATATGCACTTGACAATGTATAAAATAGTTGATAGTACGTCTCTCGTATACATTATTCTTGGACTTAAAACTCTTTTCATGTTCAGGTTAACTAATGCCGTGTTCTCTACCTACTTTGAGGTACCGCAAGTTGGAGAATTCGCTTGACAGCAGCCAATTTACCAGATCTCGCGCACACATAGCCTGGCAATATATATATATATATATTACATTCCTGCGAACAAGACATCCAATCCATAGATTAGACTTCTCTAACCGTTCAAACCATGGAGATACCCATACGTTGCGCAGAGCCGGCCACAACGCCTTTCATGCCGTTAGATGGACAGTGTTATCCCCAGCAAGCAGAACTTAGACCAAAATACATGTTTTCTTTAGGTACTTACGGTAATTTTGGGTTAAGTTTCAAAAATGACAAACGGTACCGAAGACAAGTGTCGTGTTAACGAAAACACCAACAGGATCCTGCTTGCCGAATTTGACAAAGGAAATACTTACATGTAAACTGTAAACAAAAAAATTAAAAGGAGTGTTATGAAGCCTTGATCATGTGATTTCTAATGTTAAGACGTCTCTTAGCCACTACGAAGATGTTAACATTCTACTCTTAACATAACATTTGCTGGTTCTAGATATACCAATTGGCTTAGGTGTAATAGCTTTGTATATTGAGCAAATTATATCATATTTGAAAGGAGGTATTTAATTTGAGAAAGGTAAACTATTTGCCGCTATCCGCTAGCTTAACTTACTAAGATTTAAGCGTCTTTCGTTAGTTTTGATTTTACGTGTATTACGTTGGAGTACGTTTAAGTTGATTTATTGTGTTCGAATTTCGAACTTCGAAATGCAACAACACCGGAGAAATGCTTCTAGATAGGGCAGCCCGCTAGCTGTCCAAGTCACACCGAAAACAATCACCTTTTGCTTGCATTCGTCGCATCCACTAGTCAGATTCTTGCCACCTGAAAAGACCTGTTTACCTGCTTGATGGGCGATGGAATCTAATTTCTAACGAATTTCGAAATTTCGTGTATGGCTCCAGAAGCTACGCTCTAAAATGTAAATGATGTGGTTACGTGCACTGTTGTGATCCCAATAACCAATGATGACTCCAGGCTTTGCTTCGACTAGGCATGTCACGCTGCCCACTCCCATCATATGCAGATCCTAGCTAGCTAACGACTAACCTGGTTCCGTCACCAAAAAGCCGCTCAAATTTTGAAATCGCTCGTAGGTAATGAGCTAGGACAGTACCGTGTTTACCTTTAGGGTTTTGTTTTGCATCTCGTTAATCGTTACATTCTTATCTAATTTCGGTGCATAAAACATAATCATTCTCCAGAACCAAGTTTCCTCGAAATAACAGCTCCGATAGTTTTTATGCCGTTTATTGTCCATTGTTAAGTACTGCTTTAGAAGTTGAATTGTGCATGTACAGGTACATGCTCAGCTGGTGTTGTATTATCACTTATAAAGACCCCCGGTATGATCGTTTTTCTTGGACTTAAAAAAAATATTTCATGTTCAGGTTAAAGCGGGTGAATTCATAGTAACTAGACCGAGTTAATACCGTAGAGTAACTAAGTCGCCTACGCTTCTTACGATCCTTGTTTAGGCTTTATCCTGGCGT